CCATAGCTGCAACTTGCTGATACATACAGCCAACCTCATTTCTGTCTTTAGAAAGCTTCCCTGCTCTAGGCAGAGACAGTATTTATTTGGCAAACAGTAAAAAGGTAAAGGGACCCTGACCGTAAGGTCCAGTCGCAGACGACTCTGGTGTTGTGGCGCTCATCTCGCTTTACTGGCCAAGGGAGCTGGTGTACAGCTTCCGGGTCATAGCCAGCATGACTAAGCCGCTTCTGACCAAACCAGAACAGCGCACGGAAACGCTGTTTACCTTCCTGCCAGAGCGGTACCTATTTATGTACTTGCACTTTGACGGGCTTTCAAACTGCTAAGTTAGCAGGAGCAGGGACTGAGCAACGGGAGGTCGCCCCGTCGCGGGGATTCGAACCGCCTACCTTCTGATCGGCAAGTCCTAGGCAATTCAATGACTGTTCAGCTCCACAAGCTCATTTCAAGTTTGGGGGATTGGAAGCAAAACAGGTAGAAAAAAGGGGAAGTGTGGTCTAAGCTTTTAAAAGAAGTTTTGAGAAATTATTACTTGGGTGCCTGACCGATCTATGGTCCAAACTATGCTACAACAGGAGACACCTTATTAGTCATCTCCTGAAGCATTTGTTTTATTCTCTTCACTTCCTCACCAGTAGGTAAGAGCGTGGGCTGAGGTTTAATCTTGTTCAGCTTCCAAAAGACAGAACACCAGTCCTGCTTCCCCTCAGGCCTTTCAGTTTATAATATGCATACGCAGCCACCTTCTGGAAGCTGCAGACAGGTAAGCAGCCTCTTTGCTCTGTCAAAACCTGTTGCGGCAGGTGCCTGTTATGAACCTTTCCCCTTCCCTAGGTGTAATATAATCTCAAAAATACAATCTCAGCTGCAGAGCATTGTGAAAGTGTTGTAGGCAACTCGCCAAGGATTTCAATTGGTAAGGTGAAAATGATTTTTACATTTGGGTCCAGAACCTGATGGGATAAATATGAAAAGAAGGGGGATAATTTGGTAGGCATCCTGTTTTAGAACCACAAGCTGTCGGAATAATGGATGCCCTTTTCAGACTATTTAAAGAAACATTTTATGATGAATTTGAACTGGAGGGCCAAAAGAAGTAAATGAAAGAAACCCTTGTGAGCTGCGAGGTCTCACTTCCAAAACATGCTTTCTGCTAATCTCAGTGTGCATTTTCTGCTCTTGGCTTGCCTTCTTCCAAATGCATAGGCTAGACTACCCTGAGGTTAAGAACGTAAGAAGAGATTTCTGGATCAGGCCAGAGCCCCATCTAGACCAGCATCCTATTCTCACAGCGACCAACTGGACACCTATGTAGAGCACCTAAGCAGGAGTTTGTTTTGTCTGTCCTGAGCCTTCCAATGAAGCAGAACGTTGGATGCCCATGGCTTCTGCTGTGAAAGAGGGAAATTTTTCTTGTCTTTATCTTTGTTCATCCCACACATGCTTTTATGTGCTTCTGTTATCTCATCTCTTGCTCACCTTTTCTCTAAACTAAAAAGCCCCAAATGCTGCGACCATTCTTCATAAGGCATTTGTTCCAGTCCTTTGATCATTTTGGCTGCCCTTTTCTGAAACTTTTCTGACACTACCAAATCCTTTTTGAGGTGAGACATCTAGAACTGGACACAGTATTCCTAATGTCGCCACAGCATAGATTTGTATAACAGCAGAACAGCCGTGGCAGTTTTTATTTTATATTCCTTTCCTAATGATCCCTAGAATTTGCCTTTTTCATGGCCTCCACACACCAGGTTGACATCTGACCTATCCACTATGACCTCAAGGTCTTCCTAGTTAGTTCTGGTTGGGCTGTTCTTTCTTTCTTTAAAACAAAAAATTAAAACAAACCGATACAAAACAACCACAACAATTCCAAGGATCATGTCAAGAGAGGGGGGAAATGTACATGAACGATATGTCCTCATTACATGTGTTTGGAAAGAATATATCTATAAATGCCAAACATATAGGATCAATTACAACAGCAGACTTACAAAATTGAAAATAACCTTCTTTAAACCTTGGAGACAGTCAACATGATACCTAAATAAACAAAAATCTGGAAGTTCAGTAAATATCTCAAAATAAATATAGAATAGAAGGTGGTCCAGGTTCTTTTGCTGAGGAATTAATGAAAGAAATGAATGGAGACCCGTTATCATAACATTTATCTCTGGTAATATCGCCCCTGACTTCTCCATAATGTTGTGTTGGTCTGTCTACAAGCACAACCTTCCAAACACTAGCATAGCAGTTTTGCATAGCTGAGTCTTACTCTTTACACACACTAAAAGCAAATGTTTAAGACTGTAAGAAGAAAGTGTCCTTCCAATTTAAATTCGGGCCAGGGAGTGAGGAGAAGTCTGCCAAAGTTTGCAGAAGCTCTTTGGGCAACTGTGGCCTGCATGAAAGGTGGTGATGGATGAGCTCCACTTGGCTTGCTGCAGAAGTCACTTAAAAAAGAAAAAAGCTTTTCTAATACATGTTTTTAAAATAACCACCCAATTCTGAGTCGTTAAAAAACCAACATCTTGACTATCCTTGGCAAGGGAGGGAAATAAATAGAAGTGAGAAGGGCTCGCTTCCAGTATGAGAATTGCTGTGCATGTTGGTGAATGCCGTTTCCTGCTGGAGAGCATGGGATCTGTAGTTTCCCCTGCCTCCCAATCAGAGTAGGGAAGCAGAGAAAACTTCAAATCTCAGGTTCCTCATCAGGAACCTGATGTTTCATCACATAGGAGCTCATTTCCATTCAAGAGTGAGGCTTACTCTTTTCCTGTCTTGATGAGAAGCAAGCCCTTCTCATCCCCAGTTCCTTCCTTCCAATCCTTTTCAAGGGTATTTTGTTTGGTTGGAGGAGGGTATGGTGATGTGGACAGGATTGCAGTGGAAATGGAGACAAACCCTTGTACGAACTCTAAATTCTGAAGCATCATAACTGAGGCTTTCCAAACTGGCGGATTTTTGTATTTCAGACTCCTCCAATTCCCTATTTGCCCTCATTTGTGGAAGGCAAAGGGCATCTCATGAGTTGCAGGCTAGTAGCAAGTAAAGTCCTGTGTGAAATAGGGCAGCTGAACTGTAGAACTGCATCCATCCGTCTCTGTTCTCTGAAGTTTAACCAGTGAGTTAAGCTTCATAAAGGACATTTTTCTATTAGTCACAAAGTGTGACGTCTGTGTCAAATTCATTCTGCTGCTCCGTGTATCAGTTAAAGATTTATACTGCCAGTGCCTTTCATTTAAATGACTCTGAAAGCAGTAGGGTTGCATAGGGCCTATGTGAGTTAGTGTATGTATTGACCAGGAGGGTCGATAAACCCAGTGTGCAAGAACTGGCTTAATGTGCCCCACTGTGAGAGAGCGGAGAAAATAATGGAAGAATGAAATACATTAATGTACACTTTGTAGTTCCCTTTTTATTGCACAATGTAAATATAACCCAATGTACTATATTTACCACACAAAGTGTAAACATACAGTATCTTTAAAAAATAATAAAAAATGTTGTTACATTCATAGCAGAACAGGACATCTACACCTGAACCAAATGGGTGTGATTTGTATACTGTTGGATGCTCCCTCAATCTCCTAGGAGTTTATACAGGGTTCGTATTTTGTTTTGGAATGAAACACAGTGAAGACCGTGGTGTCTTTACAACCTGAGCCGTACTGGAGGGGTTCACAGCATTGACATCCCAAAAAGGTCTTGTTTCTCCCAGCCTTGGATTCAAACACCAATTGAATATTTTACCTCGTTGACATTCCAGCTTGCTACTTTACGTCAACTTTCCGGCTCACTTGGCACAAACTCAATTCTAAACTCTGGCTTTTTTCTGATTTGAAAGAGAGGCTCCACCCATTTTGTATCTAGCACAGAGCCCCCTTTCCTTTGCTCTCTTAATGGCCCATTCCCCAGGCTATTACCTGAACACAATAATCTAGCCTGTCTTGATTAGCTTTTAACACTTGTTGAGTCCAGGGATTAGGTGTCTGGCACTCAGTTTAACACCCCAAGCTTGATTCCAACACTTACTGGATCCAGGAATAGAGGGGTCTGGCACCCCCAAACGCATAACAATACTTTTAGTTGTACCTAATTAAAGCATTTAATTCAGTACTTTAGGTTGTACCCAATTAAGCCATACTTGGAACACAGCCACTGAAATAACAGAATCATAGAATTAAGTCCAAATGAATGGATTTAAATCCATTGGTTTTAAATGGGTCTACTTACAGGGCACTCCGCCGACATTGATATGATTATGATTTCAGATTATTGTTGTTTTATCTCATTTAAAGGCCTGCACATACCACCCACTTATAAAAAAGGCAGTGTATTATTATTTTAGGACATTGGTACTCCTGCTTTTTATCCCAAACATACAATCCATTTAAAGAAGGCAGGTTTACAAGGGCGGGAGGGCACAGGCAGGGGAGAGTCAGGGCGGGAAAGCAAAATCAGGAACCAGTCCTTCAAACTGGAACTCTAAATTATTTATTATTATTAACTGAATTTATATACCGCCCTGTACCCAGAAGTCTGGCGGTTCACAGAAAAAAGCACAGTATATAAAATAAAAATAAAAGCAATAATACTGATAAAATAAGACCGCAGCCTCATTTTAACTTATGAAATTTTGGTACATTCACGCCTACAGAGCTAGAAAAGGGAAGAGTGACGCACAGCCCTCACGAGGCTCCTTCCTGCCACGCCCTGCTCCGCCAGTCACGTAGCCCCGCCTACCCCAGCGACGCTCGCGTCCCGTCGCGTGAACCTCTCGAAGGTTGGGCGGGGCTGGCGCGAAAATTAGCGTCGACGAAAGCGATTGGCTCCCTTCCGCCGCCTTGTGTTGGAAGGGGGTGGAGTTAGGGGCGAGGCCCCCGGGGCTCACGTGCAGGGCCCCCTGACCAATCGGGTGATCGCGTGATGTGAGTCTCTGTTGCCGGCGCCGCAGTTGTTGTTCCCCTTCCGCCCCGCCCTCCCCTCCTCCCTCCCCTCCTCCCCTCTCCAAGATGGCGGCGCCGGCGGGTGCCTGAGAGGGAGGCTGTCGCCGCGCGGAGGAAGCGAGGTCCCGGCCGCTGCCGGGAGAGGAAGACGCGACGCCTCCGCCCCGAGCCCCTCTCGCTGCCCAGCCCGCCCTTCCCTCGGCCCTCCAGGACGATGGTAAAATGACCCAGGCGGGGAAGAAGAAGAAAAGGGCTGCCAACCGCAGCATCCTGCTGGCCAAGAAGATCATCATTAAGGACGGCGGCACGGTGAGGGGGGCGGCTCCGAGGGGCCCTGAGGGGAGCGGAGCCCTGAGGGGACCGGGGCGCGGGGGGGGGTGCCCCGCGAGACCCCCGCGGTACCAGGCAGGCCTCCCGCCCGCGTGCTTCGGGCCCAGGTGCCGCCGCCTGCCCGCCCAACGAGTTTGGTGGGTCGCCTTGAACTGAAGGCGGAATGGGTCAACTGCCCCGGTTTGACCGAGGAGGGCCTTTTTTTTTCTTTTTGGTTCTGCGTGGGAAAATGTTAAGGGTGGCTTTTGAAAGGAGCTTGGTTGACTACACTTTCCCTAGAGAGCGAGTTTGCCTTCCGCCGTCCTTTGGTCCCGAGTGGGTTTGGGGTTCCCGTTACACAAATCAGCTTGTCGCACAATAGGCACCCTAAAAGATGTGTCCCTCTTCAGGGACAAAATTTGTAACCGGGCCTCGTGAGGAAGGTGAATTTCAGGTGGGGAGACTGGGGGGAGGGGAGCACAGCTTCCTCTCTCTTTTCTCTGCTGTCCTGTATATCATTAGAGGGGCTTCTGGTTCAGAAATCTTTATAGATATACTATATGGTGTGTGTGTGTATATATATATATATATATATATACACACACACACACACACACTATACTGGAAAGCGTGGAAGGAAAAGGGCACGTCCTTCTTTTGATTCACAAACATATGTTTTCTCTGAGATCTCTTGGCTGGTGCAGAAATCACTGGCTTTATTCTGGGCGGACCTGTTGTGCTTCCATAGTGATGGACACTCTTGGGCTGCTCGAATTCACTATTTGAAGGAAAGATCCACCCGGAGATTGCAAATTCTATTTAGCATAGTCAGGTGTTTTTGTTAAAGGAAACTGCTGTGGTTTCACCTGTGCATCACCTCCAACCGGTGTAGGATGCCTGCTCTGTACTACGCTGTATTAAATATATGGCTGTTTCAGCAATGTGTGCTGATCAGCAAGTAATCTTGATTTGAATGTTTCACGGTATACAGGCATGTCCCTGTTTTCATCCCTGAAACTTTTTTGGGGGGAGGGGAACGCAAAATTAATGTCTGTACAGCTTTCTCTGTCACAAGATGTAGAGCACTTTTCAAAGGCATTTGTACTTTTGCAAGGATGCTGAGGTTTCTGTGTAATAGATCATTTTCTTGGCAACTAGTATTTCTAGTTCAGTCTTGCTAGTCCCCCAGATGGTATGCTGGCACATCCACTTTTACCCTTGGATTGGCAGTTTGAACAAGAGCTTTGGCCTAGGGGGCTTCAATTGCTGAACTTAGTTTTAATTTCTATGCTTTGCCATTTACAGCATGTCACACACCCACACCTTCACACACCCTGTTTATGAGCTACTTATGTTCATCTCTTGCTAATGGATAGCTTCATGCTTTAAATATATTTTCTGCATGGAGATCATCTTGTCATAGACACATGAACACACACTGTGTTTCCTTCTCTAGAGCCATCAAGTAACAGATGCACAATTATCTTCTTGTACTCTACTGGTCAAGCTTGTGATTGCAATTTTTACATTTTTAACACTATGGTTGGAATCCAGCTTTGCCTGTTCTTGTTATGTATTTAAGGCAGAGGTGGCTAACCTGTGATCCCCTAAATGTTGTTAGACTTCTAAACTCATCAACCTTAGCCTGCATGACAGGTAACTGGGGATGGGAGGAGTTGAAGTCCAGCAGCAACTGGCTGGAAAGATTAGCCACCTATAGTTTATGGACTTGAGCAAAGAGAGAGTGAGTTTATGGCAGAGAACTGATAATAGCCTATTGATGTTTGATTTGAGTTTGGCTTGACTTTCCTGCTCGGTTATGAATTCGGAGTTGTTCTACATTTAACACATTCTGTGGTCGCACCAATGTTTTCCATAATTCACACATAAAATGTGAACAGTACATATGTCAAACTGTAAAACGTGTAGAACCGTGAATAGATATGCTTCAAAGAGTTGTGGCCAATTGGGAACACACACATCAGGGAACCAGAGTCTTTGGGGACAGGCCTCCTGTTTACATTCTTCATGTCACCGCTCTTGGTGTGAGCAGCTATTCTGGATTCTGCTGTTGGGTTGGTTGGTTGGTTGGTTGGTTTTTGCAGATGTTCTCTTCACACTTCTGCACATGAGAAAGTCATGCATGTTTCTTCATGTGCAGGAAAATGTTTTGTTCAAATTGACAATGAAGAGCTTTGACTCAGAGTTCTGAATGCCATAATCCTGTTAGTCAAACTCATGTGTTATCAATTTATACAGTTATTTATGATGGTTCAAATGAATGACACTTTTCACTGAAGGAACAAAGCTTAGAAGATACCGTATTTTTCGCTCTATAAGACGCACCAGACCACAAGACGCACCTAGTTTTTGGAGGAGGAAAACAAGAAAAAAAATATTCTGAATCTCAGAAGCCAGAACAGCAAGAGGGATCACTGTGCAGTGAAAGCAGCAATCCCTCTTGCTGTTCTGGCTCCTGGGATAGCTGTGCATCCTGCATTCGCTCCATAAGACGCACACACATTTCCCCTTACTTTTTAGGAGGGAAAAAGTGAGTCTTATAGAGCAAAAAATACGGTACATTTTCTTAAATGAATTCTGAGTTTCCCGTTTTTAAAAGGGGAATAATAGTACAGAATTGTTGAAGTTAAGCATTTCAATATTTTTGCAGTTCCACACCACAATTCTTACTTGCAGTTAACTGTATTTTCAGCTTATCGCCATTGCCATGTTCATTTTATTTATATCCTATATATTTTCAGAAGATTACTCTTATGTTGTTAATAGTGCTTAAAGTAGGTAGAGCACCTGTTGCAGCCTCACTTGCTTGTAAAATTCACTGTCCTTTTTAAAAAACATGCTTGTCAATGCTCTGTCCATTTCTCTACTTAGGAAGGCACACAGTCTGTATATCTTGATTATTCTTGTTCAGGTAACTTGTTCCAATGTAGTTTAGCTTTTTAAAAATTGAGTGGGATCTGCTGTGTCAATAGTAAAGGGACACAGGCGGAGACACTGTATTCATGTTACGGTAGAAATGATTAAAGCACAAGTTGCTCCCTTGAATGTTTAACACCACCTACATAATTATTGTTAAAATTGCTAAGTAGTCAGCACAGGTGTGTTGTCTTGTGCTGCACTGTATAGAGCAATTTTGAGAGAGTGGCCTTTGCCAACCTGGTGCCCCCCCCATGTTTTAGACTACTCCTGGCCACAGGAGGTGTATGTCCCAAACCTGTGGAGGGCACCAGGTTAGTGAAGACTGTGAATGGAGGGTTGACTTCTTATCCAACAGTTGTTCACTTTCTGGGGACTCCCTCTGTGAACTGCCTGTGCTTGCAAGGAGAGACTGCTTCAAATTTTTGAGGTTGGTTATGTTGAAACTAAGTTGATAAAGGATGTATATTTCTTAGTAGCCTTGAGTTCTGATTTAATAGGTGATGTCTCATTTCCTGACTTTGATTCAGTGGTTGTCTCCTTACAACTTACAGTGAAACTTTCTCCCTCCAGCTCCTGTTCAATTCCTCCCCTTTATTTCAAATTACTCTTGCAAATGCTCATACTAGAAAACAAATATTTTAGGTTTCATAGTTGTCACTTTCACCCTCCTTATTGCAGGTCAGATTTCTAAGTTCCAGTTCAACATAAATGTATGTGAAACTTCAAAACAGAGGGTGCCTTATAAATTACTCTAGAACTCTGTACTTGAAATCTTGTTGCCCTGGGGATTACTCCCCTTGATCATTGAAGGTGCTTCAGTAATAGGTCAGTACTTGTGGGGCCTTTTTATTGCTAAGAAAGGAGTTGGCAATTGTGACCTAATGCTCTTCTCCAGCAGGAGAGTAGGTACGCTGTTGCAGACAAGTCACCTCTTTCATCCTTAAAGGGATGACTGAGACACCTGCAGCACTGCCTATTATAAGACATGAGGCAGGGTTGTCACAGCTTCCCAAGGCACATGCCCTAGCTTGGCGATAGATTCAGACCTCTGAATCACTACTTAAAGAATCTCAGGTAGTAGAGACAGGAAAATCCTCTGCCTTAGACTTTGGTAAGCTACTGATAGTGGTGGTTCACATGAATCAACAAATCATTTTTGGGCATTAGGTGGAAGAGATTATCTGAACTTTCAGGCTCACATTCTGCTGCAAAGCCAGGCAGTCAGTAAATCACACACTTCAAAACTGGAGATAACTGTGTATTAGCAAAGCACTATTTTCACAGACTGTGCGGTTTCAGCACAGCATCTTACTTCATGAAATCAGTTGCTGAGACTAAAAGTTCCTTTCTCCCCACAGCCACCTATGTCTTCTCCTCTTCAGTGCTTCTTGCAAGCAATTGGAGACTGCCCCTGTGTGCAGCTTGTCTTTCCTTCTCTTTCATGCCTCATCTGGTTCTGGAAGTCTGGGTGAAGAGAGGAGCTTGAGGAGGGGGAGACACCCGTGATTCTTCCCCAGCCTGTCTCATCTCTGCCTCCTGGCCACCCTTCTGCCTCTGATTCTGGACTTTTCTCTGCCACAGACTCACCCCGCTCACTAAACCCCATTTCCAGTTTCTGACACCACCTCCCTCTGACCGCTCATGTCATCCGTCCACCATTCCCCATGCTTTGAGCCTTTTTCCCTTGGTGGTTCCCCAGCTGGTTCATCCTACCACTCCTTTGCGTCCAACCAGTCCATGACACATGGCCCCTTCCATCATGCACCACAATTACCTACTTCTACTCTTGGATTAATCTCAAAGGAAAGAGGTAATGGCCACACAGAAGAGTAGGAAGAAGCGTACAAGACTGAGGCTTGTGCACGTAATGTCAAACCTTGGTTTAGCATTGCTCTTGAACTATTGCCCAGTAGTCAAGAATGATGGAGGTTACAGTCGTACCTTCGTTGTTGAACACCTTGGTACTTGGACGTTTTGGCTCCAGAACACCGCAAACCCGGAAGTGAGTGTTCCGGTTTGCAAACATTTTTTGGAAGCTGAACGTCCGATGTGGCTTCCAATTGAGTGCAAGAAGCTCCTGCAGCCAATTGGAAGCTGTGCCTTGGTTTTCAAACCATTCTGGGAATCGAACAGACTCCCAGAACGGATTAAGTTTGACAACCAACGTACCACTGTATGTATAGTCTAAAACATCTGGAGGACACCTGTTTGGAGAAAGCTGAACTAGACAGATTTACGTTTTGACTCATGGCTTAACATGCATAGGCTATACACGCTACAAACCACAACTACTGGGTTAATATTTTATCTGAACCAGGGATGGTGGTTTGTTTTGCTCCAAAAAAACATGGCTGATAAGCAAAGAACAAATTTTGGCTTATCCTTGTGGTTTGGAGTAAAACCAAAACATGGTTTGGATGGAACATGAAGGCAGGGCCCGTGGTTTGTTTCTCTCCAGTGCAAGTAGGGAAAGGAGCAAAGCGAGCATGATCAGTGCACACATGGCAAATCATGGTTTAAAACACATATCACTCTAAGGCAACTTTATGTATTCATATGTAGGAAGAACAATATTGCTTCATCACAGTGCATTTTCCCCTTGGTTAAGGAGTGCTGTCGTGCTCTTTCAACCCAGAGTAAGATTGTTGTGGAGAATGAGGAGGTGCTGTTACTACTTTACACCCTCAAGGGAAGCATGTAATTGCCCTTCTGTGCTGATTGTACATAATGGTATAGTAGTTACGATGTGTTTGGTGCTCTGTGGTCTTCAGCTGCATATTTAACGCCTGGGTGCCTTCATGAAAAGTTGCAGAATTGCTTGTAAACATAGCTGACTTTTCTATCTACATATAAAAGCAGTGTGGTCAGTCAGATGCTCTTATAAATGGATGTTTCTGTGTGGATGTTTTCAAGCATCACTAAGAATTATAAAATATGTAAAATATGTCTGGAGGAAAACATACATAAGTGACAAAGTTCTGACTTGTTTTCCTGTTCCATAATGTGAATTAACACTACTCAAGAAAATGTCAATGCAAAAAAGTTAAAGTAAGTAAAGAAAGGAATACTGCCCCCCAAAAAGGAAGTAACATTAATTCAGTGTCATTCATCATTGTTGTATTTCCCCGTTTGTAATATTCAGTCAGTTCCGACTCTGTTCATACCACCATTTTAAGGAAGCATGCTATACAGCTCCTGGGTGTGACAGGATGTGGTTAAGCATTTGATTGTATTTGAAAGTGCTCTAGAATTTTAGAAATGTGAAGTTGTGTGATGCTACTGCAGCTTGAGTACTGTTGTTTTTTAAAAGTTTCTACACTCCATGTTTTAATCCTTTGCAGCAGATTCATAACTTTTTCCCAAGTCTGTTATGAGTAATTACAAGGAATTGAGGCACTGCTCCTGTTTATACCTTCCCTTTCCCCTCCGTCTGCCACTGTTCCATCATGTCCTTTCGGGAAAAGGATGAAATCCTGAGGGTAGCTGCAGATGAAATCCTCCCCTCTGTTGGCTTGGCTGGGAAAGCGTATCAGCATGAGTTGGCTGCTGCTGGTCTGAGTGCTATAGATGTGTCACAATGCCATAAAAGATGCAGTGTACAGATGCAGGAGCCTTAACAATTTTATGTAAGGAAATGCCACAACACCTTGGCTGCTGCCACTCTCAGCGTGTGTGTGTGTGTGTGTGTGTGTGTACACACTTGGGCGTCAAATTTTTTTGGGTGGCTTTGGTGTCTGAACAAAAACATTTCCTCTGAACATGCCCCTATTTTGGGGGAGTGGGAGATAGCCAGTGTGAAGGAATACAACTTGATCTATTTGAAGTGGGGGTTTTTAATGCCAGAGTGGTTGATTTCTGGTTTAAGTGGTGGTTCTGAACAAGAGGCTCAGAAATTCAGCCTAATAAACTCCAAGTACAAAACGAAACCCAAAGTTAAAGGGAGGAGAGACAAGAAAAGAAGAAAAATGGGGAATCAGAAACTGAAGCAAGCAGCTACTCCCCTTCTAATTGGCTGAAAGATTGGGAGGGGAAGGGAATCTTTTGCATATAAGTAAAGCTGCTAAATAGGAAATTTGTGTGTGTGTGTGTGTGTGTGTGTGAGAGAGAGAGAGAGAGAGAGAGAGAGAGATGAAACAATATGATCATGTTTGGAGCTCAGTAAAAAATGGGGAAATGATTAACTTTCCTCCATTCTCTCTCACATTGCAGCTGGCAAGGGATGGCAGAGGCATGCAGACTTTTTCTGCCTCCCAGCCAGGTGATCATCTATCTTAGCTTGATGAACAAGACTGTCAAACCCTCCAGTTACATTACTTCCGCCTCCCCCAGCTTTCTGTACCCACAGAAAGAATGCAAGCGTAGATGCATCAGTGCCAGGAGCTCCTCTGGAGAAATGTTGAAGCATTCTGGCAGTTACAACTCTTGGCAGGGTATTGTTTTTCCATGCATGAGTTTTGATGCAAACTTCAGCTCAGTTTGGAGCCAAAACGGAAAAAAAGTAGTGCTACACTAAAATATTCCTTTTTGGTTTTGTGTTTACTGTAGTACAAAGGTGTAAACTGTGCTGTGGAGACTTGTACTCATTCTTGGCTTAATTCTATTTGAGGAGTAATTGAATTCCTGTGGCAGTTAAGGTTTTTAGCATCGACCTTTCCATGCCCTCAAACATGTATTGCACTTGTAATCCCAATTAAATGTGGTCTCATGCAGAGTTATTGGGAGAGATATAGTAAGTAAGAGAACCAAAATGAGCCCACTACATGATTGTCTCTGGGTGTAGTGCCCAACAATAAGCCTCTGGCTTAACAGTAGTATGTTCTATATTGAAGAGTTTTCGCTACAGTAAGGCATTTAACCTTAACATCCATTTTAGCAAAGGGCTGTGGCAGTTTTCCAATACATTTATGCAATTAATGGCCACACTTGAAAACTTGGATACTCTCATTTTGATTTGTTCAAGCAATACTATGGCTGCATGTTACTTTGTCATTGATACATTTTCATGGATAGTGGGTTTTGCATGAAGGTATGCAAATTCTTTGCAAAAGAAAGAAGTAGCACACTTTTAAGTTGAGAGGATTAATTGGGGAAACACCGATCTAGTAATGTAAAGATAGGTAACTGGAACATGCACCATTGTCATGAATGTCACTTGACCTGAGAGAATAGAGGACCAGTATTCAAACCTATAGTTGAATCATATAAGAGTTAAAATAGATTTTCGTAATAGAAATGAAAATGCTTACTGAAAAATTGTATGAATAGTTTGATGCATTCAGACTGTGGGTTTTCCATTACATGCACATGGAAAGTTAAGTCTTGGGCTCATGCACTTTCTCCACTCACACATGGGGGTTTCCTAAAGTGGCTTCCCTGTTAGCCAGCAAGCCATCGGTTTTCCATTTTGTCTGAATACCTGTCCTTAATTTGCCCTTAATCAAGGATCCTCGCATACATTTTGTTCCTCCTTTAAGAGCAAACTGTAATTGGCCAAACCCCAATTTGTCCTTGTGCATGAATGTGACAAACTTTTATCTTGTCAACAAGCAAGGTCACTTTATAAATCTCTCCTGGTTGGGTGGGTGGGTAGAATACCTGAGGCATAAGTTCTATGCAAGCATGCAAGCAACTGCAAACTGTAATTTGCCATTATGTCTGAATGCAGCTTGGGTGTCTTTCATTCCCTTGAGTTGTAACATCTGTTTTCATCCCCTGTTGCAGGAGTGCCTCTCTGTATGCTGTTGAACTTCAAGTCTTATCTTCCTTAACCATTGGTACTGCTGGCTGGGGCTGATGAGAGTTAAAGTTCAGCAGCATCTGAGGCCACAGTTAACCACCTCTTCCCTATTGTTTGCTAGTGAGGAAATTATATGTGACTGGTTGGGCTCTATGTAGTAACAATTATATTTCTTTCTTTCAGCCTCAAGGAATAGGCTCACCTAGTGTCTATCATGCTGTGATAGTAATATTTTTGGAATTCTTTGCATGGGGGCTTCTGACAGCACCTACCTTAGTGGTAAGTGGTTTTTAAAAAAAAATTACTGTATTTTAACAAGGGATTAGACCTGACTCCCACTCCTCTCTGCTTCCTGTTTTTGGGGGACAGGGTGTGGGGGGGTTCCCTGGTCCTGAATGGGGTAACTGTGCCCCTGAAGGACCAGGTGCGCAGCCTGGGAGTCATTTTGGACTCACAGCTGTCCATGGAGGCACAGGTTAATTCTGTGTCCAGGGCAGCTGTCTACCTAGTACGCAGGCTAAGACCCTACCTGCCCGCAGACTGTCTCACCAGAGTGGTGCATGCTCTAGTTATCTCCTGCTTGGACTACTGCAACGCGCTCTATGTGGGGCTACTTTTGAAGGTGACCCAGAAACTGCAATTAATCCAGAATGTGGCAGCTAGACTGGTGACTGGGACTGGCCGCCGGGACCACATAACACCAGTTCTGAGAGATCTGCGTTGGCTCCCAGTACGTTTCTGAGCACAATTCAAAGTGTTGGTGCTGACCTTTAAAGCCCTAAACGGCCTCGGTCCTGTGTACCTGAAGGAGCATCTCCACCCCCATCGTTCAGCCTGGACACTGAGATCCAGCGCCGAGGGCCTTCTGGTGGTTCCCTCATTGCGAGAAGTGAGGTTACAGGGAACCAGGCAGAGGGCCTTCTCGGTAGTGGCGCCTGCCCTGTGGAACGCCCTCCCAGCAGATGTCAAGGCAATAAACAACTATTTTACTTTTAAAAGACAACTGAAGGCAGCCCTCTTTAGGGAAGTTTTTAATGTCTGATGCTGTATTGTTTTTAATATTCAGTTGGAAGCCGCCCAGAGTGGCTGGGGAAGCCCAGCCAGATGGGCGGGGTATAAATAAATTATTATTATTATTATTTATTATTTATTATATTCCTCCTTTCCTTGGTGCTTAAAGCTGACATTAAATCACAGTTCCCTGTTTTGGAATAGCTGAGGTTTGATTGAATCAGCAAGCAAATATTTAGGAGGGGGAGTAAGATGGGTTACTCATTCTTGCTGCTAAACTACAGTTTAGGAAGTTGGGGGTTGTGCATCTGTATCATGCATAAAACAGTGCATGATTATTTGGAAATACGCAACAGAGTGAAAAGTTACGCTTGCCCTCAGATAAATGTGTTCAGTCTTGGCAAGACTGGCAGGTTATGTGTATGGCTGTATGACAGAGCCTTTCCCTTAAGCAGGCACTAAGATGACTTAATGCATGCTAAAAGCAAATTCTGAATATATTCTTAAGTGTTCTATTGTGGTTTATTGCTATTTCTGTATCTGGCAAAATGCTGTTATTGATGGTAATATGTAACTGAAATGGGGCGGTTTGTGTTCAAGGGACATAGTGTGACCGGGATATTTGTTCTCAAGTAAATGTTCTGTTCTCAGTTAAATATTCATGTAATCCAAGTAAACTGGCTTGTCTTGCGTTTGAAAGGTAAAAATAAACACTCTTTGAACATACAGTTTTAGCTTTGTAATAAGAGGAGGAAGTAATTGCACTATTTCACTTGTAACTTTCTGAAGTATGGATAGCTGAAAACAATCCAGCAGAGGCTGTGTTTCTGTAAATTCAATTCCAAAACACACACCCATTTAGAATTTCCTAGGGCAGCTCTGCTGATTTCTTTCACTTTCCCCTTTATTGATGCAGTGTGAATCTGTCTTGGCCAGAAACATGCTAGCAACGTCTGGCTTGCATGTGGATAGGTGGCTTTGAATTTTGTAATATCTTCAGGGAAAGGTCTTCCTAAAGATTCCTTTGCCAGTTCTAACTCCGCAGCATGCACACTATCCATGCCCTCTGTCTCTTCAGACTTATTTTCTCCTAGCTCACCCCTCAGTAAGAGTCAAACTTTCCTTCTCAGTGCCTCGTGATATAAATGTGAGCACAATTCCAAATTCTCTATGCAGAAAAAGCAAACAACTGCAAATAGTGCAGTGTATGCAAATATGATAATGGAGGTAGTAAACAAATTGCTGACCATCAATGTTCCTGTGTTTGCATGGTCATTGTAGCTTATTGTGTGCTGTTATGTAATGACAGAAGGAAACTGCACTTGGTATCAGAATAATTTATACTAGCTCTCTAAAACCTTTGACTGGATACTTGTAAAAAATGGAAATAGAAATTGGTGTTAAACATGATATAGGAAATTATTGGATATAATGTTTCAAATACTCCTAAAACTGCTCTTCTGTGTCTACTAAACTCAGAAGTAGTACTTATAGAAGCGCAGCTTGCCAGTCCGTTGACATCTGGCAAGTTTATGCATTGTCCAACCCTCAAAAGGAAAAATCTTTCAATCTTTCAAAGAATGGACAGAATATATGGGAATTTTTCCTAATGACCAAATTAATGCATGAACTTTAAACAACCAGCAAACAGGCAGATTTAAAGAAAGAGATGCCTTTTTAAAAAATTAATATTTGGAATAACAAAATTAGTTACAATTTAATACTACATAATTCTTTTCCATATGATGCTATATCATGATGTTCATGTTTCTTCAGGGTAATCATATTTTTTTCTTTTATGCATTAGATATTTATTTTCTTTAATATAATTAGAACCTTAAGAAAGTCATAATCACATTTTATATTAGTTTGATACACTATTTGCATTTTTTTAAAAGTAAAATATAAGTGTGTCTGCATTATCTCAATTCGCATATGCAGAAACCTAGAAACTGTCTCTTTAAAAAAAGAGGCATAGTATCTCAAAAGTCAGGGCAAAAGGAAGCTACTGATGGTTGTGTTGCCGCACTGCCAAGTAGCAGCATGCCACACTGGGATTTCTGACGAATGTGGGCATGGATACATCAGCAGTTGCAATGGTCTTCATGGTAGAAACAGTTCCAATGTTGAGTGATACAGTTGTATCGCATCATAACGCTGCAGGTATTGCAGGCCCTTAGCTGTAGAACGTCCTTCTTCTCCCTCTTCCTTTTTTCTTAGAAAAATCACGTAACAAATGATGATAAGCTTTTTACAGTATTGGCAGTAGTGAGCATTTTCTGCTATGAATGGAAGTGATTCTGTCTCAGTAAACTGTGCTGGTGGTAATGGAGGCTAAGGACTTTGAAACTTTTTTGTGCTTAAATAGAGTATTCATACTCTTAGGTGTCCTTCATTAATATGTCACATGCGTAATTGTTTCACAGGTTTTGCACGAAACCTTTCCCAAACATACGTTTTTAATGAATGGCCTAATCCAAGGAGTAAAGGTAAGACCAGCCTAGTTTTTAAATGTTTTCTATTGAGGTGTATGATTCATTCATAAATCAGATGCCTGCAAATTAGACCTGAATGGTTCAATTATTCCACCTTGCTCTATTCAAGTTCAGGATTATACCTGACGTTGTGAATTTAGGGTGAGATCAAACACAATAAGCCAAAAGTTAGGCTGCATTTAATTCTTCGTTCCCTCTACGTATTTCATATCACTCCTTTAAGAAGCCTCTCAAACTCTAGGCAGATCATAGCCTTCGGTTCAAGATATGGTGTTACTAAATTCCTGTAGTGACAGAGATTCCTAATGTTCTAGTTCAATCTTGAAGTGAAGACATGTTATTAACCCAGGCCTTTTAAACAACTTGTGTGTGTATAATATAGGCTTCTCAGTTTTATGATTCCTGTTTTCTTTATCAAAAAGAACAAGTCTGTAATGCATTTTTAATCATTTTTGTGAGCCACTCAGATAACATATATTTTTGAGTGAGTATTTATTTGGAATGTGCTGAGGTCCAAACAGTTTTTTCCTGCCTGGTTATCTTCAGGTGATTTGTTCTCACCTAGTGAACCATGGTGTATAAGCCTGCTTTATATCACACAAAAAGGCTTTTGCAATGCCAACCTCCAAAACTGGTACTGTAGGGCTACCTGTGTTTTTGGTGGGCTAAGAGACATCCATATGAGCCCTATCCTGCACTGTGTGTCATATGCATCCTATTAACTGAATCTGCTTGCTGTAGAGTAGTGAGGTGTTTCAAGGAAGGGGCAGATTATCTTTTTGTTTAAAAGTAGGCTTTAGATGAATGTATTTCTTTTAAAAAGGCTTTAGATCAGTGTTTCCTAAACTTGGGTTTTTTTCAGACTACAACTCCCATCATCCCTAGCTAGCAAGACCAGTGGTCAGGGGTGATGGGAATTGTAGTCCGAAAACAGCTGGAGACTCAAGTTTGGGAAGCACTGCTTTAAATGAATGTATCAGGATGTGAAACCTTTCAGCTCTTCAGTGTGTGCATTGTCCTTCACTTAAGCCTTTGTTTTTACTTCCCAGGGCTTACTGTCTTTCCTGAGCGCCCCTTTGATTGGGGCTCTGTCTGACGTTTGGGGCCGAAAATCCTTCCTGCTGCTAACAGTATTTTTTACCTGTGCACCAATTCCACTAATGAAGATCAGTCCATGGTTAGTGTCCCCTTTTAAAGTTTGTCTGTATACGTCTGTCACGTTAGTCTTGTGTTCTTGGTTTTTATTATAAGGAAGGCACACTTGGCAAATCCACATCGTGATCGACTCCCACCCAGAAACCAATGTCCCTACTGTGGAAGGAAGTGTGGATCCAGAATTGGCCTCCACAGTCACTTACGGACTCATTGTTAAAACCGTGTTTATGGAAGACAATCTTACTCGGCTATGAGTGATCGCCAAAGAAGACGACGACAAAATGTCAAAACTTGCTGTGTTTTGTGCAAAGCTAGATGGTGCTTGTTAGCAGAGTGCCAGCTCACTTAGCAATGAATGCATTGTGAATGACATAGACAAGCTGTCCTTGGCTGCTCTCCTTGTTTTGCTCTCAGGCAGTGCTGGAGATTGCCTTTTGGTATGCTTTAGGCTTTCCTGCAGTCCCTAGGCTTTATTGAAGCAGAGATTTGGTTCATGGGACTCTGCAATTTCTTGTTCATCAGGTTTTTAGACAAGAATGAGTCCTATAGAGTTTTTGGCGTAGAGCGTCTGTCTGGAATGACCAGTTATATGTCATTTTTTGCTTCTCCTTTTCTGCTGAAACATTCACTTTTTATGACTCAAGGATGTTTACTCTGACAAAGTATGCCAAATTCACCTGTTCAATGTGCTTAACATAACCCATGTTTTTCTTTCTCTGTGCATTGTATGGGCTTAGCTAAAAAGCAGTTTATAAATACTTTGAATAAATAAAACAAATATGAAAGCTTTTTAAATCTAATATATTGTGGAAAGGTTTGTCAAAAAAATGCTGTTTTAATATTTATTTGAAAATTTGGCTGTATTTCTCCAGCCCAGGCTAGGATTTTTCTTGTTAATTGTAACTACCTTTAAGAAACTATCCCTTTAAGAAACTATTACTGTGGTTTTTTGTGTTCCTAGGTGGTACTTTGCTGTTATATCTGTCTCTGGAGTCTTTGCAGTGACCTTTTCAGTGGTGTTTGCTTATGTAGCAGATATAACCCAAGAACATGAAAGGAGCATGGCGTATGGCTTGGTATGTGTGTAGTTTATCTGAATGTTTTAAACTCAACAGTAGTTAGTAATTAGAATTCTTTTAATGTGAGTTGTAACACGTTATAGGAAGTACATTCAGCTAATTGGGTTCCTCTTGGTTAGCATCCTACGGTCCTGGCTTCCTGTTCCTATTTATCAGAAGAATCTTTACATCTTTTGTATTGTGAAAGAACAATCTATTGCTACTCCTACTCATAACTTTAAGTCATTCTTCCGTTACCTAACATTCAGCAGTTGCTATAGGAAAATCATGATCATTAAGTCTATAAATTATCAAAACGTATGGTGATGTTTTGTGTTAAATGCTTTCTATTTCTCTGTCAACTTTCTTGAATCCTTCTTGGCATTAGAAAGAGAGGATGTGGTTACTCACTGAAAATATTATCCCTGTTATCATTCATAGGTTTCGGCAACTTTTGCTGCGAGTTTAGTTACCAGTCCTGCCATTGGTGCCTACCTTGGTCGTGTGTACGGAGACAGCCTGGTTGTGGTCCTGGCTACAGCTATTGCATTGCTGGATATTTGCTTTATCCTTGTTGCTGTACCTGAATCATTGCCAGAAAAGATGAGGCCTGCGTCGTGGGGAGCACCCATTTCTTGGGAACAAGCTGACCCATTTGCGGTAATAATGTATTTAAACGTTTGGTACAGAGGGTGCTGTGGTGTGCTTTGAAACTCTGGAGTTTTTATTAATGTGTGACAGTAAATGTTTTGTTGAGCATGTCCGTACCGGAATTTCACCCCACTGCTTTTTGCAATTGGTTGCTTAGCTAATGTTTTAGGAGGCTGTGGAGTGGCCCAATTTCAAAACACGCAAACACACGTGGTCTGCGGCTAGGTGCCTGGCTGGTCTATATTTCCATATAATTTTGCTTACTTAATCTCTTTCCAGAGTCACACTTGTAGGTCTAGGCAGGATTCTTCTTTAGCCAGTTAGCTGTCCCCAACTGCCTTAAGAAACTACAGTCGTACCTTGGAAGTCAAAATGGAATCCGTTCTGGAAGTCCGTTCGACTTCCAAAACGTTCAGAAACCAAAGCATGGCTTCTGATTGGTTGCAGGAAGCTCCTGCAGCCAATTGGAAGCTGCAGAAGCCCTGCCGGACATTTGGCTTCCAAAAATAATTCGCAAATCAGAGCAGTCACTTCCGGGTTTGCGGCATTCGGAAGCCAAAACGTTTGACTTACAAGGCATTCGGGATCCAACGTTCGACTGTACAGTCAAACCTCTTCTTACGTCTGCCTCCGCTCCCATCCATTTCGCCCAGCGTCCTTAGCAAACCCGGAAGTAACCAGCAGGTTTGCCGCCATTCGCGCATGTGCAGGAGCAGCGATCACCATTCGCACAAGCGCAGAAGCGGATAGTCGCCACCTGCGCACAACAGCGCCTCTCCTAGCAACCTGTTTCGACTTCAGGATGGGCCTCTGGAACAGATTGTAGTCATGAGTAGAGGTTCCACTGTATATGGAAGTTCCATCCAAGTGGAACAGGCTCACTAACTACTGCAAAAATGCTTGGGTTGGGGCAGTGTCAGGACACAAAATAACTTGGGCTCCAACATGAACACATTCTTGAACTCTGGGAGAGGAATGAATGGCTATGGGGTGGGTACCGTGTGTCCCAGCTGAAGTGGCTACACCAGGACTGAATTCTGTCCATTTAATAAATGGGCAGGGGCAGAAATTCAGCTGTAGGAGAAAAGCTCAGTCCTCGCTGGCCTCCTTGCTTTTTATGAAGGTCCAGAATGGAGACATGAAAGTAATAAACCGATTTCTGAAAATCCCTTTCTTTGCTTCAGACCATATATGTGTGGGGAGGATTTAGCTTTGACTAGGATATAGCCCTTCAAAACCTTATTGCGTCCTGGAGAAATTCTAGAGAGGGGGAAAATATGGCTGGGTTGGGGGATGCACACATTCCCTGCCCTAATTGCCCAGCCAGGATAAGGCATTATCCGTCAGTTTTTCTCCGTCTCTGTTTATTTCAAACTCTCTTCAACATTCTGTGGCTCCTGAACGGCAGTGGACTTTCAAGTCTTTGTTGGGCTGTTTCAGGGTTTTTTTTCCCCTTTTAAAATTCACTCATCTTTTATCCTGCATTCCTGGGGAGATCTCTTCATGTATGCAGAAACCCCTCCATATGTGTGGCCCTGTTCACTGTCCTCCCGTGAGGCAAGGAACATTATTTTATTGCGCTTGAATGCCATCTTTTTCTCCCAAGGAGCTCAAAGTGGCATGCATGGTCCTCCCCTTCCCCAGTCTCCTTTAAACCCCACAACAACCCTGTGAGGTAGGTGAGGCTGAGAGGCAGTGAGTGGCTCAAGGTCACCCAGTGGCCTTCATGGCCAAATGGGGATTTGAACTCTCCTTTCCCAGGTCCCAGTCCAACACACTAACCACTACATCACATGGACTCTATAAATGATACTTGACCATTTCCCTTTCCCCCTCTTGTTCTAGTCATTGAAGAAAGTTGGTCAGGATTCCATTGTGCTGCTAATCTGCATAACAGTCTTTCTCTCATACCTCCCTGAGGCAGGACAGTATTCCAGCTTTTTCTTGTACCTCAGACAGGTAAGCATTTGCCTAATTATTTTGATTGTGGAATATTAATTGACAGAAATGAAGGGTGATCAAGCCGGAATGACTTGATGATAGATTCATTTGCTAGGACTTGTCACCTTTGCCCGAAGGGGGCAAATCACTTTTTATTCTGTGCTGTGTAGAATCATTTGCATTGCTTAAAAGCACATTCACTTTCTGCTGAAGAATGACTGAAACTCAGGCCTCTATACCATTGTAAAGGTAAAGGGACCCCTGACTGTTAAGCCCAGTCGCGGACAACTGGGGTTGTGGCGCTCATCTCGCTTTACAGGTCGAGGGAGCCGGTGTTTGTCCGCAGACAGTTTTTCCGGGTCATGTGGCCAGCATGACTAAGCCGCTTCTGGTGAACCAGAGCAGCACACGGAAACGCCGTTTACCTTCCCGCCAGAGCGGTACCTATTTATCTGCTTGCACTTTGACGTGCTTTCGAACTGCTAGGTTGGCAGGAGCTGGGACCGAACAATGGGAGCTCACCCCGTCGCGGGGATTTGAACCACTGACCTTCTGATTGGCAAGCCCTAGGCTATGTAGTTTAGACCACAGCGCCACCTGCGTCCCCTGTACCATTGTAGGGACATTTTTAAAAACTGTCCTGCCTTGAAATTGAGTTAGCTAGCTATATTCAGTATTTTATTAAATGAAAGATTTTAGTTAGATAGGTAGCATTATGTGAACTGAGCATACTTCCACACGCTCATCTATGTTTAACGTAAAAATGATCCAATGATTTTTTATTTATCCTTTAGATAATGAGATTTTCACCAGAAAGTGTTGCAGCATTTATAGCAGTCCTTGGGATTCTCTCCATTGTTGCCCAGGTAACTATAACTGACAATCTTGGTTTGCCGTAGAGGTTCTGTTAGCAGAATATCTTCAAGAACAGAGGTGGTTGGGCTGCCACTGGTGATTAGCTAAGTACGGCACTAAAGGTTTCATGTTAGGGCACTGATGTTTAAACTATAATCTGTGGAGCCACAGCAAAAATAAGATGAAAACGAAGGGCTTCCCAGTACAAATGGTACACAAAGTTCAACTTCTACACTCCAGCGCAGCTTTACTAAATGTGTGTGATGAAAGCAAACAATAGTTGTTACTTTGATTCTCTCCCCCCCCCCCCCATCATGTCCCCAGTCTCCATCTTTGTAGAAATCGGATGCCTGGGTCACTGAGAACTAACCCAGGATTTTCTGTAGCTAATGCTTTTTTAAATCTCTGAGGTGTCCTGGGTGTTTCCAATAACCATATACTGCATTAACTAAAATATTGACATTTTTCTCCCCTCAGACAATAGTTTTGAGTTTACTTATGAGGTCAATTGGAAACAAAAACACCATCCTGTTGGGCCTGGGATTTCAAATACTGCAACTTGCGTGGTATGGCTTTGGCTCAGAACCTTGGTAAGTAACGTTTTCAGTCTGTTGCTTTTTTGTTTGTTTATTGGCAGAATCCTGTTCTTTATTTAGAAGACTCCTTAAAATATATGCTATGTGACTCATAAATCTCTCGCTCTCTTTCAGCTTTCATTCACAGTATTGGAAAGTGTATGTTCTAAAGATGTGCAATGATGATTGTCATAATGCCTCTGTTCTGAGCTACACATTTAGGGTGATATACAATGGTTAAAGGGACAAGGGTGGTGCTGTGGGTTAAACCACAGAGCTTAGGACTTGCTGATCAGAAGGTTGGCGGTTCGAATCCCCGCAACGGGCTGAGCTCCCGTTGCTCGGTCCCTGCTCCTGCCAACCTAGCAGTTCGAAAGCACGTCAAAGTACAAGTAGATAAATAGGTACCGGCAGGAAGGTAAATGGCGTTTCCGTGCATTGCTCTGGTTTGCCAGAAGCGGCTTGGTCATGCTGGCCACATGACACGGAAAAACTGTCTGCGGACAAACACCAGCTCCCTCGACCTTAAAGCGAGATGAGCGCCGCAACCCCAGAGTTAGTCACGACTGGACCTAATGGTCAGGGGTCCCTTTACAATGGTTAAACCTTTACAATGGTTAAATCTGAGTACACCCATCCAAATGTATGGGTAGTACCTGATTAAATCATATTGTAATGCTGGAACCTGTGGCCATGCACTAAAGCTGAAGGTTGGACAATTCAAGACAGACAAAAGGAGGTATAGAACCATAGAATTGTAGAGTTGGAAGGGATCCCAAGGATCATCTAGTCCAACCGCCTGCAATGCAGAAATCTCAACACACAGTTGCCCATCCGGTTTGAAACCATGCAGGACCCTGCTTAGTTTGCAAATGTACTAGTACTAGCAGTTTCACACCGCAGTTAAACAGCCACAGTACTGTAGTGATGACCATCAACTTGCACAGCTTTAGAGGTTATCACTGACTACTAGGCATGGGTATATATATCAGGATCAGAGGCAGTATTCCTTCAAGTTCCATTGCTCATATCTTGCTTGTGGGCTTCTCATAGACATCTGATTTTGGGAAGAGGAGGTGGACTAGATGGAACTTTGATCTGATCCGGGAAGGCTGTTCTTTGAAAGCAGTGGGTTATCATGACTTAAGCCTTTTGATTTGAAGTGGTCTACTGAGAGTATGAATTTCTGGGGTATTGCCTTTAATGACTGCAGACAAGTGTAACAAGCTCTTGTTTTCTGATGTCTTCCATGTAGATCTTACATACATTATTCAAGCTATTTTGTTGCTCCTTTTTGCAATATTAGCACCAATGAGACCTTAATAATAATAATAATAACAATAACAACAATAATAAGGCACGTTCTTGTCATACAAATGGTTGGTTTCCCTGCAGCATTATGTGATTTTGAGCTGAAATTCTCAGAGGTGATTCTGAATTATACCTTGACAAATTTATCCATTCTTTTTTCCAGGATGATGTGGGCAGCAGGGGCTGTTGCTGCCATGTCTAGCATCACTTTTCCAGCCGTCAGTGCACTTGTTTCGCGAACTGCTGATGCTGATCAACAGGGTAGGTACTTCATAAGACAAGACACGTGAAGTGGAAAATTCTCGGAACCAATAAATGGCTTAATTTTTTTAGAAGTACATTGAGTACTAGTAAAAAGTGATCAAAATGTCTTTAGCAATCTCGGGATTGTGGGGAGACAGTTTCCAGACAGTTTGTTCCAGATAAGGCAGGCAAATATTTGTTAAGCACACAGTATGGCCCCAGTATAGAAAACTGTTAGCCTGTAGCTGATTCTTTTGTTGTTTTCCAGGTGTCGTACAAGGAATGATAACAGGAATTAGAGGCCTCTGCAATGGCTTGGGACCAGCACTTTATGGTTTTATATTCTACATTTTCCATGTAGAATTGAATGAAATTCCAGTGACTCAGAATGATCTGGGAGATAATGTAGCCACACAGCACCATTCGCAGCAGGTATTGTCTTCAGCATTTCTGTATATTTTAACAGAGGGGGGCAAACATTTCACTGCTTGCATACAAGTACCTCTTAGGTGTATATGTGGTGATAGACTTTGCTTAATGTGTGACTTGTCCTTAAGGGTCATTTCAGAAACAGAATCTGTGAAGGTTGCTCTAAAAAGTATCTTCTCGGGTACATGATAGCAGAGGTTGCGAATACCAAGCTTACGGCATGGGTAGCCTGTGTTGGTACCATACAGGTGTCATCATCCCTGTCCATCATTCATGCTGATTGGACTGATGGGAGTTGGGAGTCCACAACATTTACCGTATTTTTCCCTCTATAACATGCAGATTTTTTCCTCCTAAAAAGTAAGGGGAAATGTCTGTGCGTGTTATTGAGCGAATGTGTGGTCCCTGGAGCCGACAGGCGCGAGTTCAGGCAAATATCAATCGTCCGGAGAAGGGAAGCTTTGAAAAGAGGAAGCTGCTGCTTTCCTGCATTCTGCCTCAGGGTCTTACTGCCCACCCACTTCTGTTTGTTACTGTGTTTGCTCAAACGGAACAAAGAGCAGAGAAAACCCCTCCCTTCCAGGCAAGCAGAGGGGAAAGCAGAGCGTCCTTCCTTCTAATTCCTCTCGTGCTCCGGTGCTGCAACATGCAGGTGGGGGAGAGAGAGAGAGCTGGCTGGCTTGGGTGGGTGCGTGGGGGGAACTTTTGCCTTCCTTTCCTCCCTCCGGTAAAACCCCTCTCCTGCATTCTTAGCCAGCTGCTTCTCCGCACACCCCTCTCAGTGCTCCTGTCCCTTCTATGTTTTTCCTTCCCTCCCCACTTAAAACGTGGTTACAAAGCACGGATCCACATGGATCCTCAGGATCTTTGCATAGGGTCACCCCAAATTCACCATCAGATCACATAGCATGTCCATGGCTACAGCCTGCACCCAAAAAATCACACACCCACTGTTGCCTGGGGCTGCAATGGTGCAAAAACGTGGTTACAAAGCACAGATCCACATGGATTCTCAGGATCTTTGCATTGGGCTACCCCAAACTCACCGTCAAATCACATGTCTGTGGCCACAGCATGAAGCACAAAAATGATACATCCACTGTTTCATTCAGAATTTTTTTTTCTTGTTTTCCTCCTCTAAAAACTATGTGCGTGTTATGGTCAGGTGCGTGTTATCGAGCGAAAAATACGGTAGAATATACTGTACCTTGTACCTGGCTTAGAATATCTGATCCTCAAAATGGCTTAATATATCAATTCATCACTGCATGGAAATACTGAAGGTTATTTGTTTCACCATTCTCGAGTTAAAAAAATAATACTTCACATCTGTCCACTGCTGGAAAATCATTTTATTTTGTTAACTGTGTCGTACCTTGCCTGCTGAAGTTTTGGCTGTTGGAAAGGGGTGAGGCTGCAAGTGCACAGTGCTTTTGCAGTATCTGGAGAAAACCCACATGCAGCTTAAGACCGATTTCCGATTGATAAATGCACACTTCATTTGGGAGTGGCATTCAAGGATAAATCCAGAATTTTCAACAAAGATTTTGTATTACTTTTACCAGCAAACTACTGTGTGAACATTTTATTCTTGCAAGTCCAATGCTTGGCGCAGTATAACAACAACAACAACTACAACAACAACAATAATAATAATGCATAGAGTAGCCATCATCTCTACTTTGAATGACATATATGGGATTACCTGTTGTGTTTGGCATTCTCAAATATCTGGAGCAGTTCTGTAGTTTGGTTTTAGATATGTCACACAGCCGGGGTGAGATGATAGGTTATTGTTTGCGTTTAGTGGCTCAAAGTCCAGTGCCCTCTAATCGTTTAGGTTAGCGGGAGGAAGGGTGGGAAAGAAACTTTGCAACTCTGTTGGCCCAGTGTCCAATCTTTGCTGCACTAACATCTGGCGTAAGATAATCTAAAGGGGAAACGCAATTCAGACTAAAAGTGATGGTTTCTTTTGGTAAGCTTCTCTTGTGCTTTTCCTTGCAGAACTCCATCATTCCTGGTCCCCCATTCCTATTTGGAGCATGCTCCGTATTACTGGCTCTGCTTGTTGCCTTGTTTATTCCCGAACACACCAACTTAAATGGTCGATCGAGCAACTGGAAAAAGCACTGCGGTGGCCACGGTCACCCGCACAGTCCACAGGCCCCTGGAGAGGCCAAGGAACCTTTATTACAAGACACAAATGTATGACAACAAAACTCGAGGACTCCTAGAGCGAGTTTCTTACTCTCTTTTTCCCCCCACCTGCAGTTCTGGATGCACATTCCATTTCCATTGAAAGTGTCGTTTCTTAAGGTGGTCTTAAGAAATTTTATCTCTTTGCATGAAAATTGTAAGAACCACAAACAGGAAGTGGAAGATCCTCCAAAGAAGTTACAACTTAAATTATTTGATTTTTGATTATTTTTTTTACCCTCTAGGATTTTTTGCCATAATGTCCTAGTGAAAAAAAACAAAAACTTATTAAATCTTTACATCTTAATTTTGAAACTAAATTATATATATTCAAGGTATCGGCATGTGTTCTTGCATCAGTTTCTGGAAGGTGTTAAGCTTTATTCTCTTCATGTTGGTCTCAATGAGACATACTAGCAGGACTTGGGCACCCATTTATTTTAACTGTAAAATCTTTGGTCAGACGAATTCAAAGCCTTAATGTAGATGCACTTGACCAAGAAAAGTGAACTGGGTTGACCTTGGACTGTCAAATCAGTGTCTGGCAGGCTTTCCTTATTTTTACTAACACAATCATGTGTTGAACACACATCCTGAACAGTACACACTCCTTTAAGTGCATTATTCTGCTAATTCTTTCATTCTTTTAATTAAGTATATATCAGTATGTAGTACTTAAAACTAGTGGGTAGCGTGAGCCTAAAAGATTTTATTACTGGCTCCAGAACTCTACCTTCCTAAATACAATTTGATACCACTATGCTTTGGATGTTTTGCATAAGGACCTCAACACTTGAACACACAAACTCAACTCTAAGCTGATAGCCTTGAAGACGTTGGTGTGGTCTATGCTGGATTGCCACTTCTGCTACTGGTCAGCGACGGTAGCTTTTTAAGTACAGAGCTAAAGCCAAATGGCAGTTGATCTGCCTTCTCTGGCTCTGTTGTTATTTGTGAATGAAGTCTGCGGAGAGAGAGTGTCGACTGGTAAGTAGCCCTGCCTAGTAATAGAGGTGGCAATCCTTGCGCTATAGTGGCCTTTCAGGACTGTCACAAGTAACACTTCAGAGCCAAGGATTAGTCCTGCCGTTTCAGGACCACAGTACAGGAGAGAGCTTTATACAATTACTGATGTGAATTTCTCTAAAAATGTATATTTTTGTGTCCGGTTGTATTATTTAAGTGTTCCTTTGTATAAAACGTGTATAAAGTATTGTATAGTTCAAAATGTTTTCATCTTGTACTGTGGTTATTGCTTAGCTTTTTTAATGCACCACGGTTGACTAAAAGCTGGAAAAAATATGTAAATACACTGTTAATAAAGTTGAATATTTTAGTGATTTTTTAAAAACAAATTACTTGAAACAAGACTATATGCCATGTGTGTAGATGAGCTTATACCTTTCTCATGGTAACGCTGCTTCTTCTATGTACTCACAGATATTCTTTACTACTTAAAGGCATCACCAGCCTATGCTTTGTATGAGACACCAAGAAGAAGTAAACATAATCTATAAGGTGTAGTATCCAATGGTGACTATGTATTAATGGAAAAGAATCTGCCAGCAGAATGGGGAGGAAAATTTGGCAATCCCCTCTTAAATCTGCTTTAGACAGTTGTCGGAGGACTTGGTGAGGGGAGCGATGGAATACTGTAGAAAGAATTCCCTACTGACTAAATAAAAGGGTGTTTTTCGAATTTGGCTCTTGTAAAACTTTTATAGGAGCAAAATGTATCTACATAGCACCAACTGGATTTAGCTGTTAAGATTTCTGCCTTTGTTGATGAATTAATCAACATAGTTATTTTCCAGAAGGGAATCTTATTAGGTAATGTACAGTTTTTTGGCCTTGTCTTCAGCCAGTAATGTCAGTAACAATTTTCTTTATATACAGTTAGTGGAGGAGTTATATGAGTAAGACAGTTTTGAATAAGAACCGTAGAATTGAAACTTGAAATGCTTTTGGTGGGCAGCTCCTCCACTTGAGACAGTAGTGGGAAAGCGCTAGAGTAGTACTGCAAGCACACAACGGGGCATTTATATTTACACCTTTGCTGTAGTTGTTTGGTCCTAGGCAGGACTGGTGCATCTTGCCAGTTACTCTTAGCCTCATTTTGTAATTTTCCTGTGGAAAAACTTAACATGGGTAGAATTATGGAGGTGACTTAGGGGAAAGGCTCATCAGCCTGGCAATCCCTGGTGTTTCCAGTACAGCTGGAAAAAGCTATCTCAAAGTCTCGGGGATGGAGCAGTGATCTGACTCAATAAGGCGTTTAAGCTTAAAAATTGACAGTGCTGCTACCTTGCCCTATAACATCTGAGAAAAGACAGGCTTTCTCTACTGGCAGAAAAACTGCAAAATTTCTGTTCTGGAATACAAGGAGTAGGGCACAAATCAAATGCACTGATGTAAAATCTAAAAATCCCGGTGTCCTTCAAGTGAAGGCTAGGCAAATCTTGCCTACTGCACTGGGGTTATCTCCTGTTTCATTCAGAAAGCAAGCTATGGGGCAAAATGTGCAGGTACCTACGAAGCAATTTCTGTGAAGTGAGAATGTGTGTGTTATGCCTACCTTGTATACTTTTCCTGGTACTGAGGAATGCATGCTGTTGCTATTAGCAACAGGTCACAATGCATGAAGGTAAAAATCAGTGTTGTATTGATCTCCCACAATCAGGACCAACAGGATATAGCTGTCTTCCCAGGGTAACAAAGTTGCTAGAAGTAGCTCTTTCATATTGTGTTTTGCCATATCCCCACCCCATGGCAGCCCCAGCACTCTCAAAGTTGGAAATGTGCCCACTAGTCCAAAAAAGGTTGGTGACCCGTCTTCTATAGCATGGAATATGGGCAGAAGCTGACTTTCTGCAACAGTCTCTTTTAAGAGCATTCGCAATCCTGTGTCATATTTGTTGAGAAGTCAGACCCATGTAAGCCTTTGTAGGATTGTAGCCTTAATACCATGCAACCCTTAGCTTTTGTCAGTTGACAAAATTAAATGTTTGCATCTTCTCTTAAGAGTCAAAATTTATAGATTAATTCCACCAGCAATATTTGTTTCATTTTATTTGAAAATTTACTGAAATGAGCATTTAGATACATGTGAACATGCATTCTGATTAAAAGACGAATGTACAAATTTTACACTGCAAGGAATGATTCTGCCATACATGTTCAAATAATTTGTATTTACACACCTGTAACAATATACAAAAAGCCCATGTGCTAAGAAAGCAAGCCACTCATAAGTGGGTAACAACCTACTATACTAACCACCTTTAAGAGACTTGAATATCATGACTGCTAATAGCTAAAGAAATGACACTTCAATTTTGAAATCACACATGTAGAGTTCCCAATATAAATCAGTGAGACTGATAAAAAAATGCTTTGCAAAAATCTTACACTGCTTCTATTTAGAATAGAGAAGCGTAATCACAACCCACTGAGATTAATAGGTCTTGCACTGGGCATTAATCACCCACCATCAAGTATTCTGAAATTCCATAGCTTTTGGGAGAATCAGAATAGTGCTTATATATCTTACTGATTGCAGTAGCAATGTAAAGGCCTCAAAATTATTTTGAAGGATTGCTGATTTTCATTAATTTTACAAAAGTTGTTTGTTATAGGTATGCACCAGTTTTATGCTATATAAGACTTCTTAAATCATGCCACTATACATTGACTGCAACATTTTACAACTTAAAAACTGACATCTTAAGTTTAAAATAATTTGAAAAGCAGCAACATTATCCTTTGTTGTGATTCAAATGTTGAACAGTTACTTAGAATGTTAAAGATACTCTGATATACTACAGACCATTAAGATATAAAAAGTTGATATATTTCAAAATTAAATGAAAATAAGAATTTGCTGTAAGGCTGAACTCAACTGGCAAATCTAATTTAGACTGCTGCATTTGGTATTCAACAACATCAAGTAATGCCTCCTGAATCCTGGTAAGAACTAGACACACTTGCTTACTATTAGGAATCTTGGTGGATTTTTGCACTGCTCAATGTCCCACTGAAATTAGTGGAACACTACCAAATTACTTATATTTAGGAGCAATGAAAAATAAATTTGCAAGATTGCAAAATAAACCTGGAGGAGCTTATTTACTTTTCTCCCTGTAAAGTTAGGAAAGGTTCAAAACGTTTATAAAGAGTGCCACCATCTGGTCAAATAAGCAACAGACAATCAATATTAAGGTAATTTAGTTTGACATGGTAAGTAGGACATTTTTGCACTTCTGAAAGCCTCCAGAGTGTTGCAAAGAACGAATGGATGAGCTCATCCTTGGTAAAATTTTAATTTAAATGTAACTAGGAGCTGGTAGCGATGACTTGAAGAGTCACAGCTGAAGTGCATAGTAACTTTGACAAGCTTTAAAATAAAGAAAAGGCTCCAAGGCTTCAAAGATGAGTTTTTACCTCTGAGGTCCATATCCAAGAAACATGTAGCGCATGTACCTGGGAGAGAAATTGCAAACCTTTCTTCCCCTCAGTGCACTTTGATAATAATTGATACAAAATTGCTCAATCACTCATTTGGGTCCTTACAATGTTGGAAGTCTTGTTAGGAAATTTCTGTAATTCACATTACAATGTAAGCAGACCAAAAAACTAGCTCTTGTTATCTCTCAGATATTTCATTGCTTACTAAATGAGTTTATGTTAACACTTTACAGGGGAGATAATCATAAAAAGAATTGCAACTGCTGATAAACTTTTTACCATGGCAAATACGTTGTCCACTATCCAGGGAAGTAAGCAGAGGGTCTGGAAGGTGCTGCAGATTTGGCTGGTATTTGAGTTTTTATCAAGGCAGTTGACTTCAGGTGTCCTAATAATGGGGGAAAGAATCTTAAATGAACAGCTTCAGAAGATTTCAAAAAGTTTTAGAGCAACGTCTCACATTTTAAGTTTAATGCACATGCATGCTTGCCCACCTGTGTTGTGAGATGTGTTTTGGCTGAGCCTTCGTAAAGGAATGCTGTCTTCTCTTTTCTTCAAATATTTTGCTTCCAATCCCATGTTTTCACCACTAAATCAGAAGGAAGATACTTAATAAGAAGAAACCATTTCAGTTTGCCACACTCAAAGAATGTTTCTAAGTTCACTAAGCTGGGGTTTCATAAGATCTTCAAATAATACATTTTATGGTCTCCTAAAATACTGCTTTCTTTAGAAGAAGTCAAACTCTCCAGATGGTGTTGGGGACGGTCAGAGTTGTAGTCCAACCTGCTGGCTGGTGCTAATGGGAGTCCCAACAACATATTGAGGGCCACAAGTTAGACATTTCTTCAGGAACACTCAGACATGTAGTCTGTTTCGGACTGCCTTAGTCAAAGTAGTATTATTTGTATCTTGCCTTTCCACCAAGGAACTAAAGATAAGGTACATGGCTCTTCTATGTTTTATCTACCATAACAAAACAGCCCAGTGAGGTAGATTAGGCTGTGAGAGACTGACTAGCCCAAGGTCACCCAGTAAGCTTGGCCGAGTGGAGATTTGAACCTGGGTCTCCCCAGCCAGCGTCCAAGGTCTAGGCAACACGACCATGTACATACGCAATAAACAATCTTTATAGAATTCCTTCAAACCATAACAAGTACAAAATGAAATCTTTAGTCTCAAAGTCTCTGAAAATCTTTAAATGAAGCGAGGTACCAGACTTTGTACGATGAAAGGTAAGCTGTGAAGCTTTGTGTATTCAGCAAATATGATGTCCAACACTGAACAGCGCTTCCGGATATTGACTACTGTTTCACAGAATTCTTCATCAGCGTGGTGGGAGGATATAGAATTGCTTCATAAACCCATCTGATTTCGAATGAATGTACAGTGGTGCCCCGCAAGACGAATGCCTCGCAAGACGAAAAACTCGCTAGACGAAAGGGTTTTCCGTTTTTTGAGTCATTCCGCAAGACAAATTTCCCTATGGGCTTGCTTCGCAAGACGAAACGTCTTGCGAGTTCTTGCGAGTTTGTTTCCTTTTTCTTAAAGCCACTAAGCTGTTAATAGCCGCTAAGCCGCTAATAGCCGTGCTTCGCAAGACGAAAAAACTGCAAGACGAAGAGACTCGCGGAACGGATTAATTTCGTCCTGCGAGGCACCACTGTATGTAAATATCAAATATCAAATGCTGTGGAACAGTGCTCTTGTAATAGTGTCCAAGGCCTGGCAGCAGCTTTTGGGTTCTATTCAGATCAAGACCATTGTCAGGGAGGGGCTACAGCTGGGAAGAGTCATATTGCTCACTGCTAGAGCATATGCTTTCCATGCAGAAAATCCCTGGTTCAGTTCCTGGGTATTTCCACTTAAAGGGATTAGGTAGCAGCTAATAGTAAAGGCATCTGATGGAGAGCCAGTGCCAGACATAGTAAGTAGATCAATGATTCACATAACGTAGTATTAATTCCGCATAAAGCAGCTATACATCTTTAAGGCAAGTCAGACAATTCCACAAGGGATTCAGCTGATAATTTAAAAGTATGCATATCGAAATGACTGCATGTACGCAGTTTCACCTATACTTTAGATTCAAGTAGCATCACAAAATACTTTTGCATCTTCTCTGAACATCACATTCACTTTCTGGATCCTGCCACTTTTGATATGCCCAGTGTGGCCAGAGGAAAACAGAGCAATGCATTGCCATGTTGCCCTTTAGTCTCTGTCACTCTGTTATGGGCGGTATTTTGATAGTTATCATAAATGGGTTCAGTCATACTGAATAGCTTCTCCATGAAAAGGAATCTGATGAAAAAGATCAGGCATACCTGTGTATAAAATCCCAAGAGATTTATCTCAAGGGTCGCTTGTGCACATTCCTCCCACTCAAAATTAAAAATAATACTGCTGCTGTTACTCTTGGGGTGTGGGCAGGAGAATACTTTCATTTTTTTTACAATCGGTCATCTAAAACACGTCTGAGGATCCTTTTTCAGTCAAAGGCCACATTCCTTCAGGGATAATATGATGGGAGACACATTCAGGATGTAGATACCTGCTTCCTTCCTTCTTGCCACCCTTTTCTCTCCCCACATCCTGCAGACTGCCAGCAGAGGGACAATCACTCTTGCCAAAGGACTTTGTGCCATCTATTTTGGCACCCCTTTCCTCTCTTCTGGCAACCTCCACCCATACATAATTAGGCCAGGGCCACCGATGGACCACTCCTCAACTAAAAGCACAAGCACTCACTTCTCTTTATTTGTTGGGTGATTTGTCATCAGAGGAATTCCTGGCTGCGAATCTGAACATCTGTTAATCTCTTGAGGTTGCACATTGAACTGAACCTGCTGGAAACAGAAAATTTTTCACACACTCACATTTCCATTTCTAGGCTTTAATTATACATTAAAGAATGCCAAGAAGACTTACTAAAATCTGGTTCATACGCACAACACTAAAACTTAATTTAAGCCACCAAGGGATAAACCTTAGGCTTCCACACTCCCAGTATTTTGTTGAAATTATAAAGGAGCGCAGTTGTGAAAATTAATTTCACTTTATATACTTGCAAAAAGGAGAGGCTAAGAGATTTCAACAACTTAAGAGGGGAAAGACTTGTTCCTGAGGGATGAGGTTTGCCAAAACAGTGACAGGGTAATTTTTTTGTTCATTAAAAAATATTTGTTTTAGTTCTGCTGCCACAGGTAGCAGTTTCTCCATATGAGAACTTGCAGCTCAGTCCTTGTTACATGTATTCTTAAAGCCTGTATTCTGGGTGTGCAGCAGCTTATAATGCTAACGTGGAAAGATGCAATAGAATACAAAATTATATATTTGGGTGCCTGCCTTTTGTCCTGAAGTTTGCTGGTTGATGCTTTTGACAGCCACTGTATCTGGGAAACTTTGAAAGGGCAGCAAAGGAGAGATGGGATAGCCTAGTCCCGAGTTCAAAAATGGAATTCTGCTATCAACCTGCAAAAGAAAATTAAAATTATAAAGCCAGAGCAACAACAGCACACTATTAGTTCCAAAGCTCCTTTCATACCTTTCCCCTTTTTTGTATTTAAAAGCAAACACATCCAAAATTAAACTATACTAATAATTTATACAGTACTTCATAATTTGTACTGTACTCTTTCCATTTGAAAACAAATTCCTCTAATTGTATCTTAATAGTAGTGGATATTGGGTATAAGCACTTCCTTCTCTCCCAGTATGTGTAGAAATTAACACTATAGGAGAAGGAAAGGACCAGAAGGACCATACAAAAATTCATAAGGACATTACTATTACCATACTGTGAGGTGAAATGCCAGTTCTGGGAGTGGTACCACTAGGACTAGTAGATGTTCCTGACACTTCTTGCTTCCTCGTCATCTGAATTTCATTCAGCTGCTTGTTTAGCCATGTGATGACTACAAAGAAAAAATGTGCACCAAGTATTTCACTTTTTAGGACTTTTATCTGCTGTTTTAAATCTAAACCATAGCTCAGTATACTGCTGGACAGCCATACATACCGTATTTTTCGCCCTATAGGACGCACTTTTTCCCCTCCAAAAATGAAGGGGAAATGTGTGTGCGTCCTTTGGGGCGAATTCAGGCTTTCGCTGAAGCCTGGAGCGCGAGAGGGGTCGGTGCGCACCGACCCCTCTCGCTCTCCAGGCTTCAGGAAGCTCTGCGCAACCCTTGGGAGACCAGCGCGAAGCCGCGCCGGGCTCCCGAGGGTTGCACAGAGCTGCCTGCATTCCGAAGCCTGGGGTGCACTGAAGAGCGCGCCCGGGCTTCATGCACCTCTCCGCAACCCTAGGGAGCCCGGCGGGAAGTCGCGCCGGTCTCCCAAGGGTTGCGCAGAGCTGCCTGCATTCCCGGGCTTCGCGCAGCTCTGCGCAACCCTAGGGAGCCTGGTGCGACTTCCCACCGGGCTCCCTAGGCTTGCAGATAGCAGGCTGTTCTGGGGGCTGGGGTCGGGGGAAGCTCGGGCTTCCCCCGCGCCAGCCCCGCGCCTGGGGGGGAAATAATTTTTTTTTTCTTTATTTCCCCCCCCCAAAAAAAACTAGGTGCGCCCTATGGGGCGAAAAATACGGTAAATAATTCACAGTGCTATCTTATGAATGTCTACACTGAAGTCAGTCCATCAAGTTCAACATGCTTGGGTGTAGGACCGCAGCCTTAGTTTTGTCATATATTAAATTAGAGACTGAGAAACCTAGTCAGTACTCTGTGATAGCCTTACACGATAGATGGGAAGTGGGGAAATTACATTCAGGAATTATTTATTAAAAATTTAAATTACATAATGAAGTTGCAGAAGAGAGAAGGAAACAAAAGGGGAGGAATAAATATGGCAGCCCCAGAAATTCTTCTTTAGGTTTCAGCTGCCAAACAGGATTCTTAGTCTTTGCACAGTAATATTTACATGCTTGCACTTCCTTAACAGAAAGCTGATCAACTGCCACATATCTAAGAACATAGAATTTGTAGACCCACGAAAGTGAGATTACGTCTCAAACCAGCTTCAGTTGTTAGGCTCTGAAAAGTTGATAGGATTAGATATTAGTGGCTAATGCAAGAATCTCATACACACACACCGTTTTCATTGGTTTTGAGAAGATGCTTGCTTTCCTCCAGCTTCTGTAATGTAGCTTCCAATTGTTCCTGCAACTTGCACACCTGAAATGTTTTAACACAGGGGTCAGCAAACTCTTTCAGCAGGGGGCCAGTCCACTGTCCCTCAGACCTTGTGGGTGGCTAGACTATATATATTTTTTTGGGGGGTGAACGAATTCCTATGCCCCACAAATATCCCAGAGGTGCATTTTAAATAAAAGGACACATTCTACTCATGTAAAAACATGCTAATTCCCGGACCGTCCGCAGGCTGGATTTAGAAAGCGATTGGGCCAGATCCGACCCCTGGGCCTTAGTTGGCCTATGTCTTGTTTTAACACTATCAGTCCATAGCAGTTTAACTGGCAGCACCAAAACTTACTTTAAAAGCAAAGTGTATTAAGTCTATTGAAAAGCTCATACTGACGGTATTTCCACCACACCACAGAATTAGTCTGCCAATCATATGTACAGGGATTATGCAAAATGATTCAAGGCAGAGACCTAGCATGAACTGACATAGCATGAGTTTAAAGTTAAGCATCTTTTTTTTAAAAAAAACAACACTTACTGGATAGAAACCTGACCCTTAAGTTACCTCTTGCTCTTTTGCTCGGAGAGAACTTTCTGCTTCCTGTAGATCCTTTTGTTCTTTCTGCAGTTTTTCTTCTTTTTCAGCCAAGAGTTTTTCTTGCTGAATTGTTACTGTATTTTTCAGCTTCAGTTTGCTCATTAGAGTCTTTACATCGCCTTGCAATTTCTTTATTATCTCATTGGCCTAATAAACAACCACAGAATTTTAAATTAAGAAAAACGAAGTCAAATCATCATCATCATCAAGAAGGACAATAACGTGTTTTGAACAAACCTTAAGGAGTTCAGATGATAGTGACTTTAGTGTTGTTTCCAGATTTCCTATTTGAATTTGTTTCTTTTCTATATTTTTTTCCAGGTTTACCTTTTAAAAGAGCATATATTGTATTAGGGAGGTTTTGTTTTGCCAAGAAATATTCACATGGATCTGTTGCATAACGTAACAAGAACACTAGTTCTGAAATTCCTATTCTGTAATGTAAAATGCTAGCAATTTCTTAAAAGCCCATCACATCCAAAAATGCTTATTTATATTACTATAGTGACTACAGCGTGGTGAAATATGTAACTTTTTAAAAAGTCAATACATTGCAGTATTGCCTACACTTTCTAAATATAGCCATAATCCGGAGAACTACATAACTATCTCTGTGTGCCCAGCAGCTTTTGGATTTGTTTTTCTATTGGGAATGTCCCATGTCACACAGCCCACTATTTTTAAAACTTAAAAGGAATTTCAAGGGCATATTGAGGAGCACAACACTTATGTTGTATCAAATAGGAAGTAGATGGGGCATGAGGAACCCCTGCTGTGCACCTATAAGCAGCTCTATGGATTGTAGCTCATGTTCTTTCATTTCAGCATTCAGTTCTCCATGAATTAAAGTACTGCTGCATTCTAGAAAGTAAAATTAAGAACCTTTTGCTCATGTGTTGCATCCGATACTTCTTTTGCCCTAGTAATCAGATCCTCCTTGCTTTTGACCTCCTGTTCTAAAACAGCAACTCGAGTCTGCAGCTGATTTACTAGTTTTTCCTTTTCATGGCATTCAGCATCTAGGGTAGCATTCTCTCGACGTAGAGACAGAACTTCCTGGTTTGCTCTCTGGCATTCCTATGTGGTTGAAGAAATATTTTACAAGCATTTTAACAAAAACGTTGCTGGCAAAAATTCATGCTGTTTCATGCTTGACAGAAGTTAAGCATATTCTATAAAAACAAAACAAAAAAACTTGTTTTCAATACATAACTGGCAATATTTAGTATATTTGTATGAGTGACTGGAAACTATCAAATTGTCACCCAATCTTAATAGGTGAATATTACTTACATCTTCTATGCCAGACAATTTCGCTTTAAGTTCTCTGACTGTCGAATCGCCTTTGTATCTCCTTTCCATTAGCTCCTTGTTGACATTTTCCAATTCCTTCAGCCTATTCTGCAGCTGCTGCACTGTTTTCTGATGCAAGCTTTCCAGATCCCTTTTCTGTTGCTCATTCTGTTGTTGATATTGTGCTTGTGCCTGCAAAGAAAAGCAATTACTTGAGCAACTACTAAAGGCATAAGGATTCTGCTAGATGTATATAGACTTCTCTTTACACACCTGCAGAGCTTTCTCCTTCTCATTTGTCAGTTCCTGGGTATATTTGTTGGTTAGAGATGCTGTTTTGGATGCCAATTCATTTCTCAACTTGTCCAGTTCCCTGCTCTTTTCCGACAAGCTCTAAATATGAGAAAATAAAAATAGTAAGATGGTCAACTTGCATGTAATTGAAGGGTTTTAATCAATACTGTGCCAGTGCTTTATAAAATGGTTACAGGCAGGTTATCCTATTACAAACACATCCCATTGCAAAGACTAGCCTACAGAACATTTCCCACATCACACCTATCCCAGAAAAAAAAATAATTGCTTTGCACTTTACATCATTATATAGACATACACAATTCTTCTGTTTTTACAGAAACCTATAGCACCTTAAACACTAAAACTTAAGCGTAGTATGAGCTTTTAAAGCTGAGCCTACCCTAACCTCCCGTGCATCTGATGAAACAGGCTTTTGCCTATTTTAGCACAAGCTGCAATAAGTTTGTTACACTTCAAGGAGCCAGCGAACTCTTCAGCCATCTAATGCAGCTATTCTTAAATCATTTCCTCTCCTCCTGTACTGAATTCTCAGCAAGAAGGCATATCACAGATCCTAAATTTAGACACAGTATTTATACAATGAATTCAATCAAATAGAGAGAATAATATTCATTTTCTGTTAATCCCACCCCTCAAAACACAATTTCATGGGGAGCGTTTGGGCTCATTCTCTTAGCCCCGACACCTTAGTGCAACAAATTGAATTGCATGTTCTTTCCCTGCCCTGCCCACACCTCTAATTCCCCCTTCCCTCTGTTGTTTTGCTATGTCTGACTTTGATTTGAGTGCCCCTTGGGGTAAGGATCTGTCAGACTTTCTCTCTCTAAAGGGTCAGGTACAAAAAGATCATTAAGTAAACACAATACAGTAATTAAATAATAGGAGGAGTCAAACACTGCTCAAGCAGACTTTGATTTGTGCAATGGGTTCCTATCCTCTCTGCAGCCCCCCAACGTACTCCAAAAATCTGTTCCAGAGGGGTTGTCATTTTAAGGACATGCAGGGGGGAGCGTAAAGAATCAGAGAATTGCAGAGGGTCATATAGTCCAAAGCAGGAATCTCAACTAGAGGAAGGTGACGCCCCAGTGCTTACAGTGGAAGTTTTGCTCACACACGGATAACATTGTATACAAACCAACACAGGGTGGGTTTTTTTAACATTAATTTTCTACCAGTTGACCCACAGTGGAATTCTGCTCTTACCTGCTGGGCATAGTTCAGCTGTCTTGTAAGGTCCTCGTCTGTTTTTCTAAGTTTCTGTTCCAGCAGCAATTTTTCTTCCTAGGTACAGTTGACAGCTTTGTCGGTCAATGCAACCTTTTCCAGTTCTTGAAATCATTAAACCCACAATCCTAAACATTCTCACTTGGAATCAATTCCTACTGGACACAGGGAGATTACTTCTGAGTAAAAATGCGTAGGACTGCACTGCTATTCAGCACATCAGATACAAACTCACTCCTGTTACAGGAGTTGGGCTACTTAACTATTAGGTGCCTTTCCATAGGCCTAATTCTGAAAGATACACTGTCCTCGTTTGCATATCACATTAAACCATAGTTAAAATGAAGTATGGTTTAATGTGAATGAGCAGCATGTTGGTGCACACTGCTGAACTCACAAGTGATTTGCTTTTATTCCGCAGCGCTACAAGGAAACAAACACAGGCCTGAGGCTTCTTTCCCTCAAACAAATCATGAGTGGTAAGCCAAGAACAAACCTTGGATTCAATTCATAGTTTGGCTGGAGAGAAACAAACCAAAACCCAAGCCCAGATGACGATAAGCCAGAACGTAACTTGTTCCTGGCAGTGCAGCAGGAGCACCAGCAATTTCACATTAAACTGTACTTTATTTCGACATTGGTTTAATGTGATGTGTGAACTTTCAATTGTAAAATATAAAAAACTTATGTCAAGGTGGCCTTGTTACACCACTGTCACGGAAAGAAAAGCAGAGTATGCCAGACCACACAGCAGGACACACCCAACTTTATATTTTGCCTCCTCATTTAGACAAAGTGACCCAAGCTAGTCACTATGCCAAAAGATCCGAAAATGTAACCCAAACCATACAACTGAAATCTTAGTTTTACCTTAACACATTTCAAACAGGTTGCCAGAAACTTCTTGATTTCTGAATCATTTCCTGGTAGGAATTTCAGTGATAAGTGGGTGAGGTGTTTAAATGGGTTTGTCTCAACCACGTTTAAAAAAGCAGGAGTGTGATCTAAATTAGGGCCCGATGAAACCAGGTGCAGCAAAAACCTAAAAAAGAATAAGAACACATTAAAAATGACTTGCTAGCTGGGTCTCTCAGCACATGATGCACATATCCTTATGGAAGGGTAGGCTGGTACAAAGGAAATAACTCTTCCAACTCCACTGCTATCCAACTGGTATGTTATTCCACCAATCACTACAAATACTGGCTACTTCCTCTGCCCACTGGTAGAAGTGTGGATCAATGCAGGTGCAACCACCTTTTCCTAAGCAGTCTGCAAGCCTTATTTAAAAAGCCAGCAACAATCATTTGGAAGTAGCTCATGAAAAGGCAAAGGAAATGGAATAAGGAAGCAGCTGGTGGGGGGGAAGGCACAATGCACTATAACAGAGTATTAGATGGACTGGGCAGAGTTTGTACTTTGCCTCTAACTCTATTGCAGAAAGAGGTATGTGTTCTCCATTTAAAGGGTGTCAATAACCCCAACTAGCACTCCTAGAGCCAAGTCAAAGCAAAATATAATTGATAGATTTATATGGAATAATTCAACATGGAGCTAAGCAGATTGCTCTGGCAGCACAAACATTTCTCCTTGCCTAATACAGTGGTACCTCTGGATGCGAACAGGATCCGTTCTGGAGACCTGTTCGCATCCAGAGCAGAACACAACCCGCAGATGCGGGTTGCGATTCGCCACTTCTGCGCATGACGTCATTAAGCATCTTCGCATGCACAAGCAGCGAAACCCAGAAGTATTGTGTTCCGTTACTTCTGGGTTGCCACGGAGCACAACCCGAAAACGCTCAACCTGAAGCAACTTTTTTTTAAAAAAAATGATATTTATTAAAATTTCAGAAACTAAAAATTACATAGTTAAAGAGAAAAGAAAACCTGAAGCAACTTTAACCCCAGTCATGACTACCTCACCCATCTGGCTGGGTTTCCCCAGCCACTCTGGGCGGCTTCCAGCAAAAGATTAGGAATACATTAAAACATCAGTCATTAAAAACTTCCCTAAACACGGCTGCCTGCAGATGACTTCTAAATGTCATTAAGTAAAGGTAAAGGGACCCCTGATCGTTAAGTCCAGTCATGGACGACTCTGGGGTTGTGGCGTTCATCTCGCTTTACTGGCTGAGGGAGCCGGTGTACAGCTTCCGGGTCATGTGGCCAGCCCAGCATGACTAAGCCACTTCTGGCGAACCAGAGAAGCACACGAAACACCGTTTACCTTCCCACCGGAGCGGTACCTATTTATCTACTTGCACTTGATGTGCTTTTGAACTGCTAGGTGGGCAGGAGCTGGGACCGAACAACGGGAGCTCACCCTGTCGCGGGGATTCGAACCGCCGACCTTCCAAACTGCTGGAAGGCCCTTGGCGCTGGACCTCAGCGTCCGGGCAGAACAATGGGGGTGGAGATGCTCCTTCAGGTATACTGGGCCAAGGCTGTTTAGGGCTTTAAAGGTCAGCACCAACACTTTGAATTGTGCTCGGAACAATGGGACAGTCAGCTCTCTCCTCCTCCAGCTCACTCTTCTAGCAGATCTCCTGCCCCCTCCCCATGTCAATTTGGGAGAGGGCATGGGGACAGGAGAGTGGGTAAGCCCACTTGTGCAGGCTTCCATTAGCTGAATCCTGGCCATAGGTTTTGCATTGCCCATTTTTGTTGTTACCGAACGTGAGATTTCAAATGGTGTTAATAAAATAAATAAGGGCTTTAGACACAATCAGTCTCCTTGAATCCTACTTTTGTTGTTTGTAGTACTTGTTTTAAAGAAAACAGACTACTGCTTAAGCGTTACTAACCTTGGGATGTCTTTATTTTGTTCTTGGATACAATGTTGAAGGAGGTCTATAAATCGCTGAGGAAAAGCAGAAAAATCTACCAGAAGACTCTGCTGGAGTTTTAAACTATATAAAAAGAAAAGGTATAAGTAGTATGTATTCCTATAGACTATTTGTTACTAAAATCATAGAATTGTAGAGTTGGAAAGGACCTTGAGGGTCATCTGGTCCAACACCCTGCAATACAGGAATCTTAATTAGATCATACATGGCAGATGACCATCCAACCTCTGCTTAAAAATCTCCAAGGAAGGAGAGTCCAACAGGTCTTGTGGGAGTCTGTTCCACTGTCAAACAGCTCTTAGTGTCAGAAAGTTATTCTTGATGTTTAGTTGGAATCTCCTTTTTCCTTCTGAGATATGCAAGTCATTAGGTACATAGGAACAATGTTCATAATATTCATTAGCTAAAACGCAGCTTCCCAAACTTTTATCTAAGTATTTTCTAATCAGAACTTGGTAACTTACCTTTGAAAATCTTCCTCAGAAATAACAAGATTGTATAGAAAGAAGGGGTCAGAATCCTCAGTTAGACGAACAACTAAATCCTAGAAGAAAATAGTTTGGAGAAATTTATAACAGTTTCACAATTCTTTCAGAGCCATGCATTCAGTGGCTGTGTCTGCACACTGCACTGTATGTAACAGTTTGTTTTAACTATGGATTGTTGTTAATTTAAATACTTCCAAATCTTCTTTGATTAAGAAAAAAAATCTCAAGGTGGTTCACAATCAAACACTAAAAATACAATAAAAACAATAAATTCAGGAGCAAAAAAAAGTTAAGATAAAATCAATATGCTGATATTAATGGTTAGCAAAAACCTGAAGTAGTAGTATGTTTTTAGCAACCACTGCTAACCAAGAGTAGTTGTTTGCCTTATCTCAAGGAAGACTGTTTCACTGGCAGGGTACCACAACAAAAAGGCCTTTTTCTTGGCTGTCACAAGATGAGCTACAAACCTGGGTTACCACTCAATTTGTCTAGAGAAAGACAAATAACAAGGCTGAGTTTAGATTACATGCTAAGCAAAACCATGGCTTAACTGACAGAAGGAAGAAGACAGAAGGAACAAAGTGCGCACAGTCCAATCTCCAGCAGTCTGCTTGTTCATCCTAAACCATTGTTCAGCTTACATTACATGCAAACCAGCTCAAAGTAGTAACAAAGTAGAAAACTATGGGTATTCTGCTCGGCTTGGACATTCAAACAAACCATGCCTTAATGTTACATGCAAACCAAGTCAGCAACAGCCTACCCATGCATTTTGTAACTGTTGTATGCATCTATACAACAGATGACACCACAGCACCATAACATAGAAATATAAACCCCAAAGACAATGCTTATTCATAATGTTCCACAAGAAACTGTACAGCAGTTCCTACAAAAAGGATGGGGACTTGTGGACCTCCATATATTGTTGGACTATATCATCCCTCTCAATTGTCCATGCCCCAGCCTTTAGGGCATTGTTTAAACTTAGGAAATGTATCAGGAAACACAGTGTGTATTTGGGGGGGAAAGACTACTAATCCCCAGAAATCTATTACTTCTTACAAGGCTACCGTTCACGGAATCAAATTTGTTTGGTGCTAGCTGTTTTAACGATGAGCCTACTTTTCATTGGTAAACATGATCATATGAAGAAGCAACAAAAGGATAGCAAAACCAACACATGACAAGCAAAGTACAAACCTTTCTATGAATGGGATTTGTTGTTGATTGCAGCTCAATATTCACGCGAACGTTTATTCGCCTGCAAAACAGACATGTGACTCCATCTTTATTCTTCATTTTACTAAATGAAATATTTTGTACTTCAGCTCTGATCAAGATTTTCACAGGAAAAATTAATTAAGTGCTAAAATATGCTACAAAACAGCAATGAAGCCTTAATCATTGAATTATTTAGATTATATTTATATTCAGCTAGGAAGTTTTCTCAACAATACAAAAGTGAACTTGGGTAACAGATACTTTTCTTAATGTAATGTCTCCATACATGCCACTTGCTTTAAAATTGCTATCTAAACCATTCATTCATACACACATCACTAATCCTAAAACCAATCCACTAATATGGAGTGGTATGCAACCACGTTTTACTTACAGTAGACACATTGACATTAATGGACTTTACACTCATGTTTGTTAATTTCAATGGGTTTACTCTAAGTGAACCTTAGTTTCCTATCACCCATTGTTTAGTTAATAACAACAAGCCCACTCACTGAGTGTGGATCCTTATGAAGCCAAAACAGTACAAGTTATCAGCAGGCTACATTATCATTTCCAATGGGGATGCGGTGGTGGGAACAACTCAAAACAGCCCAGATTGTGCATGATCAGTGAGCACTGGGGCAGCAGTGATGGTGAGGAGTGGTACCTTGGTTTACTAACTTAATCCGTTCCGGAAGTCCGTTCTTAAACCAAAGCGTTCTTAAACCAAGGTGTGCTTTCCCATAGTTGCGGGGACTCAATTTAGAAATGGAACACACTCAGCAGAAAGCGGAACATGTTCTGCTTCCAAGGCAAAGTTCACAAACCAAAACACCTACTTCTGGGTTTGCAGCGTTCTTAATGCAAGTTGTTCATAAACTAATCTGTTCTTAAACCAAGGTACCACTATATCCTGGAAAATGACAAGGCTGACTAGAATCCTGAACACAAGCACTCCACACTACAGCATTGTTACAAATTCCATTTGTATAGACAATTTGCAGCACAAATGAGAAATAAACAGAAACTTACTAAGTCATGCTTGTTGCATGCAATTCATTCTAAAATCTAAATTGATTAGTGCATTATCCCGTTTTTAATTCTAAAATGCTGTAACAAAATACTGATTCCATATAATATAGGCCAAAAGGGGGGGAGGAGCTCTATCTATTCAAAACAATAGTTTGCACCAAGTTGCTCACAGCATTCTTAAAAATTATGGGCTTCCTGCACTTAATGACTCAGTAACAGTGTGATTTTTACTATGTATGTTTCCTTGGAACTTAAGTCCTACTGTATTGAACAGGACTTGCTTCCTAGCCATAGCTTTTTAGAATTGCAACAGGACTTACTTTTAAGCAAGCAAGCATGGCTCAAATTTTGTGCTCCACCAAGTTCAAATGCAGGTGTGCTCAAGTTTGAAAGGCCCTCGGAGCTGGACCTCAGTGTCCGGGCTGAACGATGTCGGTGGAGATGCTCCTTCAGGTACACTGGGCCGAGGCCGTTTAGGGCTTTAAGGGTCAGCACCCAGCACTTTGCGCTCAGAAACATACGTATTCTATTTACAAGTCAATAAAAAATACTTAACTAAGGTAGAAAGTGTCGAATGATTTTGACAGATTTTTCTGAGAACTCGGGGTCGAAATGAAGTAATTTAAAACAACTGTTGTCTGGACGGTTTCATTCCCCATCTGCTAGACAGAGGATGATGACAGGTGGGGGGTGTCCTACCCCCCCAAAAAAAACAAATCCTGGCTATGCCCATGCTCACAACCCTGTTAAAAGGTGCCAGTCTATATGCTCAAGGTTACCTTTATATGCTTTAAAGTTGCCAGTCTATATGCTCATGGTTACCTTTGCATGCATTTGCATACACACACACAGAGAGAGAGAGAGAGAGAGAGACTGACTGATTTAGGTTTGATGAGACCCTAAGCCACTGAAGGTACTGTAATGGGGCTCTTTATATGTCCAGCTGTCCTTTGTCAACAACAAATTGTCGCTGTTTTTTGTCTTGAATATATGCTATATGGTATTTTTATGGACCTGGTCCATGGGGTCACGAAGAGTCAGACACGACTAAACAACAACAAATTTATGGACCTAATAGGTATCTAAAGCCATTTGCGCATAACAAAATATGTACTTTGTCAAAGCAATTGATACTAGAAATGAGAAAAACCAGTGATCTTTTAGGGAGCAGGCTAGCAGGTGGGGCCCATTACTTACATCGTAGGTGCCTACACTGTTATTGCTATATGCAGGTTTTATTTATTTATTATCTTATACAGTATTCTGGAAATGTACTCCCAGGTTTTTTTCCTTTAAATTTTTGGGGACCCCCAAGAGAGTGGGGCCCTAAGCTAAAGCTTGTTTAGCTTATGCGTAAATCCGGCACAACACACACACACACACACACACAAAATGATGGCGCCAACATGCTGGGAAGGGGATGAACTCGGGCCAAAGACCCCTAAGGCTCAGGTGCGGCGCCTGGCTCCTCCTCCCCACTGAACTCAGTTGGACCACAAACACACGCAGGTTCCCGAGTCCGTTGCTCCCAAGCTTCGCAGCGCTTTAACACCCGCAACGCACGACATTTATCTGCAACCTCGAAAGGGGGTCGTTTGAAAAGCGTGACACGCGTCTTTCCAGCCCGCCAGAGTTCGTGTCACGACCAGTCTCTGAAAAAGCCCCTCCCAAAACTTGATCAACCCCCTCAAAAGCGGCCAAACTACAGAAAGCCGCAGCTTTCCTGTTTCAAAAGGGTCCGAGGGTCTTGCGCTGGAGAAGTGGGGGCAAGCAGCCGGTTTCCCCCCACACCCCACCTCAAGGGCCCCTCCGCCACCCCGGGTCCCGCCAGGGGACGAGCCAACCGCCCGCCTGCTGCGACGGAGATAGGGCGGCCCTTCAAGCAATGGGGGGAGTGGGGAGAAGAAAGCGCCCCCCCGTAGGCCATTGTGAGGGGAGACACGGAAAAGGTCTCCCTTTGCGGGGAAGCCGCGCCTCGCCGCTCACCTCTCCTCGCAGCCCTGGCACTTGGCCTGCACCGGCACCAACTGACTGAACAGACTCTCGGCGGCCGCCATCTTGCGCTTTGAGTTTGGCGCCGGCCTCCCGCGGGGCGGAGAAAAGAGGGAAGGAGGCCTCTCGGGGACGAGCGGAGGAGGAGGAGGCAAGATGGCGGCGGAGGCCGCCGCAGCCGCCGCCGCGCCGGTCTCCCCTCAGCCGGGCCGCTGCGCCTATTTCGTGGCGCGGAAAAGGCGCTTCTGCAAAATGGTGCCGGCCCGGGGCAAGCGCTTCTGCGGCGAGCACGGAGGCCGTGAGGTAGTCGCTTTGGAGGCGGAGGGCGGGGAGGAAAGAGAGAGAGAAATGGCCTCAGCTGGAGCTCGTTTCTCACCAGGCGACGTGGAGGCAGAGGGAGAGATTGGCAAATAGCTAGTTCGCTTTCGTTCTAATAAACAATGACTCTCCCCCCCCAAAAAACCCACCATCAAATGACCAAAATAAAAACCACGCCGTCAATAAGGACCCCCTTCGTTCCAGCAACGAGGAAATGCGCTTTGCACGTGCTCAGAGGCATGGTGGTATGTTGCGACAGATCCACCACATGTTCAGTAGTTGCAGATTCCTCGTGGCTTCGTTTATTTCCATGCTGGATGAAGTCTTCATCTGTTGCAACACACACACATGCTCAGTTCTTCTTTAAATTAATATTTATAGTGGACGACTTGTAGGTAGCGTATCATTCCCAGGAGGAAAAAACCACACCCTGTAAAACTGGAAACTGAAATCAGAAATTCTGTGCAATGCAATCCTTTACTCAACTGGGAAAGCAGGAGACTCTTAATCTCAGGGTTGTGTGTTGGAGTTGGGCAAAAGCTTCCCTGCATTACAGGGGGTTGGACTAGATGACCCTCAGGGTTCCTTCCAACTCTACAGTTCTATAATTCTATGATGGCATTTTACCCAAAAGTAAGACCCATTGACTTCGATGGGACTTGCTGCCAGGTTATTGTGTATATAGGACAGCAGCCTGAAACATCAGGTCATAAAATAAAAAAAGCTTTCTCTTTTACACATGCTTTTAAGTAAAACTTGTTTCCAAGTAATGTTTTAAGGATTTGAGTCCAAACTGCACACCCCATTCTATGAAAGCCGATTTTGATTTTGTATTCCGTTCCCGGGTGCTAAATGCAGTTTAGAGGACATAGTCAAGTCCACTGATCTCATTGGGGCCACTCTCTGTATAACGTATAACAATACAATCCATTGACTGCTAAAGTAAATACACAGTTTTAAAGTTAAAACTTTTTTTGCCACCCAGGAAGAAAATGGCAGGAAAAGAATTCCATGCCCTTTGGATCCGAAACAGTAAGCATGCTTAATAGATGTTTGCACACTAACTTTTTGTTTTGAGAACCGTGAACACTGCTGCTAGTTTTCTGTCTGTTTCTGCTTTTAGTACTGTATATGAAGATCAGCTGCAAAAACACTTGAAAAAGTGTAATTCAAGAGAGAAGCCAAAGCCTGTAAGTATACATCTAATGGTTTGAATGAATTAAACAGGGTTTTTAATGGTGTCTTTTAAGCAAAGCTGCCTTCTGCAGTGATGTTACTGCCAGTCTTCCTTCTGATGGTTCTCTGGTGAGATAAAATCTATGTGGCTTTGTTTGGGTGGTGTTTTTATTACAGTTATGCAAACACGGTTTATGGAGTACTGGGTTCTCCTAAAACTATGGATATAAAAGTGTAAGGCAGACTCCTCTAAAGAGGTGTTTAAAACGGGGGAATAAGAAGAATGGCATCAAAAGAAAAATGGAAAGGGGATAGAGAAGGAACTCTTCAGTGAACCTTTTAATGAAAGGCTAGGTAAAACCATATAAACATACTGAAAAAGTAATTGTATGTTGTCCTGCCATAATTAGATTTTAACATGATATTTGTTCCATGATTTAATTAAGGTCTACTATTCTCAAGATATTAATGCAGGACTGAAAGATACGACAGAGTTGCCAGAAGAGCAGGTGAATGATTAAATTTTAATATATGATGTTTGTTGCAAATGATAGTTGCAATATGTTCTCTTACTGCCTCTTGTAAGTGCACATTTCCTTGTGTGTCAGTCATGGTTCTGCAGCAAGATTTATTAGCCTAGAAGACAATCCAAGGGGTTTAAACATTGATCTTAGCTGACCCGTATCTTAAACCTCAGTATAGAAAAAGCTGTTTCTTTGGTTTTGGACAGAATCATATGCTGCTGATCATTTGAGGCACCACACCCAAAGGGCCTTTGTTCAGATGACTGCATCCATCTTCTTATATGTGCCATTATCTTCTTCATCCATTGTTGCTGTGGCTGGCTCTGATGAAAAAGCCTAATCCTATGCGTTTTTGCTCAGAAATATATCCCACTAAAGTCATTGGAGTTTACCGCTACTTCCATGTAGATGCATGTAGGACTGGACTACAGGTGCTTATGAATCACACCAAGCAGGATCCACTGATACCATAAACAGCTATATATACGGCATATAAAAAAAGAGCACCAGGTAGGATGTAACTGACAGTTGCCCAGACAACCAAGTTTCTAGATGTGTGTTCACATTTACTAGGTACAGTGAGAAACATCAAGCTCTCCTCCTCAAGGCTTTCCATTCACTTCAATTAGAATGTGTAGACAGGCTGGGAGAATTGCACCATTATTGCTTCTGCATTCAATTTGTGTACCCTTCAGCAGGTACCGATTTCTGCGCTGTCTAAAGAAGAGTTGGAGGACTTAATTAGAAAGCTAAGAAGAGCAAGTAACTGTGAGTCTGTTTTATTTTTATAATAGATTACGTCGGGTGTTGAGGAAATAGAGTATTGTAGAAATAATCCTAATGGTCAAAGCCTAATGTTTTTAGAATACAGTAGCACCTCGGCTTACGTTACCCTTGGGTAATGTAAACTTCGGGTTGTGAAAGCGGCAAACCCGGAAGTGTTTCGCCGCGCACGCATGCGCAGAAGCACTCTACCGTGCACATTCACAGAAACGGTTCTTCCGGTTGCGGAAACCTCGGGATCTGACCTGAGCTCCAGAACGGATCCCGTCCGCAACCAGAGGTACCACTGTATGTAAGGATGGAACTAGAAAACCTTTAAACACCGGCTGTTTAAAATATTTTTGCTGTTCAAAATTGTGTACTCTCATATGGTTAGTAACTTGGTCACAGGAGGGGACAGTGTAGTGGGTCGATGGTGCTCACCTGACACCTCTGGTCAGTTGTGTTGCTGCTGTTTGCAAGGGATGGAGGGGCAAGGAGGCGGGGGCATTGCTATGGTGCAACTGCATTGACAGGGGTGCAGGATTTGCTGCAAAATGAGTTGGGCCCATGTGCCTCTTTCCCCCTCTCCATAAGCAGCAGTGGCACAACCTGTCGAGGTTGGGAGTTGCACAGGCCCATCATGCCATCCATTACCCTTCCGTCTACAAGATGTATTTACCTGGAAGGAGGTTCTTTGTGACTGCCTCAGTTGAAACTCAGGCAAAGGATAATAATGCTTTTCGTCTTCAGGTATAAATTATGTACTTAAGGACCAAATCCTCTCTCACCAAGCTTTACAAGAGGCCTTGAGTGATCCCCAAAATGGAGAGGTGGCTTTTAAGCATTTGAAACAACAGGTGAGTACTCTTAGTGGTAAATACTGACTAGCAAAACTTTCTTTTAAATTTCTGGTTGATAAATGTCCTCGAAGTGTTAGCATATCTATATATTTTTTTCTGAAATTGCTCTGTTCTTTATGGAGCTTTCATTTACATTTGTTTGTAATGATTTTGGACATTAAATAAACCCGTGAAATTCTTTAAAAAGTAGATGCCCAAAGAAAATGCTCATAGTATTAAGTAAGCAGAAATCAAAAATAGGTTTGGCTGCAATTTCACCAACTTTTTTTGGTGCGTGGGTATGCATTTGCAAAGCAAAGGAACTGTTGTAGGTACAACACACACACACCACAACCTGTTCTGTTGGCTACACTGCTTTCAAGCCTAATTTCAGCAAGAAGAGGGCCTCTGTGGGTGCATGTCATTGCGGGTGCCACATAGATGACCCCCCTGCATGGAATTATCAGAATATGCTCAAAATAACAATGCAATAATTTAATCCTGCAATCAATTAGTATGGGCAGAATCAGAAGTAGCATTTTAGTAGGTGCTATGGAAAATTCTTCTGATTGTTACGTTGATGATAGTAGAGAGAATTGATTTCGCTGAGGTGATAAATAATCTTTTGACATCTGTAGGCTTCTATATTAGGTAACATGGAAAGACTTCATTTGCTTGAACCTGGCAACTGTTTTGTTGAATTTGGAGCGGGACGAGGAAAGCTGTCCCACTGGGTGGATATAGCCTTACAAGATTCTAAAGATGTGCATTTTCTTCTTGTTGAAAGAGCAACTACTAGGTTCAAGGTAAGGCAGTATTGCAAGCATTATAACCCCACCCCCCACCTCCAGGGGAAGCCAACTCAAGGGTTTTTTGTTTCTGGTTGTTGTTTTTTACAAAAAATAAGATTATCAATAAAAAAGTAAGGCCAAATCTAAACTTGTCTGTTTTAAAGTCTTGCCAATAACAACATTGCAGCAGGGGAAAAAAATACTGAAATTGATACTGAACATTTTTTATTTCATTTGTGAAATATAACTGGAATTTGCCAAGTAGCTCTTTTAGGAGGCAATTACTTCATAAAGCTTTCTTGTTGTTTTTTCACAGGTAGATGGTAAGCATAGAAAAAATTGCTTTGAAAGGCTTCAAGTCGATATCCAGCATTTGTGTTTAAGTAAGTTGCTCATTCATTTAACATATGCTTCAGTTTGACAGTAATCATTCTTTATGAACTCTGTGAAAGACAGTGCAGAAAAAAACCTTGGTGATTTTAGAAACAGTTAAAGCAGGATCAGTCCTACTAAACTGAGATTTGAGAACAAGTGTGGTGCAAGAGCTAGAGAACAGGATTTCAGTGGCAAGATTTTATATACTGTTAGGTATATAAATACAACTTTTCAAATCCATTACTAGACACTCCCCATTTGTATTCCTTAGGTGTTAATAATCACAAAATAGGTCAGATACACAAATCAATCAGAGTGTTTCAGTTTCATGTGCATTACTCTGTACATTTGGATTGCCATCAGTGAACTAACTTCAGATTAGTCCTCTGTATATTATTTTTAGAATATTTGTTTGTGGCCAAATGCATTGCACTGAAAAACTTGAAGGCGCTGTATCCAAGTACAGTGGTACCTCAGTTTTCATACACAATCCGTTCTGGAAGACCGTTCAACTTCCGAAACGTTAGAAAACTGAGGTGCAAAGAGCGGTCTGCCAATTAAATAGAGAAAATTGTGAAAAACAACAGATACACACAGCGGAAGCCATTAGACTTCCAAGGCACGTTTGAAAACGGAAGCATTTACTTCCGGGTTTTTGGCGTTCGAAAACCAAAACATTCAGCGACGGAGACGTCCAAAAACTGAGGGTACCACTGTATAAAACTTGATACATTTGACTAGGAATGTGTGTTTGAATTGTTTGGCATCCTTGACCAGCTTACTAAAGGGGTTGGAATAGGGCTATTGCCATCACGTCCTTATTGCTTATGGGTTTCCCAGAGCTGGCTTCAAAAGAGCTTGTGAGATGGGCTTTTGATTTGATTTACTTATGTTGTTAGATTTGATACTCTTATGTCCTATTGTGCTCTTTTTTTGGTAATCTTTCTTTTAAAAACTTTTCATCACAGTGTCTCTGGCTGCTCTGTGGTTGGACCAACATGTAATTTGTATGTAAAAGCATACGATTTTCAGTTTTGATTTTCTTCTGATTGCTTGATGCACGTGTGTGTCTGCAGCAGTCAGAAACATGCTGGCTGGGGTTCTCTCTTTCAGATAAGGTCCCCGTTCTTGTGAAAGAGAAGCTGCCTGTGATAGGAATTGGAAAACATGTTTGTGGTGCGGCAACAGGTACAAGACTGTCCTAGTTGGTGAAGAGAGAGGTGTTTGAACTATACAGTGAGAAGTTATCGCTGATTAAAATCACACAAGCCCAAAGGGTCACATGACTTGGCGCAGGCTTTGACTTTATTCTGAGAATCAGTATGTCATCATCTCTCCTTGGTATATAGCTGAACACGTTGGATCTGCTTAAAAATATTCACGGAAATACAATGTAAGGCCTTGTTTCCCAAATTTGGGTCTCCTACTGTTTTCGAACTACAATTCCAATTATCCCTATCTTGCTCGCTAGGGATGGTGAGAGTTGTAGTCCACAAACAGCTGGGGACTCAGGTTTGGGAAACACTGATAAGGTAACAAAATAAAGGAGATTAAGGCAAGTTAATAGAACTTACCAAACCCTTTCATAAATAATTGTTGTACTTATTAAGCTGCAAGCCTTCTTACACTTAACTTGGGAGTTGGAGTCCTGTTGGGTTGGGCTGCTAAGTAAGAATATAGCTTGAAAATGTTGCACCATAAATTTGGCACATCTGTTAATGAACCAAGTTTTTTTAACTGTTGTGGATGGAATCAGGTGAAAAGATGGTTCAGACATCAGAAGAACATGACCAAGATGACATAAATGTTACAAGTTATACATTATTTCTATTGCTCTTTGAAGCAGCCACAGTTCAAACAATACTTTTGTGTTCACAGATCTTGCTTTGAGATGCTTAGTTGAAACATACACAAAACTCTGCAAAGGCGAAAAGGAGAGCCCTGCACCTAAACGCTTTAAGAGCAATGAAACCAGCATAACTTCTAATAATTCTGGTGAATTGCATGGCAAGCCTATAGCAGACAGCTGGAGCCCTGTGGCTGGGGTTGTTATTGCCCTGTGTTGCCATCATAGATGTGACTGGAAGCATTACGTAGGCCAAGACTTCTTCACAAAAGTAGGACTTGGGGCGATGGAATTCAATTATTTTAAACGGATGACAAGCTGGGCCACTTGTGGCATGAGAGAAACTGAGAGGAAAAGCTATGCAACTCATACAAAGAATGAAGAACAGAGCAATGAGACAGAAGAAGATGACCAAGATGAATACAATGTGGATAGCCTGCAAGGGTACGTGATCCTTTTCAGCACAACAGATTATTGAAATAAATAGGTTTTAACGTTCTGCATTTGATAGTCATTCAGATATGTAAATTAGGAGTATTACTTTCCCTTCCAAAATGTATTTTGTAATTTGTTGCAACCTAAAAGGGACACGGGTGGCGCTGTGGGTTAAACCACAGAGCCTAGGACTTGTCAATCAGAAGGTCGGCGGTTCGAATCCCCACGACGGGGTGAGCTCCCGTTGCTCGGTCCCTGCTCCTGCCAACCTAGCAGTTCAAAAGCATGTCAAAGTGCAAGTCGATAAATAGGTACCGCTCCGGTAGGAAGGTAAGCGGCGTTTCCGTGCGCTGCTCTGGTTTGCCAGAAGTGGCTTAGTCATGCTGGCCACATGACCCAGAAGCTGTACGCCGGCTCCCTCGGCCAATAAAGCGAGATGAGCGGCACAACCCCAGAGTCGGCCACAACTGGACCTAATGGTCAGGGGTCCCTTTACCTTTACCTTACAAGATTTTAAAGTAGATCCAAGTCCACAAACGTAAATTTGTTGGTCTTTAAGGTACTGCATGACTTTTAAGGAATTCTGAAGTCACCCATTTGCATTGCAGTGCTCTAAATCTGATATCCCGATTCCTTGAGATGTTACAATTGCTGTATTTAAAAACATTTTTTCCTTCTGGTTTTAGGCTGTTAACCACTGAGGACCGAAAGCAGATAGGTCAGCTTTGCAAACTGTTGATTGATCATGGTCGGATCGAATATTTACAGCAGAGAGGATATGAAGCTATGTTGCAGCACTATACAGATCTCAGCGTGTCCTTAGAAAATGTACTCTTGACAGCTGTGCCATGTCAGTCTTCATTAACCCCCTCAACTGCTTAAAAGCAAGAGGACTTTAGAAAAAACTGGACACACAGTCTGCAGAACATGCCTCCTCTTCTAACATCCAGTATAGAGCTTACCAAATAGCTAGAGGTTTGTATAGCCTCCTCTGGAACCAGAAGAAAGGAAACATCAACTTCTTCACTGAGAGAACGCCTTTGTTTGGAAGACATACTCTTGTGAACTTCCAGTAACAGTGAAAACTCAGAGTGGAAAAGATTATTTTTTTTACTTTTCATTGACAGCAGCACCAGCTAGCATACCACCTTCCATGTTTTCTGAAAGAGAAAATATTTAATGGAAGAAATCTACATGCCAAGAAACTTACATTAAAATAATAATACTGTCAACTTATTTATAATCCTATCTGTTCACCATATCTTTTTGAAAGGTTTTTTTAAAACAAGTTTTTATACTGTTTGCATTATGTGCTTGCATAGAATTAAAGTACTTAGCTGAAGCCTGTTGAGTATTTTATTTTCCTGCTAATGGACTGTAATTTAAATTATACCTTATAATTATACCTTGTAACACATAGTTTACTTTTTCATATGTTTATGTTTTTTCTTTTAAAATAGCAGCTAGAGGCTCCCACATCGGAACTGGGATTGCATTGCACAGAGAGTGAGCATTGAACCCTTTCTCCTGTGCAGTGAAAACCCTTATTTCTGAAGCTGTAATTTGCCTCAAGAAGGGGTGATTTTTCACCGGAGCTTTCATAGCTGTTTCCCCTTAGAAAATCGTACGCTACAGGGGGGTGAGGAAGGAAAAATTAGATAGCACATGCAAACATGCTGACAAATCTAGTAATATATTAGTGTTTCCCAGCCTGCCTTGACAGCCCAGAGAGAAATGCCTTTGTTATTTGTTAAAAGTAGTGCCAACAATCTTAAGAAGGAATATATTTCCACCCTGAGGAAGAATAAAGATTAGAAAGTAAAAGATCACAAGGTTGCATCACTTGAAAATATGTCCTTAGCATTTGGTCGCTGAATTCAAATATAACTTTTATTTTAATGGTATAAAGATACCTTTTCTGCTGAGTGACTCCTGAATGTATGCTTGCATGAACTGAATGCCATACAGTTCCTGTTCTTCTTCTTCTTCAGGATTCTCACAAGCGGGTAGTGTTACCTCCAGCTTCAGTGGATTGTCTCTGAAGTTGACAAATCTAGTAATGCATTAGAGAGAAATTCAAAAAGCAAGAGCTGTTTCAGGCCTTAAAATCTAATCCTCAGGTGAAATGGTTTGCAGCGAAGTTTACTGGAGTAGTATGTGCACTTTGAAACCTTATTGGACCACTTCCTCCACAATATTAAGGCAGCGGTGTGGTTTTGTTTGTCTGCCTATGAATATGAACATTGCAGGCACAGCGATTGCTTTCCTCTCACCTCAGCTCCGTCATGTCCTTTAGGCAAGCAGGAATATCTTGGAGCTTGTTGCTGGTAAGGACAAGCGTGCTCAGATTTTTCAGGTTACGAATGGATTCGGGTAAATGAGTTATTTCATTCCTTTGGAGCCACAAAGTATGTAGGTTTTCAGCTCTGTGAAGTCAAGCAGATACCTTAATTATGAAGAAAACCACTTGGCTATATATACACATTTCTCTACCCCCTGTAATTTTTCATTGTGGTGGTAGTAATGAAGGCTGAGCATGGAGTGCTATGAGCAATTTCTCTGTGGTATTCGATTACGGGATCTCTGGCAGCTAGCTGAGGATAAACACTGTATTTTTCACTCCATAAGACACTTTTTTCTTCATAAAAAGTAAGGGGAAATGTCTGTGCGTCTTATGGAGTGAATGCGTGGTCCCTGGAGCCAAATTGCCCAGGGGCAAAAAGCAGATCATGCTTTTTTTTTTTTTTTTGAAAGAGGGAAGTGGGTGTTGAAACAAAGCCGCTGATCGGCAAGCGATCTGGAGTGAGATAAGGGACGCTAGCAATAAAGGAGGCTGCCTGGGAGTGGGGAGGTAAAGACAGCAAACTGCAAGGAGAGGAAACAGGAACACTAAAGCAATGAGGAGAGAAATTAGAAGAAATGGAGGAGCAAAAAACTGCTCCAGCTAAGGAAAAGACACTAGGGCAAGCAAGAGGAAAGGGAGTGTTGAAAGGAAGCAGCTGATCGGTAAGGGATCGGGGAGGGAGATAAGAGATGCTAGAGATAAAGGAGGCTGCTTGGGAGGGGGGAGGTAAAAGCCCATGGATCCTCAGGATTTTTACATTGGCTCACCCCAAATTTACCATCAGATCACATAGCATGTCCATGGCTACAGCCTGCACCAAAAAAACCACGTACCCACTGTTTCGTGGGGCTGCAATGGTGCAAAAATGTGGTTACAAAGCACGGATCCACATGGATTCTCAGGATTTTTGCATTGGGCTACCCCAAACTCACAATCAAATCACATGTCTGTCGCCACAGCATGAACCACAGAAATCATACATCCACGGTTTCGTTCAGAATATTTTTTTTTCTTGTTTTCCTCCTCTAAAAACTAGGTGCATCTTACGGTCAGGTGCGTCTTACGGAGCGAAAAATACAGTATCTGCCTGAGATCTTGAAGCGGTAGTGCTTGTCAGGGCTGACAATATCAAAGCATTAGTTTGAATTGGTGGAGGGTAAACCCTTGCAATAGTAACTAACTATAGCATTTACAGAGGAGAATATGGCCCCCCAAAGTCAGACAGTCATGCCAAAATTGTTTTGTCATTCACCTGTTCACCCCTCTCTGCCCAACTCACAAAGGGGGCTTCTATGATCCTCATCAATGTATGAGCCTGAACTGCTAGCTTGGTTTGCACACCCTTATATTTAAGGACTCACCTGGTAGTCATAAGCATTCAGAATTTCATGCATGTAACTGAATAGGCTGGTGGAGAAAGAATGGGCAACTTGGTTTCTCTGCTGGCTGCAGAGGAAACAAAGCCTGTTCTGTCCCATGACCAGCAAGGACTTGTTTGCTTTAGGATAAATGGTACAACAATATAGCTTGCCTATACTGCAATATATTTCAGTTTTTACTATCTAGGTAACAAGACATTTCATTTCAGTAAACTTTGATTGTTACCAATAAATACTGGAAAGCAGCAGGAATTTCCCCAAGGTTTGTAATTTACCTGTCCAGATCCCCAGGGATTTCTGTAATTTTGTTGCTCCCCAAGTCTAACCATTCCAGGTTTGGCATATCCAGGATGACTGATGGGAAGGTGGTGAACTGATTCATACTCAGATCTAGGTGATAAAGCTTCTTCATGTTGCTGAGCTGGTAAAAACGCATAAGTATCTCAGTGATAACAACTTTATGAAGCATGCCGTGGGCTATAAACACTGAGGAAGCGTTGGATCCAATTTTGGGCTCTCCTGTGCAATAAACCAGTAGTGCCTCTCCCTATCCCCCACCCCATGAGGTGGGAGAGATCACAGGAGATACCTGGACATAACTCATGTTGCTTCAGTCATCTTTAATCCATCCTCCCCATTGATCTTTGAAAGGAAAGCAGAAGTATAGGGTCCTAAGCATTGTACCACGTGTGCAGGACTTAGCTCAGCAGGTATCAGGAGTGAGCCAGCAGTAAACCACACCATGCAAGCTGGAGTTAATGCTTTATTAGCAAGAACACAGTCTGCACAGACGTGGCAGAGAGGCCTCATGAGCACAGCAGCTCATCCCTGGTAGGTCTTGCCCCATGGTTCAGTTGCCAAGACTGAATGTTCCTGCCTTCTCTTGCTTTTCCCAAGCAATTGGAGACTGCTGTGTGAAGTCAATCTCTCCTCTGCCCTTTTCATGCCTCTCTTGGTTCTGGGAAAGGGGAGGGGAGCAGGAGGGAGAGACACTCCGAGGACCTTCTGGCGGTTCCCTCACTGCGAGAAGTGTGGTTACAGGGAAGAAGAAGAAGAAGAGTTTGGATTTGATATCCCGCTTTATCACTACCCAAAGGAGTCTCAAAGCGGCTAACATTCTCCTTTCCCTTCCTCCCCCACAACAAACACTCTGTGAGGTGAGTGGGGCTGAGAGACTTCAAAGAAGTGTGACTGGCCCAAGGTCACCCAGCAGCTGCATGTGGAGGAGCGGAGACGCGAACCCAGTTCACCAGATTACGAGTCTAGCACTCTTAACCACTACACCACACTGGGAACCAGGCAGAGGGCCTTCTCGGTAGTAGCACCCGCGCTGTGGAACGCCCTCCCATCAGATGTCAAGGAAATAAACAACTATCTGACTTTTGGAAGACATCTGAAGGCAGCCCTGTTTAGGGAAGTTTTTAAATGTTGGATGTTTTATTGTGTTTTTAATATTCCGTTGGGAGACTCCCAGAGTGGCTGGGAAAACCCAGCCAGATTGGCGGGGTATAAATAATAATAATAATAATAATGGCTCTTCACCAGCCTGACTCATTTCTGCCTCTTGGACTCCTTCCCCAGCTTCTTGATTCTGGACTTCTCTCTGACACAGACTCTCCCAGTTCACTAAACCCTGTTACCTCCTCAGCTTCCAACACCTCTTCCCAGTCTTCTCCTTCAGCCCACTAAAACATCCTCCCACCACCACTCCCCGGGCTCTGAGCCTTCTTCCCTTGGTGGTTCCCCAACTGCTTCCTCCCACCTGTGTCCAACGAGGCCTGACCTTACTTGTGCCATTGCCAGCTAAGCTCAGCCACCTACTTGAGAAGAATCATATCTAAATCAGTGGCACCAGGCTATGTGTCGGATATAGTCAGGCAGGCAGCTTACTCTTGAATCTAGTCCAGTATACAATACTGTAAGAAAGATGAGCCACAACAAAGGGCCTACAGAGCAGGTGCCAGAGTGACCAGTGGGATATGCTTGTTCAATAAATAAATCGGCCCTGTTTCTATAGCAATGGCTCGTTTGTTCTCTTTCTCCGTTTGACTTTGTATAATAAGCACATAAGCCTGCGGGCGTTGTGCAAACAGTATGAAAGGGCCAACACAGAGTCCCAAGATATTTTGGTAGAGTGACAAGGGAAAACCAAGCCTGAGAATTTCCGCAAGGAAATGTAACACACAAACGGCTGCAGAGCGAGCTGGGCAGAGCCATGTCAAACATTACAAAACGGAACGAGGAAGTAGAAGCATGAGTAACCTCTCTGGAAATAATGAATCTCCTTGCAATAAAATCAAGAGGATAATAAACAAATCATTAGCACTGCCCCCTTTGAACCGCTTTGGCTGCAACATTTAGGATACTGTCCTAAGCATGCTTACTAAGGAAGAATCTCCATTCAACACAGTGGGGCTTACTCCCGAGTAAACGTGCATAGGCTCGTGCTGTTGTGTCCTATGCCATCTTATAACAGGCTTCCCACCTTCTCACAAATACAAAAGGAAAATCTCTTTCTACTGTGGAACATGCATGCATCATCTTTTAAAATTTTGTTTGTCCTTCAGAACTATTGTTCTACGTGGTGATGCATGCAGTTAACCAATGGTAAATCAGTTAATCAACCGATATTCCTTTAATCGGTCAACAGCCCTAATTGTACAATGGAATGTGATACTAGGGGATAGCTCAAAATGGCAGCCCTCGCACCAGATCTTTGGGATCTGTCGTTGAGCTTACTATTGTGCAGTAGTGTCTTTATGAGAACTGGCATACCCACATGGCGCTGTACATGCAGCTACTGCAATTTTGACCATTAAAAGGCTTCCACAATTGGGTGAACTGTGACAGTTACATTAAATCCACTCTCACAAGTGGTGTCTCCATGTTGGTGCCACCTGGTTGCAAGGGAAGGGAAGGGCTAAGTTGGCACATGGTGAAGGAATAGATTCCACATTGGTTACACTGGTATAAAATGGTAATCGTAAGCAAGTCCCTTGTCCCCCTTGGGATCAAAGAAACAGAGAGAATATGGTCTTTCCAAACCTGATGGGGAAGGTCACAGATGTCTCTGTTCACTGCCAGCTCCAGTCTTTCTAAGCTGACACAGTTGCTTAGCTCTTTAGGAACAGATTTAATTTTATTGTAACTGAGGATCAGCTCTTGGAGATTTGACAACTGGCCTGCAAAAGTTACGAATGAAACAAAAATGGGTGATAATGTTCACTTGTTAAAAGCTTATTTTCCAACAAATAGCTCTCAGTTTGCATTTCTTAGTGCAGAAAGTATTGATCTGATGTGTAGATATCTTTCCTATTCTAATTCATTCAAGAGGGTTCTGGAAGCTTCTCTGTATGAAAGAAGCTTAATGTTGTTTGGGTTATACCTTCTGGGAAGCTGGTTTGAACTGATTCTCTTATCTCTTCCAGTTAAGGTCAAGCTGACTATAAATATAGGCCAGAAGGAGCCTGGGTTTTACTTTATTTCTCTATCTCTCTTCCTTCTGGTGTGGTGTTCTGTACATAGTATGCTTAGTGCTAAGGTTTATTATGAGTTAAGTTTATAAGCTTTTGTAAGCGCTGCAACTGGATTTCTTATGGACCGTGCCAATCCTGAATGTACTGGATTTGTGACCATTATGCTCATTTGCCTTCAGCACAAGTAAAGCTCTGCTGGATGAAGTACTATTGCCTCTGGTCTGGGTTTTTTTGGGAAATTCTGCTACATGTTTTAAGGCAGGCATGTCCAAAGTCTGTTTCGGGGGCCTAATTCAGCCCACCAGTCAATTTAATCCAGCCCCCATGGCAGTATCTGTCCTGGGGTAAAATCTTAAAAAACCTCAGGAACCTCAATCCTAAAAAAACCTCAATAACTTTGGGGTTAAAATTGTAAAAAAAGCTGAACAACTTTGGTCGGCCCTCACACATGTTCACTTCATCAAATCTGGCCCTCTTTGAAAAAAGTTCGGGCACCCCTGTTTTAAGGTTTTCCTCCACACATACAACAATAGCATCCTCTGGAAAAAACCCAGATGAAGACATCAAGAAGGTGGATGCTTTGGAGGGGCCATCTCTGGTAGATTTTGAAGGCTCTCTCAATTTTATCTTCAAGACTGTGGAAGTGTTAAGTTGGGTCCACCTCCACAGAGACCATACAGGAAGGCCCTCTCTGTAGGAAGCTATTCCAACAGGAATCCCAATTTATTATTACTTTATCTGACTTGTATACCACTTTATATTTCAAGCAACCTCAGAATTATTTACGTTTCAGCAAAAATCAACAGACGGTGCATTTTAAGCAAACAGTAGTACCTCGGGTTACAGACGCTTCAGGTTACAGACTCCGCTAACCCAGAAATAGTACCTTGGGTTAAGAACTTTGCTTCAGGATGAGAACAGAAATTGCCGGGAGGCGGCAGGAGGTCCCATTGGCTAAAGTGGTACCTCAGGTTAAGAACGGACCTCCAGAACGAATTAAGTTCTTAACCCAAGGTACCACTGCATTCTTTTCGACGGGATAAATGTTGCTGTGCAAATTCCTGCATTCCTGACTCAGAAGCAACTACAAGGTTTCATGGTTCAACTCACCGATTTCCCTAGGAATTTCTGCAATGGAATTTCGAGACAGATCTAGAACAATGAGACTCTGAAAGCGACCGATGAATTGAGGGATTTTAACCAGACCAGTTCTGTGAAGTTGCCATTCCTGGAGGTGGTTCAGTTTCAGTAAGCAAGAAGGCAGAGTCTAAATTTGCATGAGACGAAACAAGAGGGAGATGTCACTTATCGGGCCAGATGAACAATTACAATAATCCAATCAGTTTGGTGCCAAATAAGACCAGGAACCAATGCAGAACATATATAGCAAATGAACAGGTACTAAGAGATTTTTGTTTATGCCTATATAGTTTTGACACCTTCAATAATCCAGTACAAAGAATATAGGTAAAAACACTGTTTACAATTTCCAAGATTTGGGGTGGCAGGGGGAATAAAAATAGTAAGCATTCAGTATGCTAACATAGACCGGATTTCAATACTGTATATTAAAGTCTATAAAATGCCAGAGAGCTCAACTTCAACCCAAACCCTCATTACCCACCGCTCTCTGTATAATAACTACATTTGTAGTCATTGTACATTGTTTGCCATATTTATTTATTTTATTTATTGAATTTATATGCCGCCCTATAGGTTTCAGGATGGACGCAGGTGGCGCTGTGGGTTAAACCACAGTGCCTAGGACTTGCTGATCGGAAAGTCGGTGGTTCGAATCCCCGCGACGGGGTGAGCTCCCGTTGCTCGGTCCCTGCTCCTGCCAACCTAGCAGTTCGAAAGCACGCCAGTGCAAGTAGATAAATAGGTACCGCTCTGGCGGGAAGGTAAACGGCGTTTCCGTGCGCTGCTTTGGTTCGCCAGAAGCGGCTTAGTCATGCTGGCCACATGACCCGGAAGCTGTACACCGGCTCCCTCAGCCAATAAAGCAAGATGAGCGCCGCAACCCCAGAGTTGGTCATAACTGGACCTAATGGTCAGGGGTCCCTTTACTTTTACCTATAGGTCTCAGGGCAGTTCACAGAACAAAATTAGAATATAAAACCACATAGTATATTGTTATGAGTCCAGCAACTAATGGGCAACCAGTGGCTTAACAAAAGGGAAGAATTGTTACTTGATGGCTTAATCTCTCTCCCTCTTGCTCTTGGGCTGTCTCACCCATCAGGTTTTGGGGAAGGTGTTGTGATTCTGATTGTCACTTTCCTCTGGCTCAAGAGACTCCAGCTTAGAAGCCCAACTGCAACCCGTCTCCTCCATCCCATTGGACCCAATGACTGCCAAAGCAGGCTGAGAGGAAGGTATTCCTCACACCGAAGATGAGACTCGCTATTGAAACAGAGCGATGGCTCCTATTCCAGGCTGAGGGCGACTGTCGCTGAAGCAACATCAGAGCTCTGCTCTCATGAAGTCTTCAGCTTGAGCCTAGCATGGAGCTGTCTAGAGTACTCCTCTGCTTGGCTGAAAAGTCAGCATTCACAGCAGAATAGGACAGAGAGACCATTAGAAGCAATCTGCAGCTCGAGAGTATCTGATGGAGAGAGAATGAAACTGGAAGCTGGGTTAGGGAGCTGCGGGGAGCTCAGCGCTGTTGATGTGGAAATTTTATGCAGGGTTAGTGGCTGTGCTTTTGGAAGCCTGTGTATTTCCAATGTGCTTCTGTATATTAAAATCTGATATTATAAAGGCACACGTCTCCAAGTACGCATACTAATCCAAAAGAAATGAAGCCTATTGTCCCTGGAACACTCCTCCTCTAAGAAGAGAGGAGCATATAACAATAGATTCAATCAGTCTTACCCAACATGGTGCCCTCTGGATGTTTTGGACTACAATTCCCATCAGCTTCAGCCAGCATGGACAATTGTCAGGGATGATGGGAGTTGTAGTCCATAATATTGGCACAGCTTGGATTAAACTGATGAAGTGGAGCACTGAAGCCGGGATAACAATGTGAAATGTTTTGTTAGCAGCACCACGCAAACAATACCTTCCATTCTTCTTGTTCAATCTTTAAAACAGCCCTTCCATCTTCCGTGATAACTTTTTCTTTGAGCTTGGCCAAACTGACTCTCTCTTCCCAAACAAGCGTCAGCCTAGAAAAAGGTTGTAACATATTTAATATATAGAAGGGCTTTTTCTGTGATGAGGCCCTGGCTCTCTGTCTTCCATATTATTAGTTTTCAGACATCAACCGAAGACATTTTGAATTACCTAAAGTATTACAGTTTGATAACAAGATGCTTAATTCTCAGAAGCAATATGAGTCGGTGTTCCATTGTTTTTGAAATGTAATTTTTAGCTCATACACGTTTTGACTGATGTTTGGTGCATTTTGCTTTCTGCTTGCTGTCTATTGCCATGAGCTCCTTTGGAGTATCAGGGTATTCATAAATACCCTAAATAAACCAACAGATCTGGCCTTCAAAGGAGATAGTTCAACTTAATATGTTGCTCCCAATGAAGCTAGGAAATCAATTTCTAAATTGTTTTTTTGGGGAAACTCAAGTCGTATTGAGAACCTACCTCTCTGCAGACCTCTGACTGAATGCCTTTTGCTTTCGAAGCTCTTCGCTGATTTTCTGGATCCTGACTTCCCAAAGTGCCTTAACAGCTGTAAACGTGCCGACACAAACTGACGTTTCAGTCATGGCCCTTCCACCTCCCGGTTCAGTGTCTGGTTTCATTTTTCTGCATCAGTGTCACATACAGAGGCGTCACACACAAAAGAGGAAAACCTGGCAAGACCTTCAGTGTTAAGAATCGTTGATCCCTGATAACTTTCAGTAATAATAATAATAATAAAATTACAATGAAAGTGAGGGGGTTCCACAGCCTAAAATGATCACAGCCTCCTTTGCAGGCCTATGTAGTCAAGCAGACAAAAAGAGGAGGCGAGTTATTGATTTATTTTGGACAAAGCCAATCTCACAATTGCTCAGCGATCACAAGCCGTTTCAAAAGCCTGCTCCCATTTTTGGCCACAAAGCAAACAGATCAACAAATCCGTTGGTAATGCATTCACCTCAGGCGTTTTAACGGAAGCATTTTGTAATGGCTTACCTCAGTTATTGCCTGGTTTTCCATGACTCCCCGATTCCTGTGTGACAACAGAAATCGGCCGCAAACCCTGAATGCTTTGCTAAAGCCATTTACAACCTTTGTACCAACTATGGAAGAGTGAAATGCAACGCCTGACGAGTTCTAATTTTAACCCACGACGCTGGCCGGGAATAGTAAGTATTGCTGTGACCAGGTGTCACAGCCCTCTGAAGTATTTCCCCAATTTTGAATCCCTTTCCGCTTTTCAGAACTCGTCGTCGTGTCCCTACGAGTCAAAGAAAACTCAGCTGCTCTGTATGAAAAAAGAGTTTTACTATATTGCTACTACAATACAGCTCTGATTATGATCGGTGTCACGAATCTAAATCCATGAGGAATCCTGGATAGAAGAACTGCCAATTTGGGTATATAACAGCAGTCATTTTTTTAGCAAACAATAATGGGGAACAGCCAGAAATGCTTGAGCAGTTTATTGTAAAGTTCCTGGCAGTAACTTCTCTCTCTCAATCCGCCTTCTACTTTCTTATCTTTGCCCAGAATTGGAGCAAGGTCACCCCTCCAGAGAGCGTGAACCCTGCCAAATTTCAGAAGGATAGCTGCAGAGACAAGGGTAGACATTACAGTATAGTTTTTGGATGAATGAAGAAGTAATCATTTAATCTTCCCTAGTGTACTGTGGGCAGTTCTGTGAGCACGAGAGGTGATCCTGCAAAATTGCAAATAAATCCAGAGGTTTATGTACTCAGCATCTTTAAAGGTGACTCTGGGATGAGAAGAACAATAAGGGGGGCACTTTTTACCAACCAGGGCTGGCAGTCACAAAGGAGGTCTCTCTTCTCCCTCCACAACGAGGGAAAGTTCCTTAAGCTTAGAGATCTAAGTTTTGCTCTCTGTCCTAAGTACTGGGACTGAAATGCACAGGTAAAAAATTAGAACTGACCCTTCAGTCACAATGCGGCCCTTTATATGTCCAGCTGTCCTTTGTCAACAACAATTTGCTGCTGTTTTTTGTGTTGAATATATGCTATATGGGAATTTATGGACCTAATAGGTATCTAAAGCCATTTGCAAATAACAAAATATACATTTTATCAAAGTAATTGTTGAACTGAAATACGATTAAGAAGTATATTAATAGTGAAATACAATTAAGAAGTATATTAATAGTGAAATAAAATTAAGAAGTATATTAATAGTGAAATAATCATTAAGCTCTAACTTAAAATGATTTTTTATTCATAACAAACTTAATAATGCAAACACATTGGCATTTGGCAATAAAAAAGGTTCCTTTAGAAACACAATTTACAAAGACTCCTAATTTTTTGGGGGGGGCCCAAGAGAGTGGGGCCCTAAGCTATAGCTTGTTTAGCTTATATGTAAATCCTGGCTGTTGTAAACACTATGATGATTTGCTTTGGTGAAAGGAAGTGAGGAAGGAAACAGAAAAAATGGCATTGCCTAGCCAGATTCTTGCAAAATCTCTTGGTCTTCCCCTACTTCTGATATTCCCACCCATTACTGTCCATTTCTTCTTGTAGCTTGATCTTGCCACATGGCCACTTTTCCTCTGGGATCTGAATTTACATCCACTTTTTGATCCAGTCTATGTGTCAGCACGCAGGTAAAAAGGAGGCCGAATGCTGCTGGCACTACAGAAAATCTTTAAAGAAACAAGTTTCTGCAGATGAGCTCAATCAGTTGCTTTCATGCGACGAGACGAATAGTGTGTATTCAGGACTTTGTCCCGGTATGTGGATTTATGTTCTTGGTGGATTTAAAGCCACAAAATACCCTCAGATAAAAGTCTCAAATCACAAAGGTTGTAATAAAAGATTTATTCAAGAATAGAAAACAATTTAAAAGAAATGTTAAGTCAGTATATAGTAATTGTTTTTTAATCGGCAAAAGTGAATGCAAAATTCCTCACAGATGTACATGAGACTTGAGTATTATTTCACATCTTTAGGTCTCTAAATCTCAGATATTTCACCTCAACTTTCTTCTCACAGATGACAAGAGGAGTGTTTTTTTATTAAAAAATAAACATATACTATTCAGAAGTTTGTAGGGGTGTTTAACCAAATAACTTTCACAATAAGGATACAGTACAAGATTGTTTGAAAATACGCTGTGCGTGCAATACTAAGCTTCTGTCAAGCATTTTGAGCGTATGATCATTTCCCATATGATTTTTAGAAGCTTATTTTATTTTCTTTCTTTAAAGTGCCTTTTAGTTTCTGTCATGTACATCCTTTAATCCGGCACGCTCACTTTTAAGGTCACTTTAAATCTCCCTAAACAGTTGTGCATTGTGTATTGTTTGTTTCAAACCCCTTTCTGCTTGTATCTCAGGTTTTCGCCGTTCTGAAGTCCAGTCCACAATTGCACAATAGAGTTGGAACAGCCTTCCGAGCAGATTTGGGGGACGGTATGGGGGGCAATTCCTGCGCACACAGCGACTTAACTGGATACCATTCTTCGGCTCTAAATGCACGTGCAGAAAAAGGGATCGTGAACTCCAGTGGCGCTGTGGAAAATCCTCAGATGAAACCACTTAACAGTTGACGCAGCTTGAACCCAGCATCTCTTCAAAGTGTTCATTTCATGTGAACGGGCAAACACCTTTCTGCTGTATGCCTTTACTTCCTACTTAACAGCCTCCTTTCCAAACCCAGGCATGCACTCATGTGGAGAAACTTAACGCAGGAATTGGCCATTGGCAAATTTTATTATTGTGCTGGCTCAAAATGTGCCTCTCTGATCACAGGAAGTGATGTCAGCTATGTCTATCTGTGGTTGCTTGCTTCATAAATTACATGTGTCCACACCAGAGGTGCCAGCTTGCAAGGGCGATGGGCTGATGTCACACATGATGTCAGAGCATCTGGAGGAGCCGGGGCAGAGTAGGACATGGCAGCCACATGGCTTCAAGAGCCAGTGGCTCCTCCTCCTTCTCCCGCTGCCATTGGCAGGGGGCTGTTTGGACCCTCCTTCCCCTCCGCAGCAGGAAGAGGAGGAGGAACTGGCTACGGAAGCTGCACCGCGCTCAACCTCCTCCTGTTTTCTGGACATTGGGCCCCCCAAAATATTGGGGGGGGTGTCCCAAAAGGGCTGGGCCCCCAGGAGTCTGTGCCCCAGGTCCACAGCAGCATGCGGGAGACAGCGAAATAAACAAATGTATTGTGCAAACTATCCTTTGGGCACCTCTGTTACATTCATTAGATTTCACACAAAATACCTATCCATACCATCTTGATACGGAGCACCAATAACTGTCCAAAGTCAACGTACTTGGGATTTTGAAGAACCTCCATTTTGCATGAGTTTCATTTATGGCTCTTTAGCTAAGCTGTGCCCTGTTATGAGCTTCAAACTTTACTCCTATTGGACATATTCCCATTTGCCGACAGTTGCTTCACATATTACAGAAATTAATTTAGGCAGAAAGGACGTTTGGAAAAGAAACGTTAGCATCAATAACCAATGAAAGGCCATCCCCGTGTATTTAATAAAATAAGCAATAAAAGCATTTTATTTGAACATGATTTGTGCGTTTGTTGCATCAGAAACTTGGTATCATCCCTTTTGTTTTGTGAAAGAGAAAACCCTGTTTCCAATCAAATTCTGAGAAAAGATTAATCTACCAACAGCAGAAGCAGTTAAAAAAAAAATGCTAGTAACCTTCATCTGGCAATGTCAGTGTAGTGGAATACGGCCTGTTATCAACATAGATTTCTCACTGCCGCACCAAAGAGCCAAAGTATGACAGTCTGGTATGACGGTCTCTAGCCTAATAATTTACAAACTAACCTACTCAGCCCGACAAAATGTAACAGCTAATCAGTACACTGACCGGTGATCAGAAAGGCCTATTGATCACACCTTGTAAGTGATCACACAATTCACACACTGAATTGTGAAATGTAGTATTTAAGGACACTTGCTAGCATAGCTAGCTTGATAGCAGTTTCAAAATTTAAACGATGCACCCATGCATTAGTCCTCTTTATTTTAGATCCAGCAGCATGAAAGCAGGGTTCTCCAAGTAAGATTTCCACAAGTTGGAAAAACGGGACATGGTTGCGCCATCGATAATTCTGTGATCGGCCGACCAGCTCACGTTCATTATCTGTGCTTTAAATATTTCACCTTTCGCATTAAACCGAGGAAGGCCCTAAAAAATCCAGGAAGAAAAGGAGAGAATACTAATGGAGTATTATTAATACATCAGAACTCTCTAACACCTTTGGCTACTGCCCTGGATACGCAAGAGGCCCTGAAATTAGTCAGATGAGAGTGTTTCCCCTCTTGACTCTGAAAGCTTGCCTCACAAAACCAATACTATCACTCAGAAAACAGTCAGTTGTGTGATTTTTCTCTCTCTAAAGGCCTCAACTGAGCAGACAGCAAATCTGCAATTGAGGAAAATGCTCGTATTTCAAGTTAACTTTTACAGAACAATCCTGTGCATATTTTCTCAAAACCAATTCCCACTATGGGGCTTACACCTTAGGAAGTATGTTTGGGGCTGTAGGCTTATTGAGCAATCCAAACCCATCCCCTACTGTGGGGCTTTGTGGAGCAAGTGCTCATCCACAGCCCTGACTCTTCACAGTGACTGCAGCAGGACAATGCGCCTTTGTAAAACAGCAGCAAGACTGGTTCAAAATCTGGCTGCTCCTCACAATCAGAACACTTTGTTTGAGTTTTCACTGCCCCTAGGTAAAAACCAACAAACGCTTGCAGAGCGTCGTGACCACTGCTTTTTTTCTTAAAAAGTGTTTAGGGGTACTCTCATTTTCCTACTCATATTGAAATACTGCCCCTTAATGAGGCCAAACTTAAGATTCACAAAATGTGAATCTGGTCGTGACAATGCATTCAAAAACGTATGGGAGTGATCAATACTGAATCAATACGGAAACTGTAGGTTTATCATTCAGAATCAACATACTTGTATTTTCCCCAGAGCGCCAATAGCTACTTCAGGAGGAAGAATTACGGGTTTTGCATAGGTACCGCCAATCTGGAAAATAAAAGAATAAAATAAACAAGCATTTTTTTCTGATGACATCTGTATTGGGTGATCTTTAATTTGGGGGAAGCAATTCCCCCCCTCCCAGCCCATGGGTGAAGCTGTGCATGTTGAGTTGTTTGCTATGTGTGCTCGCATGTACAGTGGTACCTCAGGTTAAGAACTTAATTTGTTCCGGAGGTCCGTTCTTAACCTGAAACTATTCTTAACCTGAAGCACCACTTTAGCTAATGGGGCCTCCCGCTGCCACCGCGCCGCCAAAGCACGATTTCTGTTCTCATCCTGAAGCAAAGTTCTTAACCTGAGGTAATATTTCTGGGTTAGTGGAGTCTGTAACCTGAAGCATATGTAACCTGAAGCGTATGTAACTCGAGGTACCACTGTACATAACACCATTACTCTTCATGGGGGGGCCCATACCACTCTCTCATATTCCAAATGTCCTGCGAGGAAGAGAAGCAACAGCAGACTGCAAGGTCAACGGACATCTCAACTCGTAGCTGTTTTCACCACCCCTCCTCCACCCACCACAGAGACCATCAGGCTCCACTGCCCTGTTATGAAGTCCAACAGGACTATCTACTTTGGCAGAAGTGGGTATCATCTAAGCTGGGCACGGGGAATCCAATCCCTCCCAGATATTGTTGAGATTCCAGCTCCCCTCAGCCCTAAGCATGGCCGATGGGCCAGGGATGATGGGAGTTGCTAGCCTGATATTATTATCCATCTGTGGGAGCCTTTTTCAGCTTAAAAGTAGGGCATTTACATAACTGAATATTCATTCATCTAACCCCCTGTCCTCCCAGGGGCTTAGTCCCCAAAGCTAGACCAGTTTCTCCCTCCCCCACAGGGTAATAGTTTGTGGCCTGGTTGTATTTAAAACAATATGGCTAGATATGTTTCTAGAGTTGGATTTTAAAAGGCTGTTCAAACTCACTGTGCCAATGTTGGAGAGTGTGAATGTTCCCCCGGTGAGGTCGCTTGTTCCCAGCTGATTCGCAGACCCCAGGCTCTGCAGGCGATTTAATTCTGAAGCGACCTCATATACACTGCAGGCCTGGACATTCTTCACATTAGGGACAACTAGGCCTTGCCCTGTATCCATAGCAACTCCAATGTTGTGAGAAGCCTAGAATGAATGAATGAATATATAAAAAAATATCCATCTTTGTTTTGGACCAAACAGAATTTCTCTTCAAGATGTAAGAAGGCATGACCAATATATTCTCCCTTTCCTGCTCCACAACTGGACTTCAATTCATGCAATGCTAGATGCAGCCCAGTACTGTCAACTGAGCCAGAAAGACACGGGTTCAAATTCCAAGCCTACAAGCAAAAGTTCAAAGGGTGATCTTGGGTGAATTGTTCTCTCCCTCAGGCTGACCTGCAGGGGTGTTGAGGATAAGATGGGGTTGGGGGGAACCAGGTACACTGCTCTGAACTCCTGAGAGATGTAACACTGGGATAAAATACAGGACTTTATTTTTAAGAAACAAAACAAAAATGAAACCATGCAAGGTGCAAGGTGCTGTTGACGTACTCCCATACGCACCATGCTTGCTTGCAGTACAAACTATAATTTCCCGTATCTTGTTGGCATCAGTCTCAAGAGACAATGCAGTGCACCTCCACAGGTGAAGTCAAACCACTGTGTTAGCAGCACCCGAGTGACCTCCATGGGATGCAAGCCTGGCTAGTGTGGATGGAGGTCCTGGGCTGCTCAGACAACAAGATGTTGCTGCCTCACTGATGCAGTCCAAAGCAATACGTTTGGCACCAGCTTGGCTGCAGGGGTTGCCAAAAGGAGGCGTCCAAGACGCCATCCAACCGCCTTAGGGACTCTATTCCAGATTTGTGTTGGGTTTACTCCTTAGCCTTTTCTTCTCCTGAAGATATCCCGCAAGGCAGTGGAGGTTTAGGACCAGAGTTTTCCTTCATCATAATCATCACCATCATCATTTTAAATTTGTATACCACCTTTCTATCTTACAATACTCAAGGAGGTTTACAAGTTGAAGAAACAAAAAATGTACATCTTATAACAATCTAATGCAATACAAAAATGTGATAATAAAACATAACTTTAAAATAGGCAGCCTACATCAAAAAAGTAACATTCAACAGTCAATTAGAATAGTATAAAATAATAATATCAACATATAAAAGTTAAACAGAAATCCATTCAACAGTTACAATAGTATCTAAACTATAATCAATAAAACAACGGCAAGCCACAGTACATAAAATAATACAATACACATTGAGAAGCAGAGGGTGGGGCAAGGCAGGTGGAAGGAGGCCTTGCCTGATGGAGTCTCTCCCCTCCTCAACAGGCTCCCTTTCTAGGTTGATGAGCCCCATCTGCCCCCCATGCAGAAACTGTCTTCTTGTCCCCTATTGGTCTCATCCGCTCAATCCACTGGAGCCTGTCTTTGCACGCAGGGGAAGTCTTTAACCTCAAGAGTCTGACGCCTATCGGCTCCCCTCACCTGGTTTAGCCGGCCAGTCAAAGCCATTCCCAGGGTGTGGCTACTATCACAAGCTGACAACTTTGAGGAGCCACAGGTGAGAGCAGAGTGTGGGGGGGGACACCCCAAGGTGGACAAACTACCCCACAAGGAGCATAACATGTCCCCCACCAGAGGTACTACCCCTCCCCTAACACCCCCTCCCTGTATCTAATCATCATAAAACAGAGCTGGATCTCCCTTAAGAATGTAACAGGAATGTCAATATACAAACCTTGTAAGTGATGTTTTGGCAGTTTTCATCCAGCGAAGCGTTGAGGATCGGATAATGTAATAAGGCTAAAGAAGCGGCCTGTTAAATATTTTTTAAGAAAGACAAATGTGATTATTCTAGCAGCCAGAGCCAACAGGCTGCATGCTTCAGAAACTGTGCAACGTAGCTGCTGAATACATGTACATAGGGAGATAGTGGTAGAGCATCCGTTTTTCATGCGGAAAGCTCCAGCATCTCCAGGTAAACCTGTGAGAGATATCTTTCCGAAACCCTGGAGAGACACTGCCCATCGGTGCAGACTTTACTGAGCAAGAGGGACCAATGGTCTGACTCAGTTAAAGCAGATCATATGCTCCCAAGGGCTTCTGACTGAGTAGAGGTGCCTACTAATGCAAGAGGAGGGGATTTTATTTTTTTGCCAATTCTCCTTTCTCACTTCCGCCCTGTTCCGGCACGTCCCCCAACTCACTGGAGCTGATGGGGGAAGAGGGAATGGGCAGAAATCATCTTCCCCTCCTCTTCCAATAGCAAATGCCTCTGCTGGATCAAATGCCCTTCTGTGAGCTGGATTCCACCCCATACACACACACACACACACACACAATCACACTCCTCATTTAAATAAATGTGCTTAGAAGCCCATCGGCTTTTCTTTATCTAGCATTTCAGTGGAAATGTCTCCAGTCAGAGTAAGTAATTTCTGGTATTCGATGGAAAAAATTATTGGATGGAAGATCCTTTTTGTTAATTACAACATTATTGTGAACCATCCTGAGATCTTTTGATGAAGGGTGGGATATAAAACAACAACAACTCCTGATACACCCCCACCCAAAGAATTGCATTTTGAAAGAGGACCATGACTACGCCTCATACTTTTCAAAATATTTTGAGAAGCATGAAAAAAATCAAGTTTTTTTTGAAAAAGGTCAATCTATTGTTGCAGCCAAACCTACGTGCAAAACTAAATATATTGTCAGTGTAACAGCCTGTAAGAAGGAGTGCTGTCTACCAGTTAAAAGACTCTTATTATTTATTATATAGATTTCTGTACTGATTGTCCACAAAAATCACCAGGACATATACATTAATTATCTCCCTTGAAACGTATTACAATTTGATGCATTTGCATTTTATCAAAACTACTGTACGGACAGCTTGAGCTTCTTACAAACCCCTCTCGTTTTGCACATTAGCAAGGCCTGCTGGTTCAGCCTCACCTTTAAAAAGAAAGGCATGAAGGTAAGCTTAATTCCACGTTCGAGCGCTACAGGTTTCAGCTCCTCTCTCAGCCGGACAAGTTGCGTGAGATCAATCTCGTCGCAATAACCGAAGTGAGGAATTTTCAGCGCTGCAGACATGGTTTTCACCATGACCTTCTGGAATCCTGGAAATAAGGGGGAGAAGAAGAAAAATGATGCCTGGTGATGTCCCGGTTTCCTGCCTTGCTTTCCATCTTCCTTCAAATTTATTTAACAAAATTTATATGCCACTTAACTGACGACGATGACAACCTCAGACATAGGCATCAAAACTACATAAAAGCGTACAGCTTCCGGGTCATGTGGCCAGCATGACTAAGCCGCTTCTGGTGAACCAGAGCAGCGCACGGAAATGCCATTTACCTTCCCGCCAGAGCGGTACCTATTTATCTACTTGCACTGGCGTGCTTTCGAACTGCTAGGTTGGCAGGAGCAGGGACCGAGCAACGAGAGCTCGTCCCGTCACAGGGATTCGAACCGCCGACCTTCTGATCGGTAAGTCCTAGGCTCTGTGGTTTAACCGACAGCGCCACCCGCATCCCATCAAAACTATTAAAAAGGTTAAATATCGCAGATGGGACTCCAGTAAGCCATAGGAGAAACTCTGGGGGAGAAACCATATGAGAAAATACCTTCTTATTTATTTGCAGAAGACTGCAGTACAGTAAGAATGTATTTGCCCAATGAACAGATTACAGCATCCAAGGCTGTTGTACTGTTGAGGCTAAGTGGGTGCAGACTTTATCGATGCCTGGGTGGGAGACATTTTGAGAAGGACGCGTGGCCATATCTATGGTTTGGTTACCCAGAGTACCAGGGTAACCAGAAAATACACTATGTTGGCACTGCACCACAACAGGGTGTTGTTCTCCCCTGCCCTGTTGCATGGTGATGTCACTGAATGCCAAGGCTTAGAAGTCTTACCAAGACAGTGTCTGGATTAATTTTCCAGGAGTCAGGAAGATAATCTGGTGATTCCTGATTAATATGAGAATAGATGGGAGGGGGGAGCAGACCTGCCAGTCTTTGGAAGCTTCCATAAGTATTAGTGCCTGAATGAACTCTCCCCAAAATTCTGCATTGCCATTTTCCTGGATTCATCTCTAACTGTAACTAAAAATTGCACCACATCCCTCAACAGCCGACTGGGATTACAAGTGGAAAAACAGCAGCAGTGTGCTTCGCTATGAATGCAGAAACAAATATTCATGTTTTATTTGTTCAGTTGCCCTTTACAAATATTTTACGTATGCTGTTCTATATTAGATCCTCAGGAGGTTTCATTAATTTATTTACCTGAAACGGCCACTGTTTTATCTTTCTGTGAAATTACGACAGGTTTGGAAATGGGCAGAGGGATTCTGGGCATCTTTGGCTTATCTGCTGCAGGCTTCGGTGTTGGCGGCGGCGCGACAATTTCAGGTTTTGGCGATAGAGGTAAAATAGCTCCCGTCTGTTTGGCCAAGTAATTGAGAATGTCTTCTTTGAGGATACGGTTATCTTTCCCTGTTCCAACAACTTCGCTCAGTTTAATCTGAAAGACAAGAGCACAAGCTAAAGAATTCTGGATACAGGGCATGAGCAGAGGGAACGCATCCTTTTTATTGAAATGGCAAAAGAAAATGCGAGAGAAGGCAGGCAAGTTAAGCGTTTGAAGAATACGTGGACCGTTTCCAACTTAGGCATCCCCTCAGTGCAAGTACTGTATTTTTCGCCCTATAGGACGCACTTTTTCCCCTCCAAAAATGAAGGGGAAATGTGTGTGCGTCCTATGGGGCGAATGCAGACTTTCGCTGAAGCCTAGAGAGCGAGAGGGGTCGGTGCACATCGCTCTCCAGGCTTCGGGCAGATATCCGCAAGCCTGGGGAGACCGGCGCGACTTCCTGCAGGGCTCCCTAGGCTTGCGGATAGCAGCCTGTTCTGGGGGCTGGGGGGGAAATATTTTTTTTTCTTTATTCCCCCCCCCCCAAAAAAAAACTAGGTGCGCCCTATGGGCCGGTGCGCTCTATGGGGCGAAAAATACGGTAATTCCACTTGCACAACAGAACTTGCCCTCTCTTGCCCCCATGCACCCCCCCCAATTTCCTTTGCAGAAATGGAAATCCTTACGTTGATGGGATGCATTGGTTGGATACTTCCCTCTGCAAATATTTATAGGTACTTCATTAACACTGAATCCACATGTGTCCAGTCATATAATCTGAAAGCATCTAATTTTGCAGGATTGTTGAAGCTAGGTGAGTGTGGAGCTGGGACTGGTAACCCACCCCCTCCCCAAGGAATCCACATGCTACTTAAATTGGTGTACACATACATGCAACTGAATAGTGTGAACCAAAAATTCTGTATCATCCATTTGCTCAAGGCTACATGCGAAATGTGCTGTGACAAAGATCCACACACAATTCCGTTGAGGTTGCTAAAAGCCGAGAGAGGAAAGGATTGAACAGGAGATATCTTCAAATATCTGATGGGCTGACACATCAATAAAGAACAAATTTGGTTTTTGTTGCTCCAGAGTCTAGGGCCCGAACCAATGGGTTTAACTTATTGGTGCGGACGACGACATTTGGACTAAACATTAGGAAGAACTTCCTGATGGTATGATCTATACAACAGTGGAACAGATTGTCTTGAAAAGTGGTGGACACTCCTTCAGAGAAGCTGGGTGGGTGTAATCTCCAGTAAAAGGTAAAGGTAAAGGACCCCTGGACAGTTAAGTCCAGTCAAAGGCGACTATGGGGTTGTGGCGCTCATCTCGCTTTCAGGCTGAGGGAGCCGGCATTTGTCCACAGCTTTCTGGGTCATGTGACCAGCATGACTAAACCACTTTGGGTGCAACGGGACACCGTGACAGAAACCAGAGTGCACGGAAACACCGTTTGCCTTCCCACCCTAGTGGTACCTATTTATCTACTTGCACTGGCATGCTTTCAAACTGCTAGGTTGGTGGAAGCTGGGACAGAACAACAGGAGCTCACTCCGTCGCCGGGATTCGAACCGCCGACCTTCCAAATGCCAAGCCCAAGAGGCTCAGTGGTTTAGACCAAGGGCCGTCTTACCCATAGGCGCTAGGGGTGTGGGGCACCGGGCTCTCAGGGGCGCCAGGCCCAGAGTCCGGGAAACAGTCCGCCCGTTGGTCGGAGCGCCATGGCGGGCTTTTCTGCTGTGCCGCAAGTTTGGGGGTGACCGAGCCAGCGAGATGCTGAGGTGGCCAGCCGACTTCGCCCTCCTGTTCGCCTGGGACTGGGCAACCGGCGGGGGGGCCTGGGCGGATCTTTGCACCCCGGCGCCGCATATGCTGTTTAGACCACAACGCCACCAGCGTCCCTGTATTTCCTGTACTGAAGGTGGGCACCTTCCAAGTCTGATTCTGCAGCAGATGGGACTACGCTGCCTGCCTCACACTTCAAACTCCTCGTTTGTGTTTCCAGGAACTCCTTGAGGATGGCCCAGGCTGCTTCGGGGCTTCTTCCAAGGTTCTCCTGATTGCGAGAGGGGTTTCTCCTGATGACATGGGACTCAGAACATCTCCTGCACAAAAGGGGCTCGCCATTGTGTGCCATTATGGGTAAGGGTGCCGGACTGCGTGCAAAGTCACACATATCATATATCACTAAGAGACTCTTGTGTTCTAACGGAACTATTCTGCACAAGAAGTGAATGGTTTCAAAATTCCTGACGCTAGCCATGCAAGCCACTTCATCAAGTCATGAGTGTTGCAACGCAGTCCTTAGAGCCTCTCCATGCTCCATGGTGTCTCTCAGCCCACATTAATCCCCAGCAAGCCTCTCCACTGCGTTTGACATAATATAGCATGTGGTGGGTGGAGCTTGCCGTAAAGCCCAGCCCACAATATGGGAGGTGGGGCACTAACATACAGGAAGGCAATGTACCACCTTCAGCCACCAAGAAGTTACCTACTCCTGCCATGAAGCATCAAACCTTCTGATCAGCCGTTACATTAGCACAATTGCCGCGTTAGCCGTTACGTTAACACAGTTTGCGAATGCATTACACCAGCCTCGCATCCCTCCTCGCAAAAAGAGATCAACCGCAAGGCGGCCTGCTTCAGTGAAAAGGGAACGCACATTGTTTTCCATGGCAAGGCGGCGGACGGCAGGAGTTGCCAAGGTTTTGTGGCCTTTGATCTCCTGGTGGGTCTGCTCTTCGTGAGACACGGCAGGGGTTTCGACCACGTCCTCTTCGGGAGCGACATCTGCAGGTTGGACACAAAGGGGTTAACTTTAAAACGCAGCACTGAAAACGGCTGTCAAGGGAAAGGAGAACGTGGGTCCAGTGACAATGCTGCCAGTTTATTTCGCTTAAGCTTAGGCACGTGTGAGACGAGACCGTTTGCGTGTTTAGATTACGGCACGGTGGTTCCTTCCTTCACACGTTGCTGGAGTGATGTGGGACAACACCCCAAGGGAGGCAGCTTCCAAGTTGCCCTCAGCCTGCCCTCGTCTCTGGCCAGAGTGCAAAGATATACAGTGGTACCTCAGGTTAAGTGCTTAATTCGTTCCGGAGGTCCATTCTTAACCTGAAACTGTTCTTAACCTGAAGCACCACTTTAGCTAATGGGGCCTCCTGCTGCCACCGCTGCGCGATTTCTGTTCTCATCCTGAAGCAAAGTTCTTAACCCGAGGTACTATTTCTGGGTTGGCGGAATCTGTAACCTGAAGCATATGTAACCTGAAGCGTATGTAACCTGAGGTACCACTGTATACAATTAGCTCCATGCTTTCAAAGGGACTTTAGGCTTGTGGCTCTGCAGCCACGGTGCGTCATAGCATAGCAGACAGCTAATGGCTTTTGAGACACCCCAAAGCAGTTTGCGACGTGGACTGGGTTAGTTGGTACAGGAATCCAGGGTTTCCCACTATCAGAACGAGCTGCAGTCTTGTGTGCGCCTATCTCCCCTCTCCTCGTCTTCTGCATGCCAGCAGGGCAAGATCGGATGCTTCTGATTTTAAACCACTTTGACGTACAAATGGAGGGAACTATGCTTTTGGTTCTGAGAACAAGCTAGGACCTGAAAGTATGGTTTGATCCTGCCTTATTTTCACCAACCAGAATTTAACCAGGCCAGAATTTCCCAGGTTTCAGATGCCCTAGTGGTTTCTATAAAATGCAAGGCAGAAGCTTCCAACCTGGCCTGCAAAAGAGGAAGAAGGGGAGAAGATGCAAGCCCAAGACTTGTATATGGCAACAAGAAATAAGAACCCGAGTCTGTTGCTCAAAGCCCTTGTACATGCTTGAAATGGTTCTCTGAATCCTGATTTCTGTTTGTAACATAACTGAGTGACCAGGCTCTAAAAATGAATTGAGAAGTGCATAAAACTGCCCCCACCCCCTGCCTAGTGAAGAACCTCCTGCAACTTGCAAAGCACTTGGAAACAAGAACTGGTTTTATGTTTTTAAAATTCCCATTTACCTATTTCACATTTGATTCTATGAGACCATCCTGACAGAATGATGAAATCCACTGACGTTACCTTTCAAGGCAGCTGTTTCTATATCCACTAGCGGTTTCCCCACATGGGCAATTTCGTCTAAGTTGTAATGGAGTTTTCTAATGACGCCATCGTAACGGCTGGTGATGGTGACAGAGGCTTTATCGCTTTGGACTTCACAGATGCTGTCAAACTGGGAGACGACGTCGCCTTCTTTTACATACCTAAGAAAAAAGAAAGACCTGCGTAACATACATGGCAGAGAAGCCGGAGGGTTATCAAAGAACTATGGGACAATTGGCACCTCTCCTTTTTTAATGCTCCAAATAGGTGCTGCAGGTAGAACCATGGGAAATATGGCAGAAATGGGTTGGCAGCATTGAGTAAAATCATGGTTTGCTGATGTTTCAGGAAAGGAGCTGCTTTTCCTCACCTTCCCTCCAATTGCTGTGGCAACCTTGATATATGTGGGGCCCCTAGCGTAGCTCAGCCCCCCCCCTTCAAACTGCCAATGCACACTCAGTTTTATGTTTCCTGGCACTGTGTGTGGAAAGTCCCTCTGGTTGAAAGAGCTTGTTCAAGGAAGTGGCTGAGGTCCACCTTCTCATCCTTCTCTAATTCTGGCCAATTGGTTGTTCCTCATGTCTCACTGTTCTCTTCCGTGGATACAGAAAGATATTTCCAAAATTATGCGGAAGTATTCCTCAAGCTATACTCTTGAAATCAGTGGACTTCAAAGCTGAAGGCCCATTTCTCCCCATAGCGGGCCATGTGCCAGTTGCTGTCAGAAAATGGGGCTCTGCTCTATATGGCTCAACTAGGAGCAGAACTTTAACCTGCTGACTGAAAGCTTTGGAGTGTTCTACCTATCAATGTCCTTTTCTTTGTATGTGTATTTTGTGAGGGCCCCCTTGACACCATGCGATTCCTGCCTTAACACAACTCGAACATCCTTTCCTACGCTATTCCAACTTTCAGGGAAGTGCAAGGCGAAGGGAGCCCTGTGGCATGAAGCGAGTGAACCTACCATTCTTTCACCGTCACCTCCGTAATCCCTTCTCCAATATCGGAGAGCTTGAACTGGACAATTTGGCCATGTGACACTTGGAAGGGGAAAGACAAGGGAACAAATGTCAAACAAAACAGCAGAACAGCAGCATGGAGTAGCTCTATGTACAAACTATACAATTAGAGTCAGGTCCCAACAACTGCTGATTAGAAGTGCAATACTTTCTAACCTATTTATTACATTTAAATCTCAATCTTCTTCACTTGTGGAATCAAGTTGGGGTACACAGGATTCTCAGGCAGTCTCCCATCAGCCTTGCTTAGTTCCAGCAGTTTATTTATGTAGATATTTATAAACCTCACTTTCCTAAAGTATATTAAAGGAGGCTCAATGCACACAAAACATAATAAAACCACTCCCATAAAACCCAAGCAGAAATATCAATAAAACATCAGCAGCAGGTACTGGTGGGTTAAAATTCTGATTGTGAAGACCCATCTGAACAATTTTCAGAAGATGTGAAAAAAGGCAGGGACAGGGCCTGCCAAACCTTTAGTGGCAGGCAGTTCCGCAGGGCAGGGCTTGCTCCATGAAATACTTGGTCTCTAGTCAAAGCATGGGGAACCACCAGCAGTGCCCTATCAGAGGTTCTCAGTAATTTGAGGTGGAGTAAAAACTACCAGATGGTCCTTAAGACACTTTGGGTCCATGTTTTGGGCTCTGTGAATTAACTATGTATTGCTGCATACTTTACCTCAAGACTGTGTTCAGTGACGCTTACTACAGAATGGAGTGCTTTAGGGTTTCAGCTACTCCATCCTATTCAAACCCTACTACCAGTCGTCCCCCCACCGTCAGCATTTCATGGCCACTGAGCACACCAGTCTTCTCTGAGCTATTTGGATCTCCTCCACCACACATGAGGTTTGTTCCTCCTCACCCCTTTTAGGTTTTTTGGCTTTTTGCAAACCTCGGGATTTCCCCAAGTATGTTGATACCCAGTGGTGGCTTCCATAAACAGACTGAGGTTGGGACGGCAGTGCCCCATTTGCCCTAACGGGACACCATTCACTGTCCATGGCTCCATTTTGGCTGCCATTTTGGCTATATAAGTCCTCGTACTTGGAGAATTGAGATTGCTCCAAGTATATGTGTTGATCCTTCCTTGTTTGCTTGCCTCTCTTTGGAGTGACAAGAACTCCTAATAAATAAATAAAAATTATGTGTGAAAGAAACTCACCAATAGTTGTTCTGAACAATCGGTGTGGATTTCGATACCTCCATGAGGGCTTGTCAAGCCCACAATTGTATTTTGCCTTTAGCGAACGGAAGTTACTGTACAATCTAATATGGTGGACGCAGAGCTGGCAAAGGAAACAAAAACCAAGCCTTAGAGACAAGCAAGACTGAAATCGCCGCTTATTCTCTTCTTTCAATTTGTCAGAAGCGCACAGAAGCAACTTATTATTGGGGGAGAAAAATGACAATTAAAGGTAGCAGATGTTATCATTTGCATCTTACTCATTGTTATTAATTGCTTTGTTTCGGAAGGCAAATTCTGCCATATTGTGTGTTCATTGGAAGTTAACAAAAAAGTGAAGATTTGTCCTCAAAATCCTCAGGGGCCTGTATAGAAGAAATGTAAACAACCATATTAAAAACTACCATCAGATTCCACTAGCTCTGGGCCGTGGGCTTTGGAGTCAACATGAAGTTCCGTATAAAGAGAAGCTGCCCCCTTCTCTTCAGTTTTGGGCAATATCAGGAAATGCACGCCCGCAGTGCATCTATGGACCATGCTCCAGCACTGAAGAGGTAGCCATTTTGTATCTTACAAGCTGATCAGAGCTTTGAAGGGGTGACCAAGAAAAAAACCACACCAGCAATCTGTCTGAGCTATGGTCCCAATCACTACAATATTGTTTACCAAAATCACAACTAGATTAATGCTGCAATTAGGTCAAAATCAGCAGTGAGAAGGTGCAACTGATTAGCTTCCATAGGTGCTTGCTTACTTACTTAGGGCACAGATACGTAATCTTATTGTCAATGTTATTCTCATTGGATGTAAACTGCATGTATTTGCTTATTACTTTCTTAGGGAAATAGTGGGAAGGGAAGGAGAATTCCTATGCTGAGGTTCTCAAGCTGTGGAGGAATGCAAAGGAGCAGGTGTGTTGCAGAAGATCTTCTTTTGAGAAGCTGGAGGGATGCTCAGCCACAGAAATGCATCAGGTCTCATCCATCCATCAATGGTGGGAGGAGTCACAGAGGGTGTCCTGCTCCCAAGTCCAGTTTTGAAGTCATTAGGACTGTGAGAGAGCATCTGCAGAATAATCTACAAGGCACCGTTTTTCCATTTCAAAAACTGCACAATACTCAAAGAGTTGTTCTTTTGCACAGCTTCCCAAAAGAGATCAAGATGCCTTAGAATCAACCTAAAATGGTTTAAAACAAAAGTTAACCGCTGGGATTCCTAATAAGGAAGTGCAGCAGGTCCCGCAAAGTACCTCAAGCATTTCACATAGTAAAAACTGAGAAATGATCTTCTTGGCAGGTCCAGGAAAGAGGAGACCTGTGTGGGAAAGTTGGCAATTACGTGTTTAAATGTGGTACCTTTAACTCCGAGTAAAGATTTCTCAAATTCTCTTCCCTCCTATACTAGGAAGAAATTTACAGGACCATCAGAACATCATTCCATGTTATTGGTTCTTCTGCAATGCTTCCCAAAGTTAGCCCATTATGGGGGAGTATTGCTGGACAAAACAATAGGCCTGAACATTTGGGTTATAAAGAGTTACAGGATTTCAGCAGGATGCTAAGGGATTGCACTGACTAGAAAGGAAGTACCGTATTTTTTGCTCTATAAGACTCACTTTTTCCCCTCCTAAAAAGTATGAGGAAATGTGTGTGCATCTTATGGAGCAAATGCAGGCTGCGCAGCTATCCCAGAAGCCAGAACAGCAAGAGGGATTGCTGCTTTCACTGCGCAGTGATCCCTCTTGCTGCTCTGGCTTCTGAGATTCAGAATTTTTTTTTTTTCTTATTTTCCTCCTCCAAAAACTAGGTGCGTCTTGTGGTCTGGTGCCTCTTATAGAGTGAAAAATACGGTAGTATGTCCACTCCAAAAACATTTGCAAGTGTAAACAGTATTGGTTTGTGGTCATGTATAACCACCCCAATACCACCCATGAATAAGCACCCATGAATAAAGTACTGAAATTGGCAATTTCAGTGTCCATCATCAGCGTATTAACTACTTTCTGAAGTAAACTTCTGCCAAAACTTTTTTATACAATCTGAAGTCAAAGTAGACTGCAGCAGCATCTCAACTCACAAATCCTGCAAACCACATGCAAACTTGAACCAGACATTAAATGAAATCAAAACACTGCACCAAGATCCACACAGCAGGCTTGTTCTAATTCCCAATTCTTTACATTGGGATTAGGTTTCGGACTATCATACAATAGCCACAGCTCACAGTGGAATTCAATGGAATTATCAAAGAAGCTTAGACTTAACTAAGCACATGCATATTGTTTACCAATTCAAGTTATCAAGTTCTGACTGTATGCCAGATTAATCTGCATGTGTGTAGATAAGAATCAAGTGAAGGATGTACTTGCAGTTAGTCCCATGCGGTGCAGTGGGTCAGTGGGTCTGGCTGCTAACCAGGAGGTTGGTGGTTCGAGACCATCCAGGGATGGCTGCAGGCAGGACCCTACATTGCAGGGGGTTGGACTAGATGGCCTTCGGGGTCCCTTCCAATATATCAGTTTAACAAAAGTTTGCTAGCTTGAATACGTTGTAAAATACCCGTTCATAGTGTTCATCACAAATGGAGAAGACACACATAGAATCTAATCATCATCCACAAATGTCAGGTCAAGAGTCATTCGGTGGGTTCACAAAGGACAGGCCACTAGACAAATGGCAGGAGGTCCTGTGACAAGATCTGAAGTTTGGATGCGGGTGGCAGGAGGGATGTGGGTGGCGCTGTGGTCTAAACCACTGAGCCTAGGGCCTGCTGATCGGAAGGTTAGTGGTTCGAATTCCCATGACGGGGTGAGCTCCTGTCCCAGCTCCTGCCAACCTAGCAGTTCGAAGGCATGTCAAAGTACAAGTAGATAAATAGGTACCACTCCGGCGGGAAGGTAAACAGCGTTTCCGTGCACTGCTCTGGTTTGGCCAGAAGCGGCTTAGTCATGCTGGCCACATGACCTGGAAAAAGTGTCTGCGGTCAAACGCCGGCTCCCTCGGAGAGTAAAGCGAGATGAGCGCCGCAACCCCAGAGTCGTTCGCAACTGGACTTAACTGTCAGGGGTCCTTTACCTTTTTTACTGTATGTATAGACTGCCTGAGGACCATACATAAGCTGCCCTGAGTTCTTCAGAGGACTAAGTGCAAAACATAAACAACTTGACATTTTTTAACCATAATTTTCTGGGTTTTTGTTTTTCACATTTCTAAATATTCATCATGTAACCTCAGGCAGCATACATGGGGCTTCCAAGACGTCTCCCAGTCAGGCACCGACCACACCTAGACTCAGCAGAATGGGGACCTTGCCTGTCTTCAAACCACCAGTATTTGTCCCAACATCTGGGACCTACCCAGAGGTATGCTCCTCTGTTACATGGAAGCTTCATCAAGACACCAGCACTAACAGTGGTTGGAAAACACCTTTCATTAACAAATCTGTTAAAAACTGCTGTTGTTTTCAAAAGCCTTATATACAAATAGGAATGTGGCAGAGCCGATTTTATACTGGGAAGTTTCAGAGAGCTAAGACTGCAAAAATGGGCAAGACAGCAGCAGCGGTAGGGGGTGTTGAATTCTTCAATTTCCAAAAACTGAGGAGTGCTTAAAAAGTTGTAAGGCAAAAGATATTTCGGTTACATCAATATTTAGCTTTGTTGGATAAGCAAAACGTGCAACAAATTGCGCAGAAACCATTAAAAAGGATTGGTGGTATAAATGTTGTTATTCTTATTCGCTATCGCCTTACATTCTCAGATGGTAAGATTAACATGATTTCAGTTCTGCAAAACTAGTTTATGTGCTTTTTAAAAAAATGGAACGCAGATCTACCAAGCCAAATGTAGTCCGGTCACAAAAATAAGAGCAGATTTGAATTCCTTGCACCTCAAAAACGTATTTTAAAGACAATGCTCATGGGAGAAATCTGCAAAATTTTAGTTCAACCCTCCCAAGATGACACGCTCTACCTACTGCAGCAGCAGAGATCTCTTAAGGTGTTAACGATAGGGGCGTTTTTGGGAGGAGGATCGATCACAATTCCCCACTTTTGACGACCCTGATTCAGGTGACCCTTCAGATCCTTGCAAGCCGCCTTGAGCAACCATATGGCGGGCAACCAAGCCGCTCAAACACCCGCAATCACTGGCAGATTTCAAGGCAAGGTCCTCCCAGATCTCTTGCTTTCCACAGAGGAGGATCGCTGGGGCGCGGGATCGACCGAGGAGCTGCTCTTAACCCACCCACCCCTAACCTCCCTCCACTCGCCCATTTCTCATGGGCTTCACTGCACTGCCCCCTTACCAGGCGCCCCGTCGCCTTGTAAAAGCTCCTAAGCCCGACGGCTGCCGCCATCTTACTCCGGGGGAGGGAAGACAAGAGAGAAGAGAGACCCTCGCCTCCACACCCCTCCCACCTGGCAGCCAATGGGATCGCACGATTGGCGCCCGGTAGCCAATTAGACGTTGAAGGGCTGCCCCCGCCCCCTTGAAGGTCTGTTTCTCCAATGAATTGTTGAGAGAGGGAGGCGCTTAGCTTGGAAGGTAAAGCGAGATTCCTCTGTGGACAGCCGCAAGCAGCCGAGCGGCACAGAACTCTTCGGCAGCGCACGAAGCCGGGTATATATTTTAGAAGGAACAGGCTTCTGCCTATGGCAGTGTTGTGGCATCGCTAATATATATATATACATTGTGAGGTGATGGGACCAGTGGCCATAATCTTCGTTTTTTTGATGTTGAGCTTCAGACCATATTTTGCGCTGTCCTCTTTAACCCTCAATAAAAGGTCCTTTAATTCCTCCTCACTTTCTGCCATCAAGGTTGTGTCATCTGCATATCTGAGGTTGTTGATATTTCTTCCGGCAATGTTAATTCCAGCTTGGGATTCATCCAGCCCAGCCTTTCGCATGATGAATTCTGCATATAAGTTAAATAAGCAGGGAGACAATATACAGCCTTGTTGTACTCCTTTCCCAATTTTGAACCAATCAGTTGTTCCATATCCAGTTCTAACTGTAGCTTCTTGTCCCACATAGAGATTTCTCAGGAGACAGATGTATATATATATATGTGTGTGTGTGTGTGTGTGTGTGCATATGAGCAAGGTGTGTGTGTGTGTGTGTGTGTGTGTGTGTGTATATATATATATGTACACACACACACACATCCCTACCTTGCTCATATGCAAATACACATATGTATGTCTCAGTTTAACCTACCTCACAGGGTTTTTGTGGAGAAAGAACCTCCTCCTTGGAGAAAAAGCGGGATCTAAAGTAGAATCACAGAATTGTAGAGTTGGAAGGGACCACACGGAACATCTGGTCCTGCAATGCAAGTAAGGAACAATGTTTCTGGCACGGTCGTATACCCTGTTCAGGGCTGGCCCAAGACATTTTGGCACTCGAGGCGAACCCCTCCCTGCCATGGGAACAAGGGGTGAATCAAGATCTACATCGGGGAACAAAGATCTGCATCGGGATCTGCTGCCCCTGTGGATTGTGCCACCCAAGGTGGTCCCCTTACCTTCTTGCATCAAGAATGGGGTCGGCAGGATCCTATTGCTGCTCAAACCGAATAAAAGCAAGTCGAAGCACACTCAGGAAAGACTACGCTGCGGTATTTGTTCTAGCATTTTAACCTTTTGCACGCACTGGTTGCAAATTGTTCTTGATCTTCCCGTTTCTCCTTTTTTTTGCAAATTTGTTTATTTACAATCAAGCGGCGTCTAGAATTTTAAGGCACCTAAATGAAATTTATGATACGGCGTTTTGACAAGCTGCCGCCTGTTTTCGGTGGCAGTTGCGCGCAGCTCATTATTCCAGTCCAACCCCTTGCGGCGCAGGGAACTTGAACTTTCGCCCCACGGTGTGGAACTCGAACCCACCACCCTGAGATTTAAAAAATAAAATAAATCTCCTGCGCTCTGGGAAGGATCTTATGCATTTTCGGTTTCAATAAAAGCAAAAGGCCTGTTGGTAGATAAGAGAAGCCAAATCCCACCAGGGTGGGAAACGCGAGGGAGAGAGATCTACGCGCTTCGCAAGCGGCGCTGCAGATCCGCAGCTCCGAGGAAAGGGCGGCTGCGCTGGTTTTCCTGTGCGCCTGCTCCGCGCGCCTCCAACCGGAGTCCGGCGGAGGCGGCGCTTCAGCCGAGTCTGCGGCTTCCCTTCCTTGCTGGCGGCGGCCTGGAGCAAAGGGCGGGTGTGCCGGCGTCTCCTTCTGGCTCAGGTCCGCAGGCTCCGGGGCTCGGATCTTCGACGGCGGCTTCCGATCATGGGCGATCCACAGCCGGTGGAGATCGACGGCGGCATCATGGAAGGGGTGAGCTGGGGATTACGCGCGGGGCCGGCTGCCTTTCTCGGGGTTCATAGCCGCCATGGACCTGAATGAATGGGGTTTTTTGGGGGGGACTGGCGCGGCCTCCAGGTAGATCGGAGCTGCATTCTTGGATATTGGGGGGGGGGGCGTCTCCCCTTCGATCCCCTGCCGTGGAGCCGCATAACCCCTTGCTTGGTTTTCCCAACGGGAATGCCAAACTGCTTGTGTTTACCTTTCTCCTTACCCCACCCAGGTTACTTATAGTAGGCTGCAGCCCCGCTCGGTGGGGCTTGCTTCTGAATAGAACAGTAGAGTTGGAAGGGGTCCCTAGAGTCATCTAGTCCACCCTCTGCAATGCAGGAATCTCAGCGAAAGCAGCCATGACAGGTGGCCATCCAATCTCTGCTAAAAATACATCCAGGAAAGAAGAGCCCACCACATGGGTAGGCAAACTAAGGCCCGGGGGCGAGATCTGGCCCAAACGCCTTCTAAATCCAGCCTGCAGACGGTCCAGGAATCAGTGTGTTTTTACATGAGTAGAATGTGTCCTTTTATTTAAAGTGCATCTCTGGGTTATTTGTGGGGCCTGCCTGGTGTTTTTACATGAGTAGAATGTGTCCTTTTATTTAAAATGCATCTCTGGGTTTTTGTGTAGCATAGGAATTCGTTCATTCGCCCCCCCCCCCCCAAATATAGTTCAGTCCCCACAAGGTCTGAGGGACAGTGGACTGGCCCCCTGCTGAAAAAGTTTGCTGACCCCTGGCCCACCACCTCCCGTTCCACTGTAGAACAGCTTCTTCCTCTCAAGAGAGTTTTTCCTGATGTTTAGTCTCCTTTCTTGTAACTTGAAGTCGCTGGTTCGAGCCCTGCTCTCCAGATCAGGAGAATACTGCCAAATTTTCTCCTTGCTCAGGGTGCCGTATTACCAAAGTCTGCCCCTGGTTAGTAGCCCACCTTTCAGGTGTGCTGCTGCAAGTCGCATTTATGACAAAAATCAGAAAGCGCTTTAAAAGCAAGTTGCAGTCAAAGGAATATAGGTGGCTGCCTTATAAGCAGCCAGACCATTGGCCATGTAGCTCTGAAGTGTTGGCACAGACTGGCAGTAGCGCTTCAGGGTTTCAGGCATGGATCTGTTCTAGGCCTTCCCTGAGACCCCAGTAACTGAGCATGCGGTTGTTTGCATAAAAAGCACGTCCTCTGGCACTGACTTACGCAGCAATGAACCTGCTAGCACACTTGCAAAGCTAGACAGTATGGTTTCAAATTGGATGGGGGACCACATGTTGAGATTCCTGCCTTGCAGGGGGTTGGACTAGATGACCCTGGGGAGCCCTTCTGACTCTACAATTCTGTTATTCTACGGCCTTTCCCCGAAGACCTCTGCCTACCCACCCGGGTACCCAGTGGGACTTGTGTCCGCATGCATACAAATAGACTGGGTAACTGCAATAGCAGGACAGTACTTAATTTCTGGAAAGAGGAGCAGTCTGCCTGGAAACAGTGACGAGGCCGTACCTGTATGACAGTCGCTTCTATCTGTGGCAAGTATTGATCCTCTCTTTTCTTTTCAGGGTGGCCAGATCCTGCGCGTCACCACGGCTCTGAGCTGCCTCTGTGGTACGCCCTTACATGTGAAAAATATCCGAGCCGGCAGGAGTCAGCCTGGCCTTAGGTAAGTCTAGGAGAACAATTGTCAAAGCGGTTTGCTTTAGGAGAGGCATTGGAGAACCTCGTTGCCCCCAACCTGGCAGGCCAGCTTTGATAGGACAGCCCACCTGTCAATCACCTCACCCCATGATGCTCTGCATCTGGACAGTATCGCTTCAGACTGCAGGTTGGGAATATCAGCGGGACTGAATGCGCATCCGTTTTGCATTGCAAACCCAAGTCGGGGTGGACAATCATCAAGGACCACCCTGCTGAGAGCCTGAGGGTCCTGCTCCTGCCTCTATCTATCTGAGCCAGTGTGGAGCCTGACAGGCTTCATAAGGACTGGTGTTGCTGCCCTGCAGAAAGTACTGCTTTTTCTGTTAAATTGATTTTAATTTTTTTTTTATGTCCTTTTCAATCATTTTAAAAAGTGATTTAACTGTTTTTAACGTACATCCTCTGCCATTTTAAAATGTGTTTTGGGGGAGGGTTGTGGTTGTTTTTGCTTGATTGTGTGCTTCGTGGTTTTGTGTTCTGATTTTATCCTGTGAACTGCCCTGAGGCCTATGGGTATAGGACGGTATATAAATTCAAATAATAATAGATAACACTTGGGGAGATAACCTGTGACTCTTCAGCTATTTATTTTATTTATTGCTAGACTACAACTCACATCCTCCCTGACCTTTAGCTGCGCTGATGGTTGATTGGAATCCACAGTTTGGAAGCCCGCAGAGTCTCCAGTCCTGTTCTAGGGCAAGATTCTCCCCGACACGCTCATTTTCTATGTGTAGGAATCTTTTGTTGTTCTTGCTGGGTAGCATTCAATCCCTCTTCCCAGGGAATTCTGCAGCTGTGATAGCACTGGTTTCCTCTTTCCCTGGAAGATGATTGCTGCTATGACCACTAACTTTCTTGGCCAGGGACAATGGCTGCTCACCCTGAGCTTGCAGGCAAGTTACTGTTTGCACCTCTGGTGTACTGAGAAGTTTGCACCGGACATGCAAAAATCTAGCATTCTTTGCTACATGAGTGCATACGCAGGCTTTGCTTCTGTTCTAACTCAGTCCTCTTGACTTGAAGGCCTCAGCACCTGTCAGGATTGAAAATGGTTCGCGACATATGCAACGGGCAGATGGAAGGTGGAGAAATCGGATCGACCGAAGTCACTTTCGTGCCAGGGAAGATCCAGGGTGGAACCCACGTCGCGGATACCAAAACAGCGGGGTATATCTCTGCGACTTCTTTGGGTGCTGATGTAGCAATTGTTATTCCGTGTTCAAGAGAAATTTTACATAACAGAATGAAAGAAAATGGATCCAGTATTGACAAGACACCTTACCGGCTTAAAATGCCGATCAGTCATGTTTTTTCTTGCTGCCTTTCAGGTCGAATTTGCCTTTCCTTGTATGCACAAGTTGCTGTGTATAGACGTTACCTGCTGCGGGTCCACACCCTCAGGTGGTGATGTCTTTGCCGGACATACCGTATTTTTCGCTCTATAAGACGCACTTTTCCCCTCCTAAAAAGTAAGGGGAACTGTGTGTGCGTCTTATGGAGCAAATGCAGGCGGGAGGCTCTGCTCAGCACTCCCTTTAAAGAGCCGCGTGGAGCGTGCGTGTGGCTCTTGGGGGCTTTTCCCCGAGGAGGGAAAAGGGCTGCCCTCCGCGCGCTCTTTAAAGGGAACGTGGCTCTTGGGGGAGCCTTCCTCCCGCTGCCCGGGAGAGGCTGCATGCGGCTATCCCATAAGCCAGGACAGCAAGAGGGATCACTGCGCTGTCCTGGCTCCTGGTTTAGCCACGCGCAGCCTCCTCCGGGCAGGGGGAGCCTTCCTCCCGCTGCCCGGGAGAGGCTCTGCGTGGCTGTCCCAGAAGCCAGAGCAGCAAGAGGCTATCCCAGAAGCCAGATCCCTCTTGCTGTTCTGGCTTCTGGGATTCAGAATATTTTTTTTCTTGTTTTCCTCCTCCAAAAACTAGGTGCGTCTTATGGTCTGGTGCGTCTTATAGAGCGAAAAATACGGTAATTGTCCAGTTGGTTTCTCTGCCTCCTGGAAATCCAGAAGGAAAATGAAATGTACTCAAATGTACCATACTTGGGGCTTTCTGCCACATGCACCTTGGTTTTTATACCTCACCAAGTTGCCTCCTTGCACAATCTTTATTAGTAAAGCAGATGTGAAACTGGTGGCAAAAGAAATTCGTGGAAAGGGATGCCATGTTTGAGTTAGATTGAAGCTGTCTTGGGGAAAACTGCATCAAAATGCAGTGTTTCACCAGAAACCTCAAGATAGCTCTGGATCTTGGGTGGCACGTATTCATGGATTTAAAAAACAGCAACGGAAGTGCACTGGAGTCATAATAAATAGTAATATTTACAGTGATGTTTATAGCTTTTCTTCGCAAGCTCTAAACACTGGGGCTGGATTTTTGAAGCTTTGTTAACTGGGTCGTTTAGCGAACAGATTTTCTGTGAGCTGAGCAGTGTGTGTGTTTTAAAGTATAACTGTTTTGTAAAGTTCATCTCTGTCGCTGGTAGATAGTGTGAGATGTAATCCGTTGGAGCAGTCAAATACAATATTCCTTGTTTCCCTAGAGTGGACACAGACAGGGGGATGTTACTCCAGCTAGTATAACATCCTGTTACACCTGGTCTGGAGCATCCTCCCCTTACATGTGACCAGGTAGGTGGGCGTGACCCTTGCAGACCCCGCACCAGGTCCAGTCACGCAGCCATCTTCCTTTTTTACCCTTTTGCCTTGACTGTTGTGTCTTTATTCTTTTGAGAGGGATCAAAGGGGACTTACCAGGAATAAATCCAATCTGCGCATGCCAGACTGGATTGCTTAGCTGAAGAGATTCAAACGAATCTGCAAACCAGCTTCCTGCTGTATAAGGCAGGCATGTTCAAAGTGTGGCCCGGGGGCCTAATCTGGTCTGCCGATCAGTTTAATCTGGCCCCTGCGGCAGTTAATTTCCTGGGGTAAAATCCTAAAAGAAGGTCAACAACTTCAATCCTAAAATAAAGGTCAACAACTTCGGTCGGCCCTCATGCATGTTCATTTCATCAAATCTAGCCCTCATTGAAAAAAGTTTGGACACCCCTGGTATAAGGGGAATTCACTCTGCTACTTGACTCACTAGCATGAGTGAAGGAAGGATAATATTTAATAATAATAATAATAATAATAATAAAAATAAAAATAAAAATAAATACAATTTATTATTTGTTCCCCGCCTATCTGGCTGGGTTTCCCCAGCCACTCTGGGCGGCTTCCAACAAAGATTAAAAATACATTAAAATTTTACACATTAAAAACTTCCCTGAACATTTAGATGTCTTCCAAATGTCAGGTAGTTGTTTATCTCTTTGACATCTGATGGGAGGGCGTTCCACAGGGCAGGCGCCACTACTGAGAAGGCCCTCTGCCTGGTTCCCTGTAGCTTTGCTTCTCGCAATGAGGGAACCGCCAGATGGCCCTCCTCTTCTATATCCTCTCCTACTATCCACAACATTCCCACAGATAGAAAATTGCATCTGGGAGTTTGGGAATCCCCATTGGCTCCAGTCCCTCCATAATAAAGAACACATTCTGTCTATGTCTCATTCCCGTTGCAGGAGTGTCTGCCTGCTGATGCAAGTTGCAATGCCCTGTGTGCTCTTTGCAGCCTCTCCATCGGAGCTCCGTTTGAAAGGTGGCACCAATGCAGAGATGGCTCCCCAGATTGACTATACGGTGATGGTAAGTTGACCCTTCCATCTTTGCAGCCCAAGTCAGTCCTTTGCTTCATTAGACTTTGGCAACAACGTTACACAAGAAAGCTACATCCGAAATACATTGCCACCAAACGGTTAAGTGGACCTAAATTCCAGAAAGTGGAGATAAAGCCACAAAAAGTTACTAGTTCTCAGTTTTCCACATCCACCTGCTTTGGCGTTGTGGCATGCTGTTGGCAGGAAGGAGGAAAGAATAAATTTGTTTTTGGTAGCTTCCCTGACCAGACTACTTGAATGGTCTGATGCTGCAGCTACGATGGTATGGCTCTGAGTAGTCCTTTGTCAGGCAGATGTCAGATTTGTTGTTGTTGTTTAGTTGTTTAGTCGTGTCCGACTCTTCGTGACCCCATGGACCAGAGCACGCCAGGCACTCCTGTCTTCCACTGCCTCCCGCAGTTTGGTCAAACTCATGCTGGTAGCTTCGAGAACACTGTCCAACCATCTCGTCCTCTATCGTCCCCGTCTCCTTGTGCCCTCCATCTTTCCCAACATCAGGGTCTTTTCCAGGGAGTCTTCTCTTCTCATGAGGTGGCCAAAGTATTGGAGCCTCAGCTTCAGGTTCTGTCCTTCCAGTGAGCACTCAGGGCTGATTTCCTTCAGAATGGAGAGGTTTGATCTTCTTGCAGTCCATGGGACTCTCAAGAGTCTCCTCCAGCACCAGAATTCAAAAGCATCAATTCTTTGGCGATCAGCCTTCTTTATGGTCCAGCTCTCACTTCCATACATCACTACTGGGAAAACCATAGCTTTTACTATACGGACCTTTGTTGGCAAGGTGATGTCTCTACTTTTTAAGATGCTGTCTAGGTTTGTCATTGCTAGGTTTGTCAGAGCAATGACAAACCTAGATGTCAGACAGTCCCATATAAAGGCAGATTATTTCTTTTATATAGGCAGATTTATTTCTTTTAACTATAATAAACGCGTCTTTGTCTGATCACTTGGAAATAATTCTCACTTGTCACAGGTGACTATGTGAATGCTTGTCTACCAGCCTGGTCACTTCTTGAAACCATTCATTCAGGTGCTATAACTTCTTATTTGTTGAAACAGATGGGATTGTATAAGTAGCACAGTACGCCTGACTTCAGAATTGTGGTTCCTTCAGAATTTTCTTTGCAGTTCATTTTCTTGAAAGGCATGCTTCAGAAGAATGCAACTTCAAACCATGGATTGTTTAACTTACCTGGAGTTTATTTTAAACCAAGATATATGTAATGACAAACCAGGATTTGTGGAAACTAAAAGTCAGCACTGCCCATCGACTCAGTTCAGACATAATGTCAAACCATGATTTTTCATTATGATTTCTCTGTCATGTGCAAGTCTTCTTCTAGTGTGCAGCAAGCCATAGCTTGCTTTGCCTGATTGCAGGAAACTGATTTGCAAAAACTTTATTTTGCCTGCAAGCCACAATCAAACTGTGGTTTCAGATAATAGTTTGCAAATAAATAATGATTTGTGCAAATCAATGTTTTCTGCATTCAGACAAATTAGAAGCGGCTGCTTTTAATCTACCTCCCCATCACCGTTGCCATGTGCAAATGAAGGGGAAGAGGGATTGTGAGAGTCTAAGACTTGTTTTTACCCTGTTTTTTATTCTGCGAACTGCCCTGAGATCTCATGATAATAATTTGTTATAAATCATAATAAGTAATAAAATATTAATAAGATTGAATTAAGCCACTACCTTACTAGCAATTTTGTTTGTTTGACTTCTTGCTTGTTACCCAAAGGTTTCCAAGTAAACGTTTAAAAACATAAATACATCATGCCATTAAAAGAATTCATGCAAATTAACTAGTCGTCATTTCTAGCTAGCTATCTTTCTATCGCTATATATGCAGAGCTTTTTTTCAGCCAGAACTTGCCGGAACTCAGTTCCGGTACCTCTCAGTTCTGGCGCCATTGCCATTCTAAGAGAACAAGGGACGTGTTCATGGTGAGTTTTAGCCCCTCTTTTTTCAGAAAAATAGCACTGTATCTGTGTATTATATATGCACAAAACAACCTCCCATAGCAATGACTGACGTGTGTGCTTTGGCAGCACACAAGTCAAAAACAACAACATTCTTTTGACACTCTGACAGGGTGATAGGAAGGAATATTTTGCTCACTAAAATATGTATGTATCTGTGTTTTTCAGCAAATGTATTTACTCTCCAGGTCTTCAAACCAATGGTTGAGAAGTTCAATTTGACCCTGGACTGCGATATAAAAAGGAGGTAGGTCTCAGGCTCTTCTTTTTGCGACTGTGAGGAGGAGATTGGAAGCTTTTAAATAACTGCAGTTTGACATTGTGTTTGAACCTTGAACTGTGCTTAAATAAGCCAGCCATAAACTCTAGTTTTTATTTGACTTGTTTCTTCGTTGCCATGACAGGAACATTACATGGCCCATAACCTGCTGTTTCTTGACAGGGGCTACTACCCCAAGGGGGGTGGCGAAGTGATCATACGGATGTCGCCTGTTAAACAGTTGAGCCCAATCGACTTAACCGACCGCGGCATCGTGACCAAGATACATGGAAGAGCCTTCGTAGCTGGAGCTCTGCCAGTCAAAGTGAGCCTGTCCTCATATTTTTAGGGCCTGTCATTTTAGGGGGTGAAACTCAAATTTTTGCAAATTTCTTTCAGTGAGGGGGCCACAAAGTTTTTGGGCGTGAGGCGTTCAAACTGCTCTTTATTTTTTTGTGATTGGACAACTCTCAGCTTGGTAAGTCCAGCTCATTAACTGCTTTTGTAAAACCAAGGCATTTTACTGTTACCTTCTGGAAATACTAAATAGATTCTATATCAATCTTATTTTTTATTACTAACTGCAAGTACAGTGGTACCTCGGAAGTCACACAGAATCCGTTCCGGAAGCCCATTCGACTTCCAAAACGTTCAGAAACCAAGGCGCGGCTTCCGATTGGCTGCAAGAAGCTCCTGCAGCCAATCGGAAGCTGCGTCGGATGTTCGGGTTCCAAACAACGTTCGCAAACCAGAACACTCACTTCCGGGTTTGCTGAGTCTGGGAGCCAAAACGTTCGACTCGCAAGGCGTTCAGGATCCAAGGTACAACTGTACTTGGCAATCATTTTTAATGATTTCTGTGCAATTCGACACACATTTTACTTGCCAAGCAGAACCAAATTGTATTAATTTAACCAAAACATCCTGTCAAAATATTATAACTTTGTAGCACCCCTCCTTTTGGTGATCTGTCAGTTGAAAAATTAAATGCACCCTCATGGGAAAATGCATGTGTTCTGCTGCACATGGTGAATAAAAAATATGTGTAGCTACTTTCTTTCCAGCATATCAGTGAATTTGTAATGCATATGTATGCAGGTGCCCACACATATTTTGTTATAGAACCAGAAGGAGAAGGACCATAGTTTTTTATGGGGGGTGTCTCAGGAGCTATCACTGGCACCTTTGATTCAAAGAAGGAATGGGGAGCATGTGATAAGTAAGACCCCTGCCAGAGACTCTGGGGGAGCTGATGTTGGTGAATCAGCCTGACCTGGAATAATGTATCTTCCAGGGTCTCGTTTTTGTGACATCGGAATAGCACCTCTTTCTAAATATGCAGAGGAACCTAATCCAGATATAGCCAGCCAGTGGGGTGCCCTGCAGACATTATAGGATTCTAACTCCCATCAGCCCCAATGGTTGGGGATGATAGGAGTCCCAAAAACAAATTTTGGGAAGGCACTACATTAGCTACCCCTGACCTACATTGTATAGACATTGTCTAATAGGCAAGCGTTTACCAAGCAGTAACATGCTTTGCGTATATGAGACACTTTAGCAAGCCAGGTGTCTGTGCGTCAACCTGCCGAGGAGTAAGGAGAATTTTATCGCCCGTTTTGTATGGTAGAAGCCATTTTCTACGTAGGAACTTCAGACTATGGTGGAAAGCTCTTCTGTCGAGGTTTCAGTTGTTTTTCTTTGTTTGACTTTGTCACGTTAGTTAGCAAAAGACATGGCGTCGGCAGCAATGCGGTGCATCAGAAAGGAAATCCGAGACCTTGACGTCAACATCGAGGCTGTTCGAGAACCGGATAATGAGGCCTTTGGAACCGGAAGTGGAATAATGTGAGTGGGCTCAAATTGCAGGTTTCCGCACGCTCGCTATCCAGAAATTCACTTATCTGCACTTTAAAGTTTTCCAAAGGCTGTTTTCTATGCATAACTGTTCCAACATCTCACCCTCCCCCCTTCTGTTTAGAATTGTTGCAGAGACTTCCACAGGTTGCTTGCTGGCTGGATCATCGCTTGGTAAAAGAGGTGAGGATTTGGGCAAACAGGATTTTTAATTATTATTTTTTTGAAAAAGCTTCTAATGGAAACTAATTTGGCGCTCTGACATGCTTCGTGGTGGTGTCTTATTTTATATTATCCATGTTCTGCGTAATTACGATGTAATAATTACAGTCACTAAAAGGCCACATTCTTGAGCTACGGTAGCTAACCTTTTTTTTTTTTGCACATAGCTCACACAAGCACAAAACACTTGCCACACATGCAGCACAGGTGTGTTAGGTTCTACCTGTGCTTCTTCTTCACACAGGTAAAAATGCTGACAAAGTTGGAATCGAAGCCGCCGAGATGTTGCTTGGAAATCTTCGACATGGGGGAGCAGTGGACGATTATCTGCAAGACCAAGTAAGCGTTTCGTGTAGAGCTGGGAAGGCGAACCTTTTGCCCTCCTAGTGTGGTTGGACTCTGCTAGTCTGACCAATGGCCAGGGCAGAGGGGAGTTGTGGTCCAGTAACATCTGCAAGGCCACAGGTTCCCTATCCTTGACACAGAGGTTCCCTCATATAATCATAGCTGTCAACTTTTCCCTTTTCTTGTGAGGAATCCTATTTGGAATAAGGGAATTTCCCTTAAAAAAAGGGAAATGTTGACAGCTATGCATATAAGGAAACAAGAGTTTGACAAGGTCAGGTGGAGGCACCTCCCAAAACGAGAAGGGCAGAATATTAGGCTTGTCGGTGATCTTGAAAGGGCTGCACTCTGGCACCTACCTGGGAGTAAGTCCCCTTGTGACACGGGTGGCACTGTGGTCCAAACCATCGAGCCTCTTGGGCTTGCTGATCAGAAGGTTGGTGGTTCAACTCCCCGCAACAGGGTGAGCTCCCATTGCTCTGTCTCAGCTCCTGCCAACCTAGCAGTTTGAAAGCGCACCAGTGCAAGTAGATAAATAGGTAGCACTGCAGCAGGAAGGTAAATGGCATTTCTGTGCGCTCTGGTTTCCGTCACGGTGTCCCGTTGTGCCAGAAGCAGTTTAGTCATGCTGGCCACATGACCCAGAAAGCTGTCTGTGGACAAATGCCAGCTCCCTTAACCGTTAAAGCGAGATGAGCGCCGCAACCCCATGGTCGCCTTTGACTGGACTTAACCGTCCAGGGGTCCATTGTGAGTTATGTGGGCAAGGAGTGTTACTTCAACTGGCTTTCTTTAGCTGCCATGGGAGTTGCATCACTAATAATGATGTGGTTTTTTTTCTTCCTCTCTCTTCTCAAGCTAATCATTTTCATGGCTTTAGCAAATGGCCTCTCCAGAGTGAAAACTGGACCAATTACTCTCCATACAAAAACTGCTATACATTTTGCAGAACAGCTGACAAAGGTGAGTGATACATAGTTTTCTTTTTTTTTTAATGTCGGTTGATGAGTACACACTTCACAGACTTGCTTTCTCTAGTTACCGTAGTTTTTGCTCCATAACATGCATTTTTTTCCTCCTAGAAAGTAAGGGGAAATGTCTGTGTGTGTTACGGAGCAAATGCTTCCCTCCTCTGTGGCTCGCTTTGAAAGAGCAAAGCGGGAGAAGAGCCGCTGAGTGGGGAGGAGAGAGGGACAGAGAGCCTGCTTCTTTAAAGGAGCAAAGTGGGAGAGGAGAGGAGCCGCTTACACGAGTGTAAGCGGCACCTGTCCGGTTGGCTCCTTTAAAGCAAGCAGGCTCTCTGTCCCTCCTCCCCACTCAGCTCGCTAAGTAGCAGCAAAGTTTTTCAGCTTGCTAAGCCGGGGGGATGAGCCGGGGAGGAGGGAGAGAAGCAGAGTCTGCTTGCTTTAAAGGAGCAAAGTGGGAGAGGAGAGGAGCCTTCTCCCCTTATACCCCTCTCCTGCATTATTAGCAGCATCCTCCACACACCCCACGCGTGTTCCTTCTCCCCTTAAACCCCTCTTCTGCGTTATTAGCAGCATCCTTCTCCACCCACCCCACGCGTGCTCCTTGTCCCTTGAGTGCTTTTCCTTCCCTCCCCACTTAAAATGTGGTTACAAAGCACAGATCCACATGGATCCTCAGGATTTTTGCACTGGGTCACCCCAAATTCACCATCAGATCACATAGCATGTCCATGGCTACAATTTGCACCAAAAAAAATCACGCACCCACTGTTGCCTGGGGCCGCGGTGGTGCAAAAACGTGGTTACAAACATGGATCCACGTGGATCTTCAGGATTTTTGCATTGGGCTACCCCAAACTCACCGTCAGATTACATGTCTGTGGCCACAGCATGAACCACAAAAATCATACATCCACTGTTTCATTTAGAATATTTTTTTTCTTGTTTTCCTTCTCTAAAAACTACGTGCGTCTTATGGTCGGGTGCGTGTTATAGAGCGAAAAATATGGTAGATATTTTCAGTAGTTTATGCTGCTGTTATGGAATAGTCTCCCTCAGGTGGGGGTCTAGCAAAGCCTCCTCAAGTCTGTTTATATGACAAGTTTACTCACGCTTTTAACACCTCAAGTTTTAAACTGAACGTTGTTTACTATCAGTTTTGTATTATTATTATTGTTATTATTATTATTATTATTATTATTATTATTATTATTGTACCGTATTTTTTGCTCTATAAGACTCACTTTTTCCCTCCTAAAAAGTAAGGGGAAATGTGTGTGCGTCTTATGGAGCGAATGCAGGCTGCGCAGCTATCCCAGAAGCCAGAACAGCAAGAGATATCGCTGCTTTCGCTGCACAGCGATCCCTCTTGCTGTTCTGGCTTCTGAGATTCAGAATATTTTTTTTCTTGTTTTCCTCCTCCAAAAACTAGGTGCGTCTTGTGGTCTGGTGCGTCTTATAGAGCGAAAAATACGGTATTTTATTTTCAGAGCCTGATTTTAATAAGCAAGCTCCTGCACGTCATGCAATCAAAAAAGGTGGCTACACATGTGCATTTTAAAGAATACGTTAATAAACCCACTTTATGACACTTAAAATTATTTTCATTGCAGGCTAAATTTACTGTGACAAAATCAGAAGAGGACGCTTCCCCCAAGGATGCCTACATTATCGAGTGCCAAGGAGTTGGACTGCTAAACACCAATTTGTAGCTGCTGCTGTTTGTTGGAATGGTTTAATTATTATTATTTTGGCTTTGTTTTTGTTTTGCCTTTAAAAATATTGCTGACATCCTCAAGGGAGAAAAGTGTGATTAGTGTTAGGTTTGAATTAATTCTAATAAAGGACATCCATTTTGGGCTCTCTAGATAATAAAAAGCCTATATTGCTGCTGTTAAACACAGCAGATGATCAGTATAGATCACAGCAGAGTGGGGAAAGCGATAGCTTCGGCTTTTAAAAACGGACTTCTGTGATTCGGTCGTTCTTGTCCCCTGTTGGGAGCTGATCATATGGAATCCTTCACGTGCGTTGCAACAAAAATGTCGACAAAAAGTCATTTTCAGCAGTTTCTGTTCACATCTCTCTTTTTATTTCTGTAACCCTTTCTTGCACACGACTACAGATAAAAATAAAGCAGTCTCAACAGATGAAGATATTTGCTACTTATTACCAGTAAAAGGGCAGAGGTTTGCAAATAATATGGGGGGCATTTTCTGACGGTGGCACCTGTATGACCTGCTTTGCATCAAGTGTGCAGGTTCCGGAAAGGGAGAATGTAGCTGTGTCCCTTCTCCCTGTGTCCATTTACTGCTGCAAGCTTTGACTTAGTGCAGTTGCTCCCAAACTTGAAAACTGCCGAGGGTCTCGGTATACGCGCTTAATGATATTTCTGCCTGTTGTAGCAATTTCAGTGCGCTGTGCTAGACGCCGTATGCTTTATAATTGTGTTTTCGTTGCTCCTTTTCTTTCTTACGTTGCATTTCTTGTAGCCCAGTTTGAGTTTCGCAGAATTCAAGCTGTAACGCAGCACAGTGTGAGAAAGAGAAGAAGTGATAAGAACGCCATTAAAAATCAGTGCGAATATTTAAGGCAGACATGCCACAAACCCTTCACACTTGGCACTCTCCCAGTCCTCTGCAATTTCTGGCTGTTTTTTTAAAATATATAAAATGTATTGAATATACATCATCTCTCCAGCGTTGTCTGTACTTTGCCCCATGTGCAGAGTTGGAACTCAGAAGGCAGAGGTGGGCATAGTGATAGTTGTTTTAATTTGATCAGTTACATGCTGTTAGTACAACATCAGGGCCCTGCTGAGGGGTGTGTGTGTGTGTGTGTGTGTGTCCAGGTGTCCCTATTTTCCAGGGACAGTCCTGGATTTACAGAAGCTGTCTCAGTTTCTGATTTGATCCCAGAATGTCTCGCTTTCCCTTAGGACATCCCTATTCTCACTGGAGAAATGTTGGAGGGTATGGTAAGACGTCTCTGTTTTCATCAGAGGGTATGTAGTCATGTAACCCCCGAGCCAAGGAGTTAAGTAACCAGTGCTTTTTTTCCCTGGGGGTACGCAGAACCGACACCTTTTTCCCCTAGAAGCAATGTTTGGGCAACCAAAATGGTCAAAGGCCTGGAAACGATGCCTTATGAGGAACGGCTAAGGGAGCTGGGCATGTTTAGCCTGGAGAAGAGGAGGTTAAGGGGTGATATGATAGCCATGTTCAAATATATAAAAGGATGTCACATAGAGGAGGGAGAAAGGTTGTTTTCTGCTGCTCCAGAGAAGCGGACACGGAGCAATGGATCCAAACTACAAGAAAGAAGATTCCACCTAAACATTAGGAAGAACTTCCTGACAGTAAGAGCTGTTTGACAGTGGAATTTGCTGCCAAGAAGTGTGGTGGAGTCTCCTCCTTTGGAGGTCTTTAAGCAGAGGCTTGACAACCATATGTCAGGAGTGCTCTGATGGTGTTTCCTGCTTGGCAGGGGGTTGGACTCGATGGCCCTTGTGGTCTCTTCCAACTCTATGATTCTATGATTCTATGTAAGTAACTATACAACCTTTAGAAGACACCTGAAGGCTGCCCTGTGTAGTTTTATTATGTTTTTCTATGCAGTGGTACCTCGGGTTACATACGCTTCAGGTTACATATGCTTCAGGTTACAGACTCCGGTAACCCAGAAATAGTACATCGGGTTAAGAACTTTGCTTCAGGATGAGAACAGAAATTGTGTGGCGGCAGCGGGAGGCCCCATTAGCTAAAGTGGTGCTTCAGGTTAAGAACAGTTTCAGGTTAAGAACGGACCTCCGGAACGAATTTAGTACTTAACCCGAGGTACCACTGTATGTTGGAAGCAGCCTAGGGTGGCTGAGGCAAGCCAGTCAGGCGGGGTATAAAGAATAAAATTATTACTATTTTTATGTTATGGAATAGGACATCCCTATTTTCATCAGAGAAATGTTGGAGGGTATGTTGTGTTTGTGTGTGTGTGTGTGTGTGTGTGTGTGTGTGTGTGTGTGTGTGTTGTTGATACTTTCACCCCTCCCATTGCAAGAATCTCCTGATCTGATGTTTTGAGAAAGGAGGGGGCGGAAACTGCTCTTCTACTGACTGCCTGACTGTGTGGAGAGAGTCTTATCTATGTAGTGACTAGATGGCTGACTGGGATATGTAACACTCATGCAAGCCAGTAGTTTGTTAGTTTGTAGTAGCTATTAGAAATAAAAGGAGTTATGCTTCACAACTATCTTCCGCGTTATTTATACTCTGCGTGAGTCTGGTGTTCACAATGCACAGTTGCGAGTCCAGTGCACTGGGACCTGTTTTCCAGGATTGGAAGGTCTCTGAAAGTGCTCCTGTCGCCTAGCCCAGTCGGGGCAGAACCAGTTACTGAGCCCAGTCACGGACATCAGTTGAAAGGCGTACTGACGTCTGTGTGTGAGAGAGATCATCTACCCTGTTAGCAGCAATAGGAAGCCCAACTGGGGCAAGGGAGGACTTCTTCTGGAGCAGGGCATACAGGACTAGGAGCCAAAATGGCACAATTCCAGGCAAATCTGCTTCCAGGAACTCTCCTGGTTTGTGCAGGTGTTAGCTAATTTTCACCTTGCTTGTCTGTAATTCCTTTCCAAATGTGTCCCAATGTAGTGACAGAAGCTGGGGCGGGTTGATTTTCTTGTTAATCTCACAGCTGTTCAGCTGTATTTGTAATGTTTAGAGTTTGTCTGAAGGGGGCAGCAGATAACTTATTAAACCCTATTAGTATCCCTCCTTTTAAAAAAATACAATCGCAAGACTTTTCCTTGAGTTTCTTGTGTTTTCCTCCCCTCAAAAATAAATAAATAAAAGGCCCTAATTTATCCATCGACTATTTGAGAAGCTTGAAAAAGTAACACTCATTCTGTGGGTATCTGCTTTCAAAGAAAGTAAGGTAAAGGTACCCCTGCCCGTACGGGCCAGTCTTGCCAGACTCTAGGGTTGTGCGCTCATCTCACTCTATAGGCTGGGAGCCAGCGCTGTCCGCAGACACTTCCGGGTTACGTGACCAGCGTGACAAGCTGCATCTGGAGAGCCAGCGCAGCACACGGAACGCCGTTTGCCTTCCCGCTAGTAAGCGGTCCCTATTTATCTACTTGCACCCGGAGGTGCTTTTGAACTGCTAGGTTGGCAGGCGCTGGGACCGAACGACGGGAGCGCACCCCGCCGCGGGGATTCGAACCGCCGACCATGCGATCGGCAAGTCCTAGACGCTGAGGTTTTACCCACAGCGCCACCCGCGTCCCTTCAAAGAAAGTAGCACTAGTTCAATAACCAGAGAGTCAATGCAGGAGCCTTGAATTAAAAGTTTCACATCTGTTGCTAGTATGACCAATGGCCAGGGAAGGAGGAGTTGTGGTCCAGTAACATCTGCAAGGCCACAGGTTCCCTATGCTTGACACAGAGGTTCCCTCATATAATCATAGCTGTCAACTTTTCCCTTTTCTTGTGAGGAATCCTATTTGGAATAAGGGAATTTCCCTTAAAAAAAGGGAAACGTTGACAGCTATGCATATAAGGAAACGAGTTTGACAAGGTCAGGTGGAGGCACCTCCCAAAATGAGAAGGGCAGAATATCAGGCTTGTCGGTGGTCTTGAAAGGGCTGCACTCTGGCACCTACCTGGGAGTAAGTCCCCTTGTGACACGGGTGGTCCAAACCACCGAGCCTCTTGGGCTTGCTGATCAGAAGGTTGGCGGTTCGACTCCCCGCAACAGGGTGAGCTCCGATTGCTCTGCCTCAGCTCCTGCCAACCTAGCCGTTTGAAAGCACACCAGTGCAAGTAGATAAATAGGTAGCACTGCAGCAGGAAGGTAAATGGCGTTTCCGTGCACTCTTGAATTAAAAGTTTCACATCTGTTGCTGCTGCAACAGTACGTGGCCTTGAGTGAGTCTCTTCCAGCATCTACTCAGACCTGCATTACGAGTGCATTGTGAGGGCTTGTAGAAATCATCCTTTGCATAGTGGAAGTGTTATTACAAATGACAGAAGGTGTTGAACTATGCTCCTAGGATAAAAGTTGCTTTGGTTTTATAGTTAGGGTTCATGTCTGCCATGCTAACCAATCTGCCACATAGTGATATGAGTGATTTACAGTGGTACCTTGGGTTACATACGCTTCAGGTTACATACGCTTCAGGTTACACACACTGCTAACCCAGAAATAGTGCTTCAGGTTAAGAACTTTGCTTCAGGATAAGAACAGAAATTGGGCTCCGGTGGCGCAGCGGCAGCAGGAGGCCCCATTAGCTAAAGTGGTACTTCAGGTGAAGAACAGTTTCAGGTTAAGTACGGACCTCTGGAACGAATTAAGTACTTAACCCGAGGTACCACTGTATTTACTTTGTGGGATTTGATATCAGATAGGCGTAAGTTTTCCATTTCATTTTTTTGCAAGAAAGCAACTCCTGATCCCATTTTGTCCTTCTAAAGACCTATAAAGACTGGTTGCCAAGATAGCTTAAGCTAAGGATTGGTTTGGGAATTCTTCTATTTTATTATTATTACCTTTATATACCACCTATTTCTTCCAAGTAACTCAAGGTAGTGTAGGTTCATCCTCACAACAATCGTGTGAGCTAGGTTAGGCTGAGAGGCCGTGACTGGCCCAAGCTCACCCAGAGAGCTTCATGGCTGAGTGGGGATTCGAACCCTGGTCTCCCAGCTCCTAATCTAACACTCTAACCCAGGGGTCAGCAAACTTTTTCAGCCGGGGGCCGGTCCACTGTCCCTCAGACCTTGTGGGGGGGCCGGACTATATTTTGGGGAAAAAATTGAACAAATTCCTATGGCCCCACAAATAACCCAGAGATGCATTTTAAATAAAAGCACACATTCTACTCATGTAAAAAGATGCTGATTCCCAGACCGTCTGTGGGCTGGATTTAGAAGGCGATTGGGCCTGATCTGGCCCCTGGGCCTTAGTTTGCCTACCCATGCTTAAGCATTATGCCACAATGGCTCTAGGGCAAGTGGGATTCTAGGGTATGTGGACCACAGATGCGCCCTCCCAATAATATTCCTGCTACCAGCTTGGGACAGGACGCTTGCCCTCAGTCTTAGAAGCTCACAGGTTGTTGTTGGACCACTAAATAATAATAATAATAATAATAATAATAATAATAATAATAATAATCCTTTTGAAAATTTACAAACCTCTATACAACAGCACACCTAGGGCATTCTCTTGAGTATATGGAAACTGTTCCTTGTAGGGAGGAGTGGGGCTGTGCGTCATTTCCTGCCTAGCCAGTTGGTTTCACTGAAAAGGGATTATGCCAATAATTGAGTAGGAAGGCCAGCGCTGAGCTTAAAAATATATAGATATTTCGTACACTTCAAAGGGATAATCACATGATCCACACCAGATCTCCAGCTTGAAGTGAACCAGGACTCTTCTACATCTCCACAAATTACAGCTGAGCAGCAAGCACACTTTTTTAAAAAAAAATCCAGGTTGGGAGGGCGGTTAAGGCAGGGATGGGAGGAAAGAGAAATAAAAGAAGAGTGAAGCTGAGCTACTACCTCAGCAGTGCTAACCTACTGACAAGATATCAGGGTAGCCAATTTGGTTCTCTATTATTATTATTATTATTATTATTATTATTATTTTCATTTCTAAGGTAAAGTAAAGGTACCCCTGCCCGTACGGGCCAGTCGTGACCGACTCTAGGGTTGCGCGCTCATCTTGCTCAAGAGGCCGGGAGCTGGCGCCGTCCGAAGACACTTCCGGGTCACGTGGCCAGCGTGACGAAGCTGCACTGGCGAGCCTGCACCAGCGCAGCGCACGGAAACGCCGTTTACCTTCCCGCTAGTAAACGGTCCCTATTTATCTACTTGCACTTAGGGGTGCTTTCGAACTGCTGGGTGGGCAGGAGCTGGGACCGAAAGACGGGAGCTCACCCTGCCACGGGGATTCAAACCGCCGACCATATGATCAGCAAGTCCTAGGCACTGAGGTTTTACCCACAGCGCCACCCGCGTCCCATAATTTCATTTCTATTCCGCTTTATATTTTTAAGAAAAACCTCAAAGCGGTTTGCATATTAAACATCAGTAAAACAATCCAGAATCAAACATTTCTGAAGAAAATAAAATATAAAGTATGTAGTCAAAGCAACATAATTAACAGGAAACTAAAATATTATCTTAAAGATTTCAGAATAAAACATTATAAAGGAGGTCAAGTACAGAATACATATTTAACACAAACAAAGTTAACCAAAAAAATATTATTCCTAAACATTTCAAAAGAAAAGAATGTTAAGTGAAGTCAAATATAAAATGCACATTTAAAACAGCATAGTTAACAAGAGAATATCATTGGACTACAACTCCCATCATCCTAATCATTGGCCCTGCTGGCTGAGGTTGATGGGAGCTGGAGTCCTAGACAGGGGTGCCCATCCCTGGTCTAGCAAACAATCTGGCAGTCTCTGAATTGGTTTCCATTAACTGCTAGACTAACACGCCAGGAATGTTTGGGAAGGAAGGGGACATATTTCAGCAAACTGAGTTAGATTATAGGGCATCCTTGCCAGACGTACAATTCCGTGATTGATTTTGCGAAATGTGCAATGTTGCTCCTTTCTCCACCCCATAAATCTTGCCGCTATAGCTCTTCAAGTTGTGTGGTTGCAGCCGCTTAAATACTTGCAGGAATAAAACAGTCTTTCATAAACGAAACGAAGCAAAAACCCCAAAATAAACATGACGGAGGAAAGAGGAGGTTACGGTAGCTTCACAAATCATGTAGCCCACAATCAAGCAAAAGTTACGCAATTTTAAATCCAAAGGATTTGAGCTGGAGAGTTAAACAAATGCATCAATATCTCCCATGGAGCTGGCTTATTTGTTTTTGCCTCGGTCATGTCTTCATTTTACATTTTTGAGGTACCGTATTTTTCGCACTATAGGACGCACTTTTTCCCCTCCAAAAATGAAGGGGAAATGTGTGTGCGTCCTATGGTGCGAATGCAGGCTTTCACTGAAGCCTGGAGAGCCCCAGCGCCAGCCCCACAAGGTCGGGGGACAGAGGGAGGCGGAACGCCGCCATCCCGCTGTCTCCCGAAGTGGTTTGGAGGCTGACGGCGGGGAGACCCCGCCGCCGGCCCCGCAAGCTCCGGGGACAGCTGGGAGACGCAGCGCGTCTTCCTGCTGTTCCCGGACCTGATCTCAAGGCGGGCGGCAGGGAGAAGAGCGCTTCTCCCCGCTGCCTGCCCCCAAGCTCCGGGGACAGCTGGGAGACGCAGCGCTTGTTCCCGCTGTCCCCGGACTTGATATCAAGGCGGGCGGCAGGGAGAAGAGCGCTTCTCCCCGCTGCCTGCCCCCAAGCCCGGGGACAGCTGGGAGGCGCAGCGCGTCTCCCGCTGTCCCCGGACCTGATCTCAAGGCGGGCGGCAGGGAGAAGAGCGCTCCCCGCTGCCTGCCCCCAGCTCCGGGGACAGCTGGGAGACGCAGCGCGTCTTCCCGCTGTCCCCGGACTTGATATCAAGGCGGGCGGCGGGGAGAAGAGCGCTCTCCCGCTGCCTGCCCCCAAGCTCCGGGGACAGCTGGGAGACGCAGCGCGTCTTCCCGCTGTCCCCGGACCTGATGTGAAGCGGGCGGCGGGGAGAAGAGCGCCTCTCCCCGCTGCCTGCCCCCAAGCTCCGGGGACAGCTGGGAGACGCAGCGCGTCTTCCCGCTGTCCCCAGACTTGATGTGAAGGCGGGCGGCGGGGAGAAGAGCGCTCTCCCGCTGCCTGCCCCAAGCTCCGGGGACAGCTGGGAGACGCAGCGCGTCTTCCCGCTGTCCCCGGACCTGATGTGAAGGCGGGCGGCGGGGAGAAGAGCGCTTCTCCCCGCTGCCTGCCCCCAAGCTCCGGGGACAGCAGGGAGACGCAGCGCGTCTTCCCGCTGTCCCTGGACCTGATCTGAAGGCGGACTACGGGGAGAAGAGCGCTTCTCCCCGCTGCCGGCCCCACAAGCGCCTGGGGGGGAAATAATTTTTTTTCCTTTATTTCCCCCCCCAAAAACTTGATGCGTCCTATGGGCCGGTGCGTCCTATGGTGCGAAAAATACGGTATTTTTGAGCCTTGCGGATTTTGTTATAACTTCTGTAAAGCTGGTGTAGCAAATTAATTTTTTTTTTAAAGTAAGTATTGGTGTAAGTATAACTCCCCCTTAAACCTGAGGGGGAGATATGAATGTTTTGCCATTCCTGTTTCAATGTCCTCCTATGTTCTGTCGATCTGTTTTTATCCTTTTTATTATAACTGACAAATCTGTCTTTCCTCCTCCTTTTGTTAGTGATGGTCTTTCGCTATAAGCGGTTAAAAACAGTTTGTTCCTTTGCCCTAGCAAGTTTAACTTCTGTCAAACAGGAAGGATAAACAAGCGATGCTGATATTTGTAGATGCAGAGAAGGCCTTTGACAATATTTCTTGGGAATTTATGTTAAAGAATTTGGAATACATGGATATGGGTCAATCTTTTCTGAGTAGTATAAAGGCAATATATTCGGAGCAGAGAGCAAAATTAATTGTTAACAATGTTATAATGGATAATATTGCCATAACTAAGGGTACAAGGCAAGGGTGTCCTTTATCTCCGTTATTATTCATTTCAGTCCTAGAAGTCTTCCTAAGAACACTAAGAAATAACGAAAAAATAAAAGGTGTGACATTTGGTTGTAATGAATATAAGGTTAAAGCATTTGCCGATGACTTGGTTATAACTATAGAAGATCCTATGCAGAGTGTTAAAGAGGTGCTAGAAGAGATAGAACATTTTGGTCAGGTGTCCAGCTTTAAGTTAAATAAGAAAAAAACTAAAATAATTGCTAAGAATATGGATCAAGAGATAATAGAAAAAATACAGCAACAAACAGAGATGAATGTGGTTAAGAAAGTTAAGTATTTAGGGATCACATTAACTCCCAGGAGTATTGACTTGTTCCAAAATAATTATGTACCAATATGGAATAAAATTAAACGGGACCTAGAGGTGTGGGGAAGAATGAAACTATCATTATGGGGAAGAATTGCAACGATAAAGATGAGCGTGCTACCGAAAATGTTATTTCTGTTTCAAACAATACCAATAATTAAAGGTGTGACAATATTTAAAGAATGGCAAAGAATAACATCAAGATATATCTGGCAGGGCAAGAAGCCAAGAATAAAATTTAAGATATTAACAGATGCAAAAGATAGAGGAGGCTTTGCCTTGCCAGATTTAAAGTTATATTATGAAGCTTCGTGTCTTTGCTGGGTGAAAGAATGGATAAAGTTAGAAAACACAGAATTGTTGGATTTGGAAGGTTACGATAATAGATTCGGTTGGCACGCGTATTTATGGTGTGAAAAGAATAGAGTGCATAAAGGTTTTGAAAACCACATCTTTAGAGGACCGTTGATTGAAGTTTGGAATAGGTATAAAAATTTATTAGAGTTTAAAACTCCATATTGGCTATCACCATTGGAGATAATGAGTGTGAAAAAGATCAACATGACAGGGAGATGGATTACATATGAGAATTTGATAATCAAAGAAGGTAATAAATGGAAACTGAAACCATATGAAGAAGTTAAAGAAAATGTGAATGATTGGTTGCACTATTTTCAGTTAAATGCAATGTTTAAAAAAGAGATGTCAGAAAGAGGTTTTCAGGAAAAGAAATCTAGATTTCATCAAGAAATTTTGAATAGTGATGTTAAAATTCTATCAAAAATGTATAAATTATTACTTGAGTGGCATACAAAGTATGAAGAAATAAAATCAGTAATGATTCAGTGGGCCAAAGATTTTGGTTATAATATACAATTTGATGAGTGGATAAAATTGTGGAAAGAAGGAATGAAATTCACTGCATGCACTACAATAAAAGAAAATATTATGAAAATGATGTATAGATGGTACGTAACACCAGTGAAGCTTGGTAAGATGTATAAAGTCAGTAATAAATGCTGGAAATGTGAGGAAAAAGAAGGTACATTTTATCACATGTGGTGGGAGTGTAAGAAAGTGAAAGGTTTCTGGGAAATGATTTATAACGAGATGAAGAAAATGTTGAAATACACTTTTGTTAAGAAACCAGAGGCTTTTCTACTGGGAATATTAGGGAATGAAATTAAAAAAAAGGATGTGAAATTATTTAGGTACGCAGTGACAGCAGCTAGAATTTTGATGGCCCAGAAATGGAAAAGGAAGAAGTGCCAACGAGAGAAGAATGGAGATTGAAAATGATGGAATATGCAGAAATGGACAAATTAACGGGGAAAATTCGGAACCAACGCGATCAGAGATTCACCGAGGACTGGAATAAATTTACAGAGTATATCAAAAATGTATGTGAGGACCAATTAACGCTTGTTGGCTTTCAAGAAGCTCTGTGAAAATGATTGATAGAAATGTTGCTTAAAAGAGATGATAAGACTAAGATTGTTAAAGCGCAATATAAATTTAAGAAATGTGAGTAATTGTGATAATATGGAAATTGTCAGATAGGCTGGGGGAAGTCTAAAAGAGGTAGATGTTAGAAACTGACGTAAAAAACGGATGGAATGTATATTGGAAACTGAATAAAAATTAATTATATAAAAAAAAGCAAGTTTAACTTCGCCAAAGTCCATGCTGTGTGTATTTGTACCCCAGTTTAGAAGATTAATTGGTCATTAAAATATTAAGTGCAATACATTTTGATATTGGTAAGTAACTTGTTTTTAAAAAAACAACCCACACGTTTTGAAAGTTCCTGTATTAACTTAAGAGGCACAGTTAATCATAGCTAATCCCAGTGCAACTATATTGTCAGTAAACAATTAGGGTAAAGAAGATTAAACAAGAGGTAGAGAATATATTAACCTTCTGCTCAGCGCAAGGCATGAGACATCTCTGTTCTGCTCTATAAATGTACATTACGTTTGCCTAGATAGTTCGTGCCAATTTGGATTTCATGCTGCTGGCACTGCAGGAGTTCAGCGGAAGCGGAGAGGTTATCCCGTAATATTGCTTGAGTAGCGAGGGTGGATCATAAATAAATTACTGCTTCGAAGAATTTGCCATGGTTGGTCTGAAATTCTGTCCAGGTGGTCATTATCCGATATGCTGCCACCAGGAGGAAAGTGACAATTTTAAGTGAATATAGCAATCCTAATAATAATAATAATAATAATAATAATAAATTTATTATTTATACCCCGCCCATCTGGCTGGGTTTCCCCAGCCGCTCTGGGTGGCTCCCAACCAAATATTAGAAACACAATACAGCATGAAACATTAAAAACTTCCCTAAACAGGGCTGTCTTCTAAAAGTCAGATAGTTGTTTATTTCCTTGACATCTGATGGGAGGGCGTTCCACAGGGCAGGCGCCACTACTGAGAAGGCCCTCTTCCTGGTTCCCTGTAACTTGGCTTCTTGTAGAGAGGGAACCGCCAGAAGGCCCTTGGCGCTGGATCTCAGTGTCCGGGCAGAACGATGGGGTTGGAGACGCTCCTTCAGGTATACTGGGCCAAGGCTGTTTAGGGCTTTAAAGGTCAGCACCAACACCAACAATTTAGGCTTTTCAAGGCCTTCAGATGTGTGTGAGCTGCGACTGCTTTCTGAGGTGGCTTTATGATAAATTTTAGCTGTTTTATTGTTGTTTTCTTTGTACAATGTGTTGGTGGGTTGTTTTTTAAAAAAGAATTTTAGAAACCGTTCCATGATTCTTTTGTAACGAAGATCACTCTAAAATATTCACTAAAAACAAAAATTTGAAAGCTGGTGATTTGGCAAGGAGGGCTGAAGATGACTGTGCTTTCTGAAAGATCATCTCAAGAGGAAGAATGTCAGTGACATTTTGCTTTTCAGAATGTGCAGCAAAATGCACACACACACACACAGGTGGAATCACACACATATTAAAAAATGCTGTGAAATGCTTTTTTTTTTTTAAAAACCATTTTGAAAAATACATTGAATTTTGCATAGCTCACTGTCGCCATCTAGTGTCACATTTGTATATTACACTTTACAACACCTTTAAAACGTTTTTATTTGCAGCTGTATAGCTGAGTGCATACACACAACTTTTTTCCAGCCAGAACTTGCTGGAACTCAGTTTCTAGGATGACCTGTGTGTGCTTAGAAGTGGTGGCGTAAGCAATCCTACCATAGCTGTCAACCGTCCCTTATTTGGCAGGAAAGTCCCTTATCCCAGCGCCGTGTCCCACGGCTGTCCCTTATTGATGATGTCCCTTAAATTTCCCGGGTTTCAAAGGAAGCAGCTCCTCTCCCTCCCTCCCTGCCGGCCAGGGAGGAGGGAGGCTCCAACTGTGTTGCTTGGCTGCGTTGCTCACCCAATAAGAAGTCTAAGAACGACTGGGGGGTGGAGCTTGCATGCCTTGTGCTGATCAAATCGGCCGCGTTGCCTGGGGACTCGCCTTTGCTCAGTGCTTCCCAGCGGAGAGGTGACGGTGGTTTTCCTTGCTGCAACCCCTTTGCCGGGTTGCTGCACTGTGGGAACCACCGCTTGAGGCTTCGTTTGGCTGCTGGCTGGGCTTTCTGCCTTTGGTTTGGAGGGGCTCAGAAGTCGAACATACTTGTGCTCTGAAAATCCCTTATTTTGGCTGCTGATCCCTTATTTCCGAGGCTGCTGGTCCCTTATTTTCAAATCTGTAAGTTGACAGCTATGAATCCTACACAGAGAGGTGCGCTTCATTGGTGGTCTTTGAATGCAGCTTGTCTTGAAGCTTCAAGACACCCCTGCTTTCTGTTAACTTCAAAATGGCACAAATAGAGCTGCAATAACATTGATCACAATCGCAGAGAAGCAGTTTGGTGAGCTGCTGTCCGCCAGCTCCCAAAGATGGTGCCTCCCTTCCAGATAATCTGTGGGTGTCTGCCTTGCCCTGAGGGTAGAAGGCAGGGAAATACAGAGAGATGGGGTGAGCCAGCCTCCCCTTTAGTCCCCATGGGAACAGCTTATTTTTAACTCAATTTCCAGATTTGCATTCATGTGCTCTTACAAAGCTGATCTCCCCTGCTTGGCTGGCACCGTTTATCCTGGGGAGTTTAAATAGATAATCACTGGTGGGGTTGTTGTTGTTTATATAAAAAAATATTATCCTCAGATCAGCATGGCACATGTGTGAAGGGAGGAAGTGATTCATAGTCTTCTGGGCTCTAAGCTTATGCGCCCCTCCTTTCATTCGTGTGCTGGTCCTTGTGTCTCCAACAGAAGCATACCTAGGCTCCTGTTATGTACTGAGTTGAATAGGATCCAAAATACAGCAGTCTGATTGGTCCTAGAACAATAGGATCCAAAATGCAGCATTCTGATTGGCCCTAGAACAATGCAGCAGTATGATTGGTCTGCAGGAGCCACCCAATCCAGCTCCAGGTGGAAGTGAATCCACAACCTGATTGGACTACAGGAGAATCCCGGAATTAGCCAATCACGTGCAGCCCATTGTGTAAATAATGTATATAAAGCAGATATTGTGGGGGAACTTCCATTCCTCCTCACCACTATCTGAATAAAGAGCATGAAATCCACTCTCGACTCTGAGTATATTTCAGCTCCCTTGCATTCTTGGCAAGGAGCTATATTGGTACCTCTGAAGCTGGGAGAAACCATGGACCAGAAACCAATTAAGTTTGCTTTTTGTTGCCTTTTGCACTCCACCAGTGACTTCTTCCACAGCCTCCGAGGTCGGCTCTGTTCTGCCTCTCCTCCTCCTCCATCAGTCTGCCTTCCTCCCCTCCCTGCTTTCCTTTCTGCCTCCCTCCTTCCCCTTTTCCTCCTCCTGCAACTCTTGGCCTCTCTCTCCATTTTTCCTCTGAGCCCCGCTAGGTGCTCTGCTTACATGTCTAATAGTGCTGCTGGCCGACTGGGGAAGGGGCTCTGCAGGGCCGCTGTGACAGCCCAGATCAGCGATAGGATTTCTCCGCTGAGGGACCCAAAGGAGCCTGCACCCCTCATCCGGCCACCCAGATTAGGGGAGGAGCAGCCCCTGGAGTGTGTAGACAAGCAGATGGGCTCTTAGCCACTCCAAGCCAGAGAGGAGAGGTGCAATTTTCGTGTCCCCCACTGGGCCTGCGCCCTGGACAGGGGTCAACCTGACCAACCCCTAGGTACGTCCGTGTTCTCTATCACCCTCCACAGTCAACAGTAGGGTGGTGCTGTGGTCTAAACCACTGAAACCTCTTGGGCTTGCTGATCAGAAGGTCAGCGGTTCGAATCTGCACAACAGGGTGAGCTCCTGTTGTTCTGTCCCAGTTCCTGCAAGCCTAGTAGTTTGAAAGCATAACATTGCGAGCAGATAAATAAGGAAGGTAAACTGTGTTTCTGTGCGCTCTGGTTTCTGTTGCAGTGTTCCGTTGCGCCAGAAGCGGTTTAGTCCTACTGGCCACATGACCCGGAAAGCTGTCTGTGGACAAACGCCGGTTCCCTCAGCCTGAGAGCGAGATGGGCGCCACAACCCCATAGTCACCTTGGACTGGACTTAACCGCCCAGGGGTCCTTTACCTTTACCTTACCTTGGAGAAAAAGGCAGGATAGAAATGCAATAAGTATCCACACAACGCCTTCCTCATTGAAATGCCATCCCCCATACAATCCAGATTGAAGGTTTCCATGTTGTCGTTTTTACTCATCAAATTCTCAGTGGGAAGAGCAAACCCATATTAAATGGGGGAATAAGACGGGGCGGGAGGATCGTGATGAGGATGCCATCAAGGAGGGCCACTCAGAGATGTGACTTCCCTGCTCACTTGCAAAAGATACAAGATAAGATGGCCCCTCCCCTGGCATTCTCCCTTTTTGCGTCTTCTATTCATTTATTTAAAATTTTTATTTATACATTTCAGGTTGATACATTTCTTTAATTTTACAATAATTTTAACATTTCAAAACTTGACTTCCTCCCCCCTCTTTCTGCGGTTCCTTAAAGTTACTTTAAAAAAATATCTTCTGCATATCCAAATTCATTTAATTTGCTCATTTGTTTATCTACTTTAAATACCGTATATACACAATAATCCTTCCAATGTTTTTATCTGTTTACAGTTTATCTGTAAATATTCAATAAACCATTTCCAGTCTTTTATAAAAAGTTTGTTGTCTCGATTTCTTATTCTTCTAGTAAGTTTCACTATTTCAGCATATTCCATAAGTTTTTATATCCATTCTTCCTTTGCTGGGACTTCTGCTTCTTTCCATTTTGGGGTGAGTAACATTCTTTCCGCTGTAGTCGCATACATGAATAAATTTCTATGCAGTTTGGGTAGTTCTGCTGTGGGCAGGATCCTTGCATTGCCGGGGGTGGGACTAGATGACCCTTGGGGTCCCTTCCAACTCTGCCATGCTATGATTCTATTGAGCAGCTAAAGGAACGGGCGGGGGAGAGCAAGATGCACAACAAGGAGAGGCACAACCACACACCCTAACAGCACCCTCTGGCCTGACCCACGGTGGCCTCATCCCAGCACACATTGACACCCCCCCTTTTATTTTTCTTAATTCAGCTGCCTGACAACCCAGCAGCCTGGCCCCTGTTTGCCAGCTGATGTCACAAAGTGCTGCTTTGCAAGCAAGCCTTATATTGCCCTGCAAGAGGGATACCTGTCAGATGATGGTGAAAAACTTGGCAAGACAAGTGTGCCCATTAGCGATGATGAGAGGGACCTCTGAAGATAGGAGGAGCTCCAAGGCCCAGAGGAGATGAGTGGCATAGAAATATTATTATTATTATTATTATTATTATTATTAGCATCACACGTCACTGATGCATGTGGCTTAGCTCCCTGGCACGACTTGTCCACAGCTGTTGATAGCTTGGCAGGTCCTCAGCTGTGGTCCCCAGATGATATTTTCTGTTGTGAATAACTGGTTGGTTACTTCCTCTGTTTTGTATTTTCCTTTCTGTCTCCCAGGTCCTAAAACAGGCAGGCCACAGCGGCTGCTGTGGCGCAGTGAAGAAGGGGAAGCCGCCCTGGAAGTCGTGATATGTTAATTCCATGGGGAATCCATTCCCCACATGTGCCAGGAGGTTGTGGCGCCAACCTGAGCAAAACAGGGCTGGGCTAGGGTGGAGCAGGCCTGTCTCGCCCCCCCTTGCCCCCCCTTCCGAGCCAGGGGTCGGGCCGTTGTGGAGGGCCGTCTTAAGCATATGCGGCACTGGGGTGCAAAGATCTACCCAGCGCCCCTAGGTTGCCCAGAGTTGTCAACATTTTTTTAGGGGGGAGCAAAGTTGTTGCCTTTTTTAAAGGAAATAGTTTTAACCTTTAGAACGGTTGTGGGACGCAGGGACTCACAGAGCCAACCAAAAGGGGTGCCAGCGCCCCACGCACAGGGGCATATGAAGGGGGTCGGGTTCCATGCTGGGGGGATGACAAAATGTCGGGTGGCACAGTCACCGTGTTGTCTGCCCGCTGCTTCCCCCCCTGCATGGCGGTTAACTTTTGGCTGCGTGCGGAGTGCCGTGTAACATTGTGGGCGCTGTGCGATGCATCCTGTTGTGTGCGTCAAGCTGCGGGTTCCTTTGCTGGCTTTTCTGCTGTTGGTGCACACTCCCAGCACCGTCCAACATGGGGTGCCAGTGCAGAACGATGCGGAATGCAAGCGGCATCAGAGGCAACATCAGGATCCGTACGCTCCTATCTCTCGGGTTTTGTTGCTGCCTTCGGTGCTGTCAGCATGCAGCGGATCCCACCACAACATTACACAGTGCTCTGGGTGCGGCACCAAAAAGTTAGCTGCCATGCAGCTGGGGCAAGAGCCAACAGCCGAGCAGAGAAGAGCCTGCCAAAGCACTGTGGGCTCTTCTGCTGTGGTGGCTCAGTGCGAGTTCGGGGGCAAGTGTTGGAGTCTGGGGAAGAGCCACCTGCAGCAAAAGAGACTGCGGCGCTCAGACAGGCTTTGCTCTGCTCAGCTGTCGCGGCTCTTCTCCGGACTCTCGGCCCCGGACTCTCGGCCTGGCGCCCCGAGAGCCCGGTGCCCTGGTGCCGTGCACCCCTAGTGCCAACGGTTAAGACGGCCCTGCTCCTGTATAGGATATAGCCAGTGCCAGATTTATGTATAGGCTAGGCAGGCTGAATCCTAGGGCCTCTAAATCTAGGGGGCCTCACCAGCCTGCCCACTCCCCAGCAGGCAACCTCCCCTCTCCCAAAATTGCAAACCCAAGACCCAATAAAGGGGGTGGCACTTATTGGAAATCAGTTTTGTCACCTCCCCCCCAAACCGCGGGACAATTAGCCTAGCCACCTTTTATTCACAGTCGCATAAGCACTACACTACAGTATGGCCATAAACATGTACGTTCAACCGCTGAAATACACACCCAATATGTAGCAATGGAGATTTATGTTACTGCTTTACGAATGAACACTGTGTTCTGTTAATGGATTCTGTATTTTTGGAATTACCTAAGAGCCACCAATAGGGAGCTCTAGAATCTGAAAGTTAGCTGGGAGCTCTAGAATCTGACAGTTAGCTGCCATGCAGCTGGGGCAAGAGCCAACAGCCGAGCAGAGCAAGCGGCATTGGAGGCAACATCTCCGGACAAGATCCGTACGCTCCTATTGGTCAGGTGAGAGTCATATGCCTTGTCAATCCCAGCAGGTATACAGCAGGAAGACCCAGGCCAATGGCCTGCCCAAGCGGGAGCAGCAAGCGTCGGCAGGCAGTGGTGACATGGGCATGGACAGCATGGCAGGGGGGCTTGCCCTGCCTCCCTTCTTCCCTGGGTCAGCTGGCCAGGCACCCTCACCAGTGCTCAGGCTGGCCCCCCTGGGGCCCTATGTCGTCCCCCCCTCAGGAATGCCCTGCCTCCTCTGGATTGCCTTCCCCTGTTCTGCTTCTGGGCTGCTCTGTGCCACACAGGAGAAGGAGGGATGTGGCTGGGGGGAGGCAGGAGACTGAGGAAGGAAGAGAGATGGGAAGACAAAGGCGGGGGAGAAAATATAGAGGGGACTGTGCCCCACAAGAACATTAATGGAGACGGCCCACGGACCCCTGTCCCCTAGAGTGGATGCTTATGCCAGGAAAATACAATGTCCTTCTTCTTTCCCAGGGCCATGGTTTGGGAGAGCAGCTTAAGGCTCCGGCCAAGCAGCAGCAGCAGCATCCCAGCGGTGCCAGGGGGAAACCCAGAATTTGCAGGTATGCTGTGACCTTCTATGGCAGGGGAAGTGCTTCCCAGTCATCTTGCCAGCTGGAGGAGGAAGGCCTGATTTAGATATTCCTATAGTTTTACGGAAAGTGTTTCTTTGTGGTCCACCTGGGCAGGACAAGGGGCGGGATTCTCTCCCGTGCCAAAACCACATCCCAATATTGGGCCAGGGCAGTTTTAGGATGGCATGACCAGGGCGCTCACACTGGGCACCACGCTGCAGAGGGTGCCAATACAATGTGGAAGAACAAGAGGGAGGCATGCCGAATTTTAGGGTCGCACAGGGCACTGTTGACATTTGACAACCCAAAGTTCACCCTTGGTTGGGCACAGTTCCAGATTAAAACCTGTGGAGGTCCCTAGGTAATAAAAATCTTGTGGGGCCCTCACAGATTATCACCTGATACGTCTTTGATTTCACCAACCAACCAACAATATTAATAATCCAATTTTATTACACAAAACAAAGAGTATTTATTTTGATCCGTTGTTGCCCAGTGCAGACTTCTGCTCTCCTCTCACTTCCTGTACCCTTTGTTTTCAGCGCCAGTGTGGACATTTTGATACAGCATGTACATCATGTCTGGCTGATGTATATGGGCAAGATGCACAAACAGGATCCAACATGGCTGCCCCACAAGCACTGCGTGTCTCTGCCTTATCGATGGGCTCAATATGCTCCCAACCCACCAGGGTCCCCAAGGAAACAGCACAAAACAGTTTGTGAGACTGAGGCATCTGATCAAGATCTGCTTTGAGCTTAAAAAATATATTTGTAGATATTTTTATCTCTCATGCCAGGGAAGATCAGCTGAATACTCTGGCAGCTGTTCAAGGGGCCCCACTGCTATAAATAAAAGTATTTCAAGGTTGTAAAAGGAAATTAGAGCCAGAGAGCAAAAGGTCACACTGACCAGAATACAATCAAGCTGTAAAAACACAATTAAGAACTGGTAAATAGTGAAATTTATTGTTTAACAGAAGACTCGAGCCATAAGGTTAAAGGTTAAATGGAAGAGGTTGCTCTTAGAAACAGCTGCTGGATAGGGAAAAAGGTTTCTTTATAGAACTTAGGAACTTAGCTTTCACTAAGTTCCTTCTAATTTGAAAAGGCCTTTCCTTCTAAAAATCTATCTATGTTATGTATGAAATATATTGGCTTAAATGTAATTATGCAAAGGATTTAGAAAGTAAGAAATGTTAGATTCTTATGTTAGATTCCTATTATGGTGGGTGAGAATGTGAACTCAAGATCTCTTTAAGATAAAAAAATTAGAAACCATGCACCATCTGCTTTAGCCATCTGGTTTGCGGTGAATAGGGCAACAGGGGCCAAAGGTTATCTGGTAATTGAGGTGCCTGGTCGAGGTAAATGTAAGATATATGGCTACTTGTCTGCCATTTATGGATACAAGGAAATATAGCTTTTTGTCTCCCATAAAAGGGAATAGGAAATGGGTGTATCTTTTATGATTGGTTCTAGCAAACAACCAATAGGAATTTCAACCAGGCTGATTGGACAGAGGCAGCCAAAGGAGGAGCAAGGGGGCTGGGCTGAGGAAATATAAGTGCTGGCCATCAGGGCTGGAGTAGGCAGAGCTTTGGTATCCATATACCACTGTGTCTCTCATTTATTTGTCTGACAAATAAATTATTATTTTAATTTCTCTATTGCTGCGTTGAATATTTCATTCCAGCTAAGCGTTAACCACAAGCAGGGTGCTACATTTTATGGTGCCTCTGTGACTCGGATAAGTGGTCTGCTGGAACGCAGCCCCTTCGCCCTAGCGGGCAGGGTACAAGAGGGAGGACCACTGACCGCTTACCCAGCGCGCACTGGAACATTTTTCCAGGGGAACGCAGAAGTCTCGTCTGTCTGATACCCTGCTCACTGGCGGCGACGGACCGGGGGTAACCAGAGAAATAAACAGGGAACCAGCTAAGGGTAAGTGCACAAAGGGGTTGTGGCCCTCCAATTAATTGGGAGGAAGAGAAGTCTTGATCAAACTTCTGCGTCTCAGTAAGGGGAACTGAGTACGCTAGGTGGTTGGGTACATCAGATGGTGGTCTGGTGGAGGGAAAAGGGAAAGATTGGGAGGTAGAGTGTGGTGAAGTATCCAGCGCATTGTATGTGTGAGAAAGTACAATCTGTAGCTGACCTGAGTGTGGAGTGGGTAGTACTTCGGTTCCTAGTAAGGCGACTTCACTAGGCAAGGATCCCCACGAAGCGTGTGTGTGAGTGACTGAGTGGATACTTCACAGGGCCATACAATGGGAGTTGGAGGTTCAAAGGGGGAAATACACCTCTTGAATGTATGTTAAATAATTTTAAGAAAGCCTTCTCAGGAGCATATGGAGTCAAAATGACGCCAGAGCGCTTGAGAACGTTATGTGAATTAGACTGGCCAAAACAAAATACTGGATGGCCACCTCAGGGAAGTTTTGATATAAATTTAGCAAGCAAACTTTGGTCTAACATCACCAAAGAAACTGGAGGGTGCCCAGAACAATTTTCATATATAGATTCTTGGCTGAGCACATTAAATAATAATCCTCCATGGATAAGGGAATGCAAAGTCCAACAATGCAAATTATTGGCAGTAAAAGCCGAAGCTAGAAAAGGAATCTTGCCAAATAAACTCAAACCCATTTTTGAGGGACCAGAGGAAGAGGTGCTTCCACCTCCACCCTATGCTCCACATCGAGGGAGCCTAATCCAAACACTCCACCAGTTGTAACCCCAAGGCAAGAAAGTGGAAGGAATAATGGGGCTGGAGTCACAGAGCTTGATTCCTTGATAGATTATGATAAATATCTTCAGGAGGCATTGGAGTCCTATAATAAAGCCCAAGCAGAAGTGGTTATTCCACCTGTGAGTCCCAGTAGAACTCCATCTACAGTCTCCTTTAGTGGAACAACTGATTGCCCACCCCAAACCCCTGTACATCCAAGTCCTAGAGAACTATTACAGGAGTTACAGGGAGACTTTGATCGGTCAGTAAGCAATACAGCCAGGCGTATAAAGCTGTTAAAAGAACGCCTTGGGACAAATACTATCCCCTATGATTTGAGGCCCCTAAAGCAAAGCGAAGAGAAAGGTCACGTAGTAGCCCCTCTCAGAAGAGTATTTGATGCACTTGAGGAGCCTGTGCTGGTTAACGGGCAACTCGGACCACGGCCACCTCGAACTTCGACCCTCCAGTACATTCCATTCACAACTACGGATCTGATGAATTGGAAAACACACACCCCGTCTTTCGCAGAAAAACCTCAGGCTATGATGGACTTGGTGACTTCAATAGTAAATACTCATAGTCCTACTTGGACAGATTGCCGCCAGCTCCTGAATACTCTGTTCACCACTGAGGAAAGAAGAGACATAATTGAAAAGGCACAGATATATTTGCGTGAGCAGGCCAGAGTGGGAAATATTCTTAATGTTGACCGTCATCTCCAGGACAATTTTCCCTTGGAGGATCCTAATTGGGATCCAAACAATGCAATTCACCTGGCCAGGCTTACCACCTACCGCCAGACGCTTGTGCAAGGTATCCGCAGGGCATGCCAGAAGCCCACTAATATGACTAAAGTCTCAGAAGTAGAACAGAAACCGAATGAGAGTCCGGGAGACTTTTTAGAGAGGCTGCAGGAAGCCTATCGTATATGGACTCCTTTTGACCCTGAAGCCCCTGCAAACAGCAGAATGATTACTGCTACTTTTGTGGCTCAGTGCGCTTCTGACATTCGTAAGAAAATTCAGAAGTCAGAAGGATGGGAAGGGATGCTGATGAGCCAAATTATGGCCATTGCACGCCGAGTTTATCGGAATAGGGATGAGGCTGAGAAACAAGAGAAGAAGAAGTGGCAGAAGGAAAAGATGGTGATGCTAGCCACAGCAGTGAAGCAAGACTACCGCCCTTTAAATGGAGGGAGAGGGCGGGGAAGGAATCCACCACTGGGAAGGAATCAATGTGCGAATTGCAAGAAGGAGGGTCATTGGAAGCGGGAGTGTCCTGAACCCCTGAGGTTGGAAGAAGTACGCCCAGGCCCAGGCCCAGGCTCCGGCCCAAGAAACCAGGGACGGGGACGGGGAATGATCCGAGATGGAAGATATCAGAGACCTGGACAAGGACGGAGTAGAGACAATTTCATTGGACTGGCAGAGGAGGATTTTACCCAAGACTAGGAACGACCGGACTCCATAAAGTTAGGCTTCCAGGAGCCCACGGTCAAAATTCAATTAGGGAGCCATTTAATAGACTTTATGATAGATACTGGCGCTGAATACTCAGTACTCCCAGAACTTTTGCAGAAAAAGGCATCCAAAAGTGTAGTCATTAAAAGTGCCACTGGTCAGTCAGCTAAGAGGTCTTTCCTCCAACCTTTAGAATGCCAGATTGGGGGACATCATTTAACCCATCAGTTTTTGTATATACCTGAGTGTCCAATGCCTCTCTTAGGTAGAGATATGCTGTCCAAATTGCAGGCCCAAATCACCTTCACTCCTCGAGGTCCAGAAATGAAACTGCCATCAAAGGCAGCAGGAATAATTTCCCTCTCAGTACCTAAGGAACAATCATGGCGCCTAATGTCAGCCCTGCAAGTCCAACCCACATTGGATACAGAATTAAACAAGCTCCTCCGAACCCTACAAGTGCCACCAGGAGTATGGGCCGAAAATAGCCCACCAGGAATGGCTAAGAATATAGCTCCAATTGTAGTAACCCTAAAACCTATGGCTACCCCTGTATCTGTAAAGCAATATCCTTTACCCCGGCGAGCAGCAGAAGGCATCCAGAAACATTTGGACCGCCTATTAAAATATGGTCTGCTTAAGCCCTGCCAATCAGAATGGAACACACCCCTTTTGCCTGTTCGGAAGCCTGGGACAGATGAATACAGGCCAGTACAGGACTTGAGGCTCGTAAACCAGGCTATCGAGACCTTGCACCCAAATGTACCAAACCCATATACCTTGCTGAGTTTGATCCCACCAGAAGCAACATTTTTACTGTATTGGACTTGAAAGATGCATTCTTCTGTTGCCGGCTGGCACCACAGAGCCAACCTATATTTGCCTTCCAGTGGGAAGACCCTTTGACAGGAACAAAAGGCCAGCTAACCTGGACAAGATTGCCCCAGGGATTCAAAAATTCCCCAACTTTATTTGGCACTGCCTTGGCGAAGGATCTAACAAGTTACCCCTCAATACCTGGAAAAAAGGTGGTTCTGCAATATGTAGATGACCTTATACTAGCGGCAAAGGATTTTGATACCTGTAAAGAAGGGACAGAGGAACTGCTCCACTTGCTCTGGGAAGCTGGCTACCGAGTTTCCCAGAAAAAGGCACAGTTATGTTTAGAAAAGGTCAAATATTTGGGCTTTGACATCTCACACCAACAACGAGCATTGAGACCAGAGAGGAAAGAAGCTATTTGCCTTATCAAGGAACCTACCACAAGGAAACAACTCAGAGGATTCCTGGGAACAGCAGGGTTTTGTAGACTATGGATACCTGATTTCAGCAGTCTGGCCAAGCCCTTACATGAAAGCACTCGAGGTGCAGAAAAGGACCCATTCGTATGGGGACCTGAGCAGCAACAAGCCTTTTTAGTTATCAAACAACGACTTATGGAGGCCCCAGCCCTGGGACTGCCTAATTCGGAAAAACCCTTTCAGCTGTATGTACATGAACAGAATGGGATTGCAGCAGCAGTCCTGACCCAGAGATTAGGAAGTTGGAACCGTCCAGTAGCTTATTTGTCAAAACAATTGGACTCAGTAGCAAAAGGATGGCCTCCATGCCTAAGGGCAGTAGCGGCCACTGCAAGCCTTGTCAAAGAAGCTGATAAATTTACCTTTGGCCAGACGATGTATGTGAATGTACCTCATGCTGTTCTGACACTCATGGAATATAAGGGTAGTTATTGGCTAACGAATCCAAGGATGGCTAGATACCAAGGCCTATTGTGTGAAAATCCCAGGATTCATCTACGAGTAGTGAATATGCTCAATCCAGCAACTTTGCTGCCCCTACCAGAGGTAGATGATGAAGAATCACATGATTGTCTCCAAATAATGGATGAAGTGTATTCCAGTAGACCCGATCTGAAAGATGAACCATTGAAAAATCCAGATGTTGTATATTATACTGATGGTAGCAGTTACCTGCATGAAGGTGCCAGACGAGCAGGATATGCTGTGGTCACCAATGAGGAAGTTGTGGAAGCTGAAGCTTTGCCTGCTGGCACCTCAGCACAAAAGGCTGAACTTATAGGTTTAACTAGAGCTCTGCAATTGGCAGCCGGATGTAAGGCAAACATCTATACTGATTCTAAATATGCCTTCTTAACCCTGCATGCACATGGAGCTCTATGGAAAGAAAGAGGTCTAATCGGAGCCCATGGGAAGGCCTTGAAATATGGACCTGAAGTAGAAATCCTGTTGGAAGCAGTATGGGCTCCAGAACAGATTGCTGTAATGCACTGCAAAGGTCATGGACGTGGAAGGGATCCAATAACCAGAGGAAATCATGCTGCTGACAAAGCAGCCCGAGAGGCAGCCCAGAAGCCTGTGGGAGGATTTATAGCAGCCCTCATACCAGAGGTAGTTCCAGAAGAAATTAAACCTCACTATACCCCAGAAGAGAGGAAGTGGGCTGAACAGGAAGGAGCGGTTGTGAAGGACGGTTGGATGATCCTGCCGGACAATAGGATTTATGTACCTCATCACCTAGCAGGCACAATTGTAAGAAATTATCATGAATCTACTCACCTTGGCGGTACTGCAACCAGAGAGAGTCTCAGTCGGAAGTTGTATATTATTAACCTATCACAATTAGCAACTTGCATTTCACAGAAATGTGTTCTTTGTGCTAAAAACAATCCCAGGCAGGGACCGGTACAACCTCCTGGAATCCAACATGTGGGATACGTCCCCATGGAAAGCCTAATTGTGGACTTCACAGAGCTGGTCCCTTCTAAGGGATTCAAGTACCTCCTTGTGTTTGTAGATACCCTTACCGGATGGGTTGAAGCTTTTCCCACCAGGACTGAAAAGGCACGAGAGGTAACTAAGAGACTCCTCACTGAATTGATCCCGAGGTTTGGATTACCTAGATGCATTGGAAGTGATAATGGGCCAGCGTTCATTGATCAAGTAGTACAAGAAGTATGTCGAGTCCTACAAGTGAAATGGAGACTGCATGCAGCATATAGGCCTCAAAGTTCGGGGAAACTGAAAGAATGAATCGGACTCTGAAAACCCAATTGGCAAAATTAACCCAGGAAACAGGATTGGGATGGGTAGATGTGTTACCCATAACACTGTTTCGTGTTCGGTGTGCACCCACAAAAAGACTTAAGTTGTCACCTTTTGAGCTCCTGTATGGGAGGCCACCCTCCTTTGTTCAGGATATTCCAGCTGACCTCAAACAAATAGGAGACCATGTGACACAGGGACAAGTGCAATCTCTCTCCCGTGTTTTTGTTTCTCTTAACAGGTGGGCCCTCGAGCGCACGCCGTGCAGCATTGCCGAGCCGATTCATCAGTTCCAGGCTGGCGATAGCGTATGGGTGAAAGAGTGGAAACGTGATCCACTTGCACCTAAGTGGCGTGGGCCTTACACCGTCTTGCTCTCTACTCCAACAGCGGTGAAGGTAGCTGAGGTGACCCCTGGATTCATCACTCCCGTTTGAAGAAGTCCGAAGGCAGTTGGACGTGCAAAGGTGACCCCTCTAATCCTTTTAAACTGACTCTCTCCAAAAACCCCTGTATCTAGCCCTACGGGGAACGGGCTAGGTCACGGGCAACATTAGACGACCGGCCTGCTGCAGCCACAACCTGGAAGCTGGCTGACCTGCGCACGCCTGAAGCTTGAGGAGCGTCTGAACCAGCGATTGTGAACAGGAAGATTCTCTTATACAATTGATTGACTGCCCCCCCCCTGTGGAACAATTATCAGGGATATTACTCATTGGGGATCCTCGGGATATATGTTTTGGTCTTGGTGGTTCCCCATTTCTGTCATTGGGTGAATTATATTGGGCCTAATAATTTTTTGTTATCACAATAAGGTAATCTTTTGTGGAAGAAATGCATATACTAGACATCAACATGATTTTATTATTAATCCTGATCCCTTGGGAAGGGGAAGGGTCCTTGAATCTGACCAAATTTGCTAAATATGGATTCCGCCATGACCACAATATGTGGGTAGGCTTAGCTGAGATGGTAGCCAATGTTACAAATAGGACCAATTGCCTTGTTTGCTCTCTTGGACCAGATGATTCAGAGGGAGGTATGCCCTTATTACCGATACCATTAAATGCCATTGGTATGGTAAGCGAAATGCCACACCAAACAGAAGTACAGAATTTCCCGGATGGAACTCAACTAAACCAATACGAGTTATACCTGTGCAAGGGAATTCTGTGTACATAAATTATCAGCTGCAGCTGATTCTATCATGATAGGCTCTTCTCATTGCCACTATACTTGGGATTATATTAAGAATAGTCAAACCTGGGCAAACGGTACTACCTATCGAACTCGGAATACCTTGCCCTGTGCACCTCCTTTTATTCATGCATGGAAACTGGTGTGGAACATAACTGTGACAGAAAAAGGCAATCTAACATACTGCACTGTGAACTCTATGCCCCTTTTGATATTTCGCCTTATGCACTCCACGTACCAAAAACCTCAGACCCGATGGTTGTGGTGGATATGTGGAGAATGGGCATACAAGCAACTCCCTCCCAAATGGAGTGGGACTTGTTTCCTGGGATGGGTATTACCACCAATGTGGATTATGCCCACTAGTTCGGCAAAGCGTACACGAAGAAATGCTGATATTTCTCATATAGCAGGAGGAAGTACCCAAAGTTGGAGTGATACTGATGATTGGCCACCAGAGCGCATTATAGCCTATTATGAGCCTGCCTCCTGGAATCCTGATGAGCTCATACAAGGGGCACGGGATCCTATTTATAATCTAAACAGAATAATTCGATTGCAAGCAGTAGTGGAACTTGTAACCAATGCAACGGCCCAGAGTTTGAGACTTATTGCACAACAGTTGGATGAAAGTAGAGCCGCCATTTTGCAGCTGAAAATGGGAATGGATTATGTACTTGCCAGGCAGGGAGGCCTATGTGGAGTCTTAAACTTGACAGGGAATGCCTGTTGCTTTAACATTTCTGATAATGGTGAGGCAATCCGTGTGTTGGCCACAAAGATGGAGAGTATAGCACATGTCCCAGTACAAATATGGGAAGGATGGGATATGGGATGGCTCACCAATTGGTTACCTAATGTTGCGGGACTCAAAGGGATACTATTGTCTTGCTTGTTTTTCTTGACGGTAGTAGTAATGGTTTTATGTACGGTGCCATGTATCATTTCATGTTTTAGAAGTACAATTAGCAAGATGATTTCAAATGAAACTTTACCTCATATTATGGCCCTATACAGAGCTTTACCTCAGGAATATGATGAAGGTCAAGCTATCAAGGACACTTGGGATGAAGGTCCTTGAGCTTGAAAGGGGGGAATGAGGCATCTGATCAAGATCTGCTTTGAGCTTAAAAAAATATATTTGTAGATATTTTTATCTCTCATGCAAGGGAGAAGAGCAGCTGAATACTCTGGCAGCTGTTCAAGGGGCCCCACTGCTATAAATAAAAGTATTTCAAGGTTGTAAAAGGAAATTAGAGCCAGAGAGCAAAAGGTCACACTGACCAGAATACAATCAAGCTGTAAAAACACAATTAAGAACTGGTAAATAGTGAAATTTATTGTTTAACAGAAGACTCGAGCCATAAGGTTAAAGGTTAAATGGAAGAGGTTGCTCTTAGAAACAGCTGCTGGATAGGGAAAAAGGTTTCTTTATAGAACTTAGGAACTTAGCTTTCACTAAGTTCCTTCTAATTTGAAAAGGCCTTTCCTTCTAAAAATCTATCTATGTTATGTATGAAATATATTGGCTTAAATGTAATTATGCAAAGGATTTAGAAAGTAAGAAATGTTAGATTCTTATGTTAGATTCCTATTATGGTGGGTGAGAATGTGAACTCAAGATCTCTTTAAGATAAAAAAATTAGAAACCATGCACCATCTGCTTTAGCCATCTGGTTTGCGGTGAATAGGGCAACAGGGGCCAAAGGTTATCTGGTAATTGAGGTGCCTGGTCGAGGTAAATGTAAGATATATGGCTACTTGTCTGCCATTTATGGATACAAGGAAATATAGCTTTTTGTCTCCCATAAAGGGAATAGGAAATGGGTGTATCTTTTATGATTGGTTCTAGCAAACAACCAATAGGAATTTCAACCAGGCTGATTGGACAGAGGCAGCCAAAGGAGGAGCAAGGGGGCTGGGCTGAGGAAATATAAGTGCTGGCCATCAGGGCTGGAGTAGGCAGAGCTTTGGTATCCATATACCACTGTGTCTCTCATTTATTTGTCTGACAAATAAATTATTATTTTAATTTCTCTATTGCTGCGTTGAATATTTCATTCCAGCTAAGCGTTAACCACAAGCAGGGTGCTACAAGACTGCACGAACACCCCGCTTGTTAAATTTCCTCAGTCCTTCCCCTTTCCTGCAGGTCTTCAGAGCTCTGAAATAGTAGGGGACATGGTGGCTTAACAATCAGCCCCTCTCCCCATGGAGCTCTGGGAATTATAGCTGTGTGAAGGGAATAGGGGCTTTCCTAACAACTAACTACAGCTCCCAGGATGCTCTGAGGGCAGCCACGATTGTTTAAAGTGGGATGATACTGCTTTAAATGTGTACCAGATGTCAAAGAGAACAACTACCAGACTTATAAGAAGACATCTGAAGGCAGCCCTGTTTTGGGAAGCTTTTAATGTTTGATGCATTACTGCATTTTGATATTTTGTTGGAAGCTGCCCAGAGTGGCTGGGGAAGGCCAGCCAGATGGGCGGGGTATAAATAATAAATTATTATTATTATTATTATTATTATTATTATTATTATTATTACTGCAGATGGGTGGGGTCTTACTAGGCTGGCTCTGTCAGCTGTGATAGAAAGAGCAGCACTATATGAAAAAACAGAAGTGGGGGACTGTATACTTGAGAGAAAGGATATATACTTGTTTTACTTGTAGGCAGCCTCAGGTTTTTCTCATGGGACCTGCATGCTTTCAGTTGGGGGGGGGGGTTGGTCTGATCTTTGTTAACGCTGTGTAGAGCCAAAGGAAAACGACATACACCGAAAGCTGTAATGCCTGGTACAAGTGCGTCCAGGTTTAAATAGTTCAGCTAAGAATCTAAGCACTTGAAGTGTGATGGGTTTTTTCATCATCAGGTTGAGAAACTCTTGAGTGTGATTCATTGCCCGTGAGCTTGTCTTCTGCAGTGCAGCTGGCTCACCTGACGTTTTCCCATTTCATTTTTCAAAACCGGGATTTGCACTTTCTGAAGACTGTGCTACCAACACAATTAATCATAATGGCTGTGAAACAGAAATAGCAAATGGTAGCTGTGCAATATCTCAGGTGTTTATAGTTCTAAACCTAATTGAGTTTTTTGAAACAAGCAAGCAAACAAACAAATGTAAACCCTGAAGGTGAGGCTGAAAAGAATATCGAAAAGCAACCTTTGAAAGACCTGTGTGAAAATGTGATGAATTTGCAAATAAATGGACTACTGCTGTGAGATTGGTGCTTCCAGAAGACCTGCTTACTGAGCATTCATCTTGATTTGTTTGTAGGGAGATTAGACGGCATTGGCTTTTAAGGAACATTAATTTGGATTTGTTTGCAGGGAGGATGAATGACATTGGGTATGGCGCAAGTGAAATTGGTGGCACGAGATCGAATCCAACCCCAAAATACTGATGGCCTAGAAGCAGCCCTAAGCCATGGTCCCATCAGTGCGAGGATTTCCACTTCCCCCTTCCTCTGCACCCCCCAAATCTATTCTAGGGGGTCCCCCAACTCTTCAGAGCAAATCTGAGGAGGCACACAAGGAGGAAGGAGGAAGGGGAAAGTCCAACTGCAGAAATGGAAATCCTCGTGCCAGCAGGATGTGTTAGTTAGATAGCACTCACTGCTTTTCGGTAGCATCTTGTTTCTAATTAAAATGGTGGCCCAAATCCCTTGAACTTCAAATGACCTCGGATTGCAGCCAAGTTCCTTCTCTGTCCCAATAATTTTTTTGCAGCAATGCAACTTCATCATATTTGTGCATGAGGATCAATAGACATCACCCCTACACACTGATAGCTCTGCTCTCTGTCACTTGGAAACGAAACGTATCAGCTCCAAACCACATGGTCATCATTCCGGCATGTTCTGATATGATACTGAGAGAGGCTTGTCCTTCTTTTCTGTCAGCCTTCTCACCGACACTCTCTTAAGCATAGACGTCTTGGAAAGACAGCCTTTAAGTGGCTCTCCAAAGTAAACATCCACGCACACTCGATTTGTGTAGGAGAAAATGAACGAGGGCATAGAGTAACCATATGGTAAGTCAAATTACTAATATCACGTTCTGTTGCTTCCAGACATGTTGTAGGGGCACAATAAAAACACCAGGAAGAAGATCAGAAAAGAAGTAAAATTAATCTGATAGAAATCAAAATTTAAGATGCAAATTAAGGCCAAACAAATGAACACACACAAAAAACCAGATTACAATCTAGGTAATCTTAAGAATGAACTTATTTCTCTCCCATAGTAGTCAGTAGTGGTTCTCTTTGGCTGGATCCTGGCTCATAGTTTTAACAAGCTGCATTCTATGTTCATTTAATTTTTGACGTCATTCCACTATAAATTATTATCTGGATCCCAGTGGCATCATGCTTGCCCTGAAAGTATGGTACTATCCTATTCCTGAGCATTAACAGAATGAACAGATAGGTTGATGCTGGAAGGCCTTGTGAAACAGACCATCTATGCAAAGAACAAACTAAATCTTGCCTTTAATAATTAAAAAATGCTGTTTGAAGACTGGGAAAGATTGTGGAAAAGGACTTAAAATTTACAGATTGCTCTCTGTTGAAAGAAAATTATATAAAAATGATGTACAGATGGTATATAACGCCAGTGCAAATAGGAAGAATGTACAAAACTGCTTCAAATATATGTTGGAAATGTAAGGGAAAAGAAGGGACCTTTTACCATATGTGGTGGGATTGTTGTAAAATTAAAAAATTCTGGGAAATGATATATAATGAATTGAAGAAAATGTTCCAATTTTCATTTGTAAAAAAACCCCGAAGCCTTTCTGTTAGGGATTGTAGGAAAAGACCTGCCAAGGAAATTGGAAAACTTTTTCATGTATGCGACAACGGCGGCAAGAATCTTAACAGCACAGGGATGGAAGAATGAAGAAATCACAACCAAAGAACTATGGCAAGAGAAACTGATGGACTATGCGGAATTGGCAAAACTGACATATAAACTACCTGATAAGGACAACTGTGACTTTAAGGAAGAATGAGAACCCTTTGCAAAGTACCTAAAGAAAGAACAAAACGAACTAGACTCCTTGGCAGGTTTTGAATAAACACTCACAAACTTTTTATTGATAATAGCCAGTCAGAAAAACTAAGGATCTATACAACTTTGTAACATGTAGAGAATAAAGTTTGTTGATAAACCAGAGTTAGGAGCTGAGGGAAGTCAGGGCGGGGGGGAGTGGGTTACTTTATGGGGAGGGGGGAGGGGGAAAATTGGGGGGGGAATTAAGGATGATATGTTTTTTAATAAAATGTTTTGCTGAAATTCCTAATAAAAATATTTAAATAATTAAAAAACGCATGTCTCATTAGTTTTAATGGGAAATTTCAGCATCTCTGCAACCATTTCCCATTTAAACTGGTGGAACGTAAAAGTAGACAATAGGAATGTGATTGGCCAATTTGATATTCCTCTCTCAACAGCACAATTTCATTTTCAGGTGAGATGACCCTTTGACATGGACAAAAGCAATTCATATTTATAGTCTATGATTCTGTGTCGCCATAGAAGCATTGTTGTATGAATGACTCAGCTGCCAGTTGGATGAGGCGCCCGGAAAAAGTGTAAATTAAAATCAGTTTCATCCAGTTCTGTCACACTGCGAATTTCCTATAGGAAAACTGGGAACAATCAACATCTTTCAAACGATCTTTGATTCAGGATGAAGATTTATAGTGACCTAGATTGTTCCTGTAATTTGGTCCCCTCGAGTGCTGTCAATAAGTCAAAATGTACTGCGATTAGTATCTTTTTCTTGAGGACTTCCTCATCTTTGAACTGTTTGCTACACAATCCAACTTCCCAAACATGTTGAAATAAAATTAAAATATTGGTCTGACTACAGATGATAAAAGATCTTCCATTCCTTTTATCATCTGCAAGCAAATCCATTTCATTTAGATAACATGCACATTATCCAAGGTTCAGGTATACAGTAGGTGCCATTTTGAGATGCTAAAGGAAATTTACTGCTTTATAAACAAGAGTGAACAATCATTTCGTGAAGAAGAAAAAGCTAGTTTTTGTATGTTGCTCTTCCGTTTCCTTTGCATGCACACTAGAACCAAAATACCCTAACACAAACAAAAGTGTGCCCTTAATTTTATTTCGCCAGTTAAAACTGGCCATTGCCCAGTACTAGTTAATCAACTCAGGACTAGTTAATCAACCCATTCGCACCCTACAAGAGGGGTTTCCCATTGCAGGTAATATAGCAGTGTTCTCCAGAACTCCTTGTATCCAGGAAGGGGAAGAGGAGAAGGAGTTCAACCTATGGGAATCTTCTGGCATGCATGGAACTCACACATACAAGAAGATATGATGATCAACCAATTACAGCAAGTGGCCTTATGAGAATGGGGAAAAGGATAGCTAAAGAAAGCTTCATAGGCTGAACTCGAAGTGATCATAACTAATCTTGCCCTGTAATTCCAAATGTATTGGCGTCCATCTATCTCAGGAGACAATGGAGGAGTGTGCTTTTGGGTGTGAAGTCAAACCATGGGAAGGTTGCAGCGCCTTCTGTGGCTGTAGAGACTGATAAGGGAGAGACATGTTTTGTTGCAGCTGAGGCAGGTGAAGGCTTCCGGGCTGTAATTTCAGGTTATTGATAATCTAAACATCTGTAAAGGCCTTCACCTGGGGATAATAATGCTGTGGAGGGGGGTCATTGTTTTCGTTTGTTGCTACGGTATGTATTTTTGTGTTTTCGTATTGTAAACCACCCTTTGTCTCTTAGGTAAAGGTAAAGGGACCCCTGACAATTAGGTCCAGTTGTGGCCGACTCTGGGGTTGCGGTGCTCATCTCGCTTTCTTGGCCAAGGGAGCCGGCGTACAGCTTCTGGGTCATGTGGCCAGCATGGCAAACCAGAGCAGCACACGGAAACACCGTTTACCTTCCCGCCGGAACGGTACTTATTTATCTACTTGCACTTTGACGTGCTTTCGAACTGCTAGGTTGGCAGGAGCTGGGACCGAGCAACGGGAGCTCACCCCGTCACGGGGATTCGAACGGCGACCTTCTGATCGGTAAGTCCTAGGCTCTGTGGTTTAACCCTTCGTCTCTTGGGGGACCTTAAATCCTGGTAAGTCGCTGCCAGTTGTTGTAGAGATGTCAACTGTGCTCTAGATCATGGGTAGGCAAACTAAGGTCCGGGGGCCGGATCCGGCCCAATCGCCTTCTAAATCCAGCCCGTGGATGGTCCGGGAATCAGCATGTTTTTACATGAGTAGAATGTGTCCTTTTATTTAAAATGCGCCTCTGGGTTATTTGTGGGGCATAGGAATTCATTCATTTCCCCCCAAAAAATATAGTTCGCCCCCCCCAAGGTATGAGGGACAGTGGACTGGTCCCCTGCTGGAAAAGTTTGCTGACCCCTGCTCTAGATGGACCAATGGACTGACTTCTTATTGATGGACCAATTAGGCAGCTTCTTATGTCTTATGGAACTGGGATTTGCTCAGAGCCAAGCCTTTGTGGCGGAGCCTATCCTTTCACAGGAAAACACATAAGTAGAGCCTTCCTAGAGCTCTGACAGTTATAATGTAAAGAAAACATTGCTGTTGTGTTTCCTGACAATTCATGGTGCTGCAGTTGTTCTGAACTGCTGATGTTTTCCATGCAAATATTATAAAATGCCAGACCCTCCAAGTGTCCTTATTTTCCAGGGACAGTCCTGGACTTACAGAAGCTGTCTCCCAGTTTCTGATTTGATCCCGAAATGTCCTGCTTTTCCTTAGGATGTCCCTATTTTGATCAGAGAAATGTTGGAGGGTATGGAGTTATGTAACCCCCCAAAACCAAGGAGATAAGTAGCTATAAAACCTTTAGAAGACATCTGAAGGCAGACCTGTATAGGGAAGGTTTTTAACATTTAATATTTTATTATGGTTTTTTTAAAAAATATGTCGGAAACCTCTCAGAGTAGGTGGGGTAACCCAGTCAGATGGGCAGGGAATAAATAACAAAATTATTAGCATTATGTATTATGGAATAGAAGGTCCCTATTTTCATCAGAGAAATGTTGGAGGGTATTAAATGCTTGGCAATGGCTTAAATAGCATTCTAAATTACTCTTTCATTATAAATTATGAAAAGCATCATGAATTTCTAGTGCATGGTACCACTGGGCAATTTCTCATCATATATTTTAAACATTCAGTAGAGAACTTCACTTGATAGGAGAACTGCCAGTTTTTGCCCCCTTGGCTTCTCTTCCTACTGACAGCGTGCAGAGATGCAGAACAGATTTCCTTGCACTGCATTCTCTCTGTTCGACATGCTATCTAGAAAATCCAGCCCATCATCCTAGTGTTGAAATGTTGCGCAAATTTCCACCTTCTGGTTTCCTTCACTTGGGGGACCAGCGCCTTCAGGAAGGCAAAGGAACTTTGCAGGGGGGCAAAGGCAGATCAGAAAATAATGGTAAGATGTCCAACTTTACAGAGGACCATCTTTTTGAAGGGCTGTCCAGTTTAAAAACAAAGAATGATGTGTGCATGGTCCATATGGGTGGTCCGCTATAAGCCCATCACTAGTGACATGTTGCAGAATACACACAGCCACCCAGCCACCCACTCACCATAAGTCTGAAACAAAAGGTCGGTAAAAAGGTAAAGGACCCTTGGACAGTTAAGTCCAGTCAAAGGCAACTTTGGGGTTGAGGCGCTCATCTTGCTTTCAGGCCAAGGGAGCTGGCGTTTGTCCACAGACAGTTTTCTGGGTCATGTGGCCAGGATGACATAGCTGCTTCTGGCACAACAGAACACCGGGATGGAAACCAGAGAGCACAGAAACACCGTTTACCTTCCCGCTGCAGTGGTACCTATTTATCTACTTGCACTGGCATGCTTTCGAACTGCTAGGTTGGCAGAAGCTGGGACAGAACAACGGGAATTCACACTGTCGCGGGGATTTGAACCACCGACCTTCTGATCGGCAAGCCCAAGAGGCTCCATGGTTTAGACCACAGCGCCACCCGCATCTTTAGTCTGAAACAGTGTGTAGTGGAAAGGTCAGTCTTATTCATCCTACCATGTGGTTTTAGGGTAGCCTTTGGACAAAAGCTGAAATACAGTTCCTTCCCATGTTCCTTCCCTCTCTGCCATATTTCTTAAGACACCACTGCCTTAAGACATTTGTGAGGATCCTTGTTGCATTGATTGAAATAATAAGGGCAATTTAACACCAATCTAACTTCAAATTGAATGTATAAAATTAGACCCATCTGGAGGAGCCCTTGCCAGCTTTTTCTGTGTACGTGACATGGCATCAGTAGAGCAGAAACAGCAAACCATTTTCAAAAAGTGGTTGCATTCCTCTCTTTCTAAACAAACTATCAAATGTTTGCATGAAGGGATATGTCAAAAGCTGCTGAGAATCAATGCTGGAATCTTGACAGAAGAGAAGCTTTCCTAGAAGAGGTTATGTGCTTACTGGGGAAGAGGGAAGTTGGATCAAGGATTCCTAATCTGCGGAATGGTTGCTGTTGACCTGGCTAATGTACTTAGACTAGCAGTCATAAGCCCAAGAATCACACAATTGCTGTAAGACATTCCAACCCTGTAGTCACTGGCCAAAAATGATAAGAGCAAAAGGCTCATATGGAAATACTGTTTCTTTTCCAAAGCAGAAAGTGGTCTTCCTACTCGGGTCTTACTCAAAATTTATTAAATATTGTAAACGTTAATATTTAATTTGTTAATGTTAAAAAAATTCCCTGCCAATGCCAATATTTCATAGGAGAATATTCAGAAGCACTCCCCAATGGCCATAGGATCATCCCAGGGAGAGAGAGCTCTCATCATTGTAAAAATAAAAGTGAAAATGGGGACATCAAGTTGGTTATTTCCTTGGGAAGAAAAAGTGGGATATAAGCAGGAATGGGGGTTGTATCGAGAGCGTGTGGGTTATGGCAGCTCTGCAAAGAAGCCCAATATTGTTATATCCATTTTACTGGGGGTGGCATGGGATGCAGAGATTATGACCACTTAGCAGTGTAGCAATCCCTTCTCATGCTGCTCTTGCCATTTGGGGAAATGCGAGTTGAAGTTGATTGCATCAGCAGTGCAATTAATCAAGGGCTAGAGCGGGTTGATGGGAGCCAGAAGCGAGATTAAAAGTTTCATTGGCAAGATACAATCACACACGTTAGGTCTACTCATCATGAAACAACAGAGGAGTAGAGATGGTATAGAAGTTTCTCAGAGGCCAGGTCTACCTAGCTTGGAATTTACCAGAAATGGTAGTCTGTTCTCAAACGCTAGTTTTGTATGTACGGTATGTATTTTGCCCTCAACCTGGAAAAAATCCTGCAGACTATTGGTCGTCTGAAAGGCCGCTGTGAAATTTCTCATCCACCACCCTCCAATGTTCTTTTCAGACAGTCCATCCTTCACACCCTAGGCTCACACTGTCAATTACATTAGCACAACTGCCACTGCTAAAGTAGACAGACACCTTGTGGGGCAACATCCATTAGTTCCTAGTCCTACTAGCTAATTTCCATTGACTGAGAGAGCTGCAGTGCTGAAGTCAGGTGTAGTTAAGCAAACCAAGGTTTACAGCAGAGCTGGGGCACCTTGGGCTCCACAGATGTTACTGAACTACAACTTCCATCCTCCCTGGGCTTTGGCTATGGTTGCTGGGGCTGATGGGAATTGGAGTCCGACAACATCTGGAAGGCTACAGGTTCCTTGTCTCCGGTTTACAGCAAACAACTAAACAATTCTACGAAATCTCGCAAGGGCCAAAAGAAAACAGCAACCCTTACAAAGCAAGGAAAAGGACATTTATTTACAAAGGTAATAGTAACACATCAACTAGCTACAGAACTTCGGCTACGTTGCTGTTTAGCAGAACAACATTTTACAAATGGGAGCGGAGGTAATGTAAACACGAATATTCTATTCACAGGATAAAAAAACTTTGTTACTACAAACAGATTTAAATAATGCTGTGCAAGACGTAAAAGTACCAAGAACATGAAATTGCAGGTGAGGGTGTCGAAAATCTTTTCAGAAGGACATATCATCACTCCACTGGAAATGAATTTCATGAGCGCTATTGTACAAGCTAATTTTTGTAAAATTACAGTTGAGAGCGTCCTTCAAAGTAGACATTAAAAGTCAGTTTTGTTGTTTTGTAGTTAGAATTTAGGGAGACAACACATGTTTTGAACTCCACTTAATATGAGTGGAGGACGTTCTGCCATGTGATCATAAGCATATTTATTCAGATAAATATGCCCTATTAAGCGTGCATAGGATCGCAGCCTTAGTTTTATTCAGTCATAGAGAATGATGTCACAGAACATTGCCTACGCACTACCATGTTGTGACAGTTTTAAACAAGCTTAACTGTTGCAGCTCCCCCCTCCCCAAATTCCTGGAAACTGTAATCTGGCATGGGTGCTGAGGAACATGTTAAGAGATTCACCTAGTCTTTCTCATAGAACTTCACTTTACACTGCTGTAGGTTCGTGAAACTACCAGGTTGCATTGCTGAAAATGGCGGAAAGGATTGGGTATGTATACAGACACGATGTCACGTTAGTTCAAATGTGTGGTGTGGATCTGCCCAACTGTAAGAAGTACAGTTTATTTCAATGGAAAGATTAAGCGTGTCTTTTAAAATAACCTCCACTGAAATCAGTGGGTCTTTAAAATCCCTAACTTCAGTTGGATTAGAGGGGCGGGGAACCCCACACTCTGTAATAATACAAACTCACCAATCTTGCTTTCTGAACCATCCGGCAATTATTCCGCTATATGTGGAAGGAAATGCTTTGGCACAGAACTAATAGGGCCATGGCAAGTTTGGGCATTTCCCCCTCAGATCTGTGACTTTATAAAATATACGCTATTTCTAAGGATGGTCTAATGCTTCCAGGATTTCCTTCTGTGAAGGCAGTTCGAAAGCAAGCAATTGACCTTTTATTAATAGGTAACATCTGCCCCGCAGACAGAGGTGGATTTAGGGGTGCCTGAGTGGTTCAGTTCCACTGGGTGCAGAGCTTCGGGGGCACCACAACTATGATGTAGAATGAAATTATGGTGCTGAAATTTGAAACCCCCCAGTCTGCCATTGCCCACAGATCCCTTAACTTAGCTACCAAAAGATGTGAAGCTGTATATATCACATTTTAAAACCTTCAGGTACGTAGCCGTGTTGGTCTGACACAGTCGAAATATATATTAAAAATAATAATAATTGTCCAGTGACACCTTAGAGACCAACTAAGTTTGTTCTTGGTATAAGCCTTTGTGTGCCTTCACACTTCTTCAGATACCTTGTCCTTCCACTAAGAATCTCAGGACAGCACCCATAGCCTCATCCCCATTTTCTCACTAAAACAACCTTGTGAGGTAGGTTAGCTTGAGAGAGTGACTGACCCCAGGGAGCCCAGCAAGATTAACGGCTGCGTAGGGACAAACCTGGGTCTCCCCAGTCCTAGCCCAACACACTTAACAACTACACCACGGTGATTCTCACGAAAGTGCGTATTTTTGGTTTATCACATTGAGTTATGATGAGGAAGTTCATCAAAGCAATGCACGACATTATCCGCCTTTTAATCTTACAGAAAACATGTGGTTGCTCTTGCTCTGTTTATACTTTTGGTTTCAGGGAGTTCACCAGGCTGTAGGATCTGTTGATTTTCGCCTTTCGAAAAATGTAAATCAATAGGGCTGCCATGGGCCCAGCCGCCGTTGCTAATGAAGAAACAGCAATGATCACAGGAGTCACGTAATCTGGCTCTTCTATTCTCTCTGCAGAAATCGGGGGGAAGATAAAGAAGTTGAGTGAAGTTGAGTTATTATATCAGTAGTGCTACCTTAAAGACAATACATCTTCACACAGAGTAGCCAATGTACTGCCCTACAGATGATGTTGGACTACAACTCCCATCATCCCTGACCTTTAGTCACGCTTGCTTTGGCTGATGGGAGTTGTAGTCCAACATCATGCAAAGTGTTCCATGTTGGCTAGCTCTGTCCTAACAAAATAATTCCCTTCCCTTCTGAATTTAACATCACTCTTGCTCCCTCCTCCAACTCAATTGTTTGCATCATTGTTAGGGATGGAGGAAAAATTCAATTTGGTACACCTTTATAAGTCAAATCCACAAAATTTGCACTTTCTGAAACAATATGTTCAATATGAATCCTTCAAAATCCACACCTATCCGAATATTGTGATGTAAATAATATTGACAAAAATGGATAGGCTAGGTCAAAAGTGTGCATAGAAATGAAGGTATTAGTAAAAATAACATACAAAAATGCAAATTGCTTGCAAAAATGTGCACATTAAAAGTTCAAGCAAAAAAGTGTTTGCTAAGAGAAATTCATGCTAAAATGGTGATGAATTTTCTTGTGGATTTCTTTTAAAAAGCACAAACACACAAATTGCTGCAAAATGTGGAGAACTGAATTTAAGACTGAAAACTGGAGAAACGGAGAGAACCAAAATGGACAGTTTCTTCCACTGCTAGATCTTCTTGAGTAAAGAGACATAATAAAACACCCAAACTGTTGCCGAAGACATGGTATTTCTGTTTTTCCTCCCTTAAATTATTTCCCATGGTTTAACTTCTTTGTCAGTTTTGCTGTACTCTTTTCGGCATGTCTTCAAAACATTTTTTGTTCAGACGAGCACATCCCGACACTTGGATGTTGTTCGGGTATCATGCTTCATTTTTATTTTTATTATTAGTTTTAATCTATTTTTATTGAGGATTCTAATATTTCTTGTAAACCACCTAGAGCTTATACTGCAACTAAGGACAGTGGTACTTTTGGATGCGAACGAGATCCGTTCCGGAGCCCCATTCACATCCTGAAGCGAACGTAACACGCAACTGCACATGCGCGGATCGCGTTTCGCCGCTTCCGCGCATGCATGTAACGTCATTTTGAGCGTCTGCGCATGTGCAAGCGGCGAAACCCAGAAGTAACACGCTCCGTTACTTCTGGGTCACCGTGGAGCGCAACCCAAAAATATTCATCCCGAAGCTACTTCAACCCGAGGTATGACTGTAGTTAGCTCTCTGGCTAACTCAGGTATTGATTGACTACAACTCCCATGATTGCCACATCTCTGGTGTGACGATACAATAGTTGGGGAGGGGCAGTGAATTACTTACCTTTGACTATTTTGTCCTCTTCTGTACTGTTTCCAACATCATCAACTTTCACTGCGTACGTGATTGTATTGTTTCTGGATGCTGTATACGTTGTAAAGATTTTTCCATTTGTGGTGAGGGAAGTTTCCTTTTCCGGATCATCCCCTTTGCTGTCAGTCACTTGATGTTGAGTATTATAGGTTGTGCTCTTAATAGTGAAATCTTCCACCTCAGTAACAGTTTCAGTTTGATCTGTTAATGCTGGAGTGGAGGGTGACAATTCTGGAGTGGAGGGTGACAATTCTGAAGCAGTTGGTGACAATTCTGGAGTAGAATGTGACATTTCTGGAGTAGACGGTGACAAGACTGAAGAAAAAGGGGGATATATTTAGTGGCATTCATAAGCAATCCAGATAAAAAGGTTGAGTTACACTGTGCAAATACTGTCAAATGTTGAAATCAAGAATCACATACAAATCTCAACTTTTCAGATATTTGGCAAACATTTGAGCATTCAGAGCTGGAGAGTATTCCAGCATTAAAAACTGAAGAGAAGGATTTAGCAGGCAAGTTAATTTCATCTCTGCCCTTAACCAAAAGTGAAGAGCACACAATCTGGCCCTAGAAATAAAAGCTGAACATGTTTCGCTGTAAACCTTTATTTACCTTGAACAATTATTTCCACAGTCGTGCTTTCTTTCCCAGCCACGTTAACTGCTTCACACTCATAAAGTCCCATAGCTTCTGCCTGTACGGCTTTTATGGTTAAAGTAGCAGCTTCCAAAATGAGCCGAGAGCCTCCGTTCAAAAGCTGCTTTTTCCAGAAAACCTTTGGGGTGGGACTCCCATAGGTGGAACAAGTCAGAGTTACAGTGTCTCCTTCCTTCACTGTGCTAGAAGGCACAGCGACAATCCTTGTATTCCTTGGTCCATCTAGAAAACAAAATGCAAAAAGGATGCACTTTATCCAAGCCTTGGCTAAAGATGTGAGGTGTGTTCTGCAGATACCCTGGCTGGTCTTAAGACAAACCTCACAACCTTAGCCCCACAGCTGGAATATGGAGATTTGTTTTTTCATTTATCTATTTCAGTTATTTATACCACACTCTTCAAAGCAAAAGCTTTCACGAAGCAGCTTATGCTAACATCAGCGCTTTCCAGAACACGAAGGTCTTCTGCTAAACACATCTGAAGGCAAGAAGACGGGCCCTTGGTCAGTCTTGACCTGTCTTACAGGGCAAGGGCACTCAGAGATGTAATACCGACACCGTTCTGCACTGTGAGAAGGCAGAGAGTGGGGCAGGCAGAGATACAAAGTGCACCCTCTTCCAGGGCCAACAGACACCATCTGCCCTGTAAGAAGGAAGAGAGGACTTGGGGAGAGGGCTGTTTGTGTTCGTTTGTGTTTTTATTTTTATCTGCCAGAGAGTCAATAGGCGAATCGCAAAACTGGAGAGCTCTAAAACTCAGTTTGGGTGCCTCAGCAGAAAGGCAGCATATAAATTCATTGAGTAAATAACAAATAAATAAAATAGATGCTAAGTATTGCTTATTTATTCAAACTTACATTCCACACTTAGTGTTTCTGCCCTTTTGACTTTCCCAAACTCATTCTCTGCTTCACACTCGTAGTCTCCTACATCATCAGGAGTCACTCTAGGGATGTGGACGACTCCATCCTTGCTATCAAGGACCACTTTTTCACTGGCTGATTTCCTCCTTATGGTGACCTTGGCAGCAGGGTTGCCCTTTGCAAAGCACTGCAAAGTAACACTTTCTCCTTCCTTAACTGACCCAGCAGGAAGGATGGAGAAGTCTGGAAGTCTGGGGGCATCTACGAGAGGAGAAACAACCACGTTGCAAACCTGTCATTAGTGTACGTTGTTAAATGTTTTCATTCAGTTCAGTAAGTTTATTGTGCTAGCCAAAAGCTCTGACCATTACATTATAGTGTACAAAATTCAAACATAGCAACAATACAACCAACACCAATAATATAGAGGAAAGAAAAATCAGATTAAATTTCTGCATCTCCAAAATAGATCATAGCAATATCATCTAACTCTTTCCAGTTTTAATTTTCCTTTTGCAGCCAATGCCAAAAGATCTACTTCGTGTGTCACAAAGCATTAGTGTCTCTCAGAGGAAATTGATCCGTATGTATTATTGCTTCCATATGGTTTATTTATTTTCTTTACTTATCAAAATGTACTCATTGCTTAATTGTAGTAAAAACCAGCAAGTGGTTTACATTAAACAACGGCCAAATCAAGAGCCAAAATGGGATAGATCTATTATTACAGTCATACCTCTGGTTACGAACTTAATTCGTTCTGGAGGTCCGTTCTTAACCTGAAACCATTCTTAACCTGAGGTACCACTTTAGCTAATGGGGCCTCCCGCTGCTGCTCTGCTGCTGACACGCGATTTCTGTTCTCATCCTGAGGTAAAGTTCTTAACTACTTCCAGGATAGTGGAGTCTGTAACCCAAAGTGTTTGTAACCCGAGGTACCACTGTATTATTAACCCAACAGGCCTTTTTTCAGCAAGGTTGTTCCCCTGTGTCACTAAATTTGTCACACACTACAGTGGACACGGGTGGTGTTGTGGTCTAAACCACAGAGCCTAGGGCTTGCTGATCAGAAGGTCGGCGGTTTGAATCCCCGCAACGGGGTGAGCTGCCGTTGTTCGGTCCCAGCTCCTAGCAGCTCGAAACCACGTCAAGGTGCAAGTAGATAAATGGGTACTGCTCTGGCGGGAAGATAAACGGCATTTCCGTGCACTGCTCTGGTTTGCCAGAAGTGGCTTAGTCATGCTGGCCACATGACCCGGAAGCTGTCTGCAGACAAACGCTGGCTCCCAAAGTCTATAGAGCGAGATGAGAGTGCAACCCCAGAGTCATCTGTGACTGGGCCTAATGGTCAGGGGTACCTTTACCTTTACCTTTACAGTGTGTAAAAATGAAAACTAAGTCACATCCACACTGATGATGATGATGATGGGATAATTAATCAGTGCTGCACCCTAGGTCTTGATTCTCTCCTGTACATATAATGTATCCCTGAAGACCAATTGTCTCAATTTACTTACAGTTAACCTGCAGTATTTGTGTTGTTTTCCTCGCCTTGGGCTCAAACTCCATCTCATCAATTGGCAGTTCAGCTCTGCATGTGACTTCTTTCCCATTATCTTCTTCACTGGGAGTAAACGTCATGCTCGCACTTTTCGTCTCGACAGATTTGATAAGGGGTTCTCGGGAAAACTCTGTCATCCGACGAACCTCCCCTTCTATCTCCAAGTAGATCTCCAGCCGATCAGCGGGATACACTTTAGGAACACGGCAGGTGATAGTGGCTGGTTCACCCAGAATAAGCGGCTGGCTGATCTCTATAACAGGATCACTGGGGAATGCTAGAAATAGGACACAGAAGGAGAAAAGGTTACTCGAGAGGGGCTCAAAGTGGAATGTCTGCATGTTGTGCACACACCCTAGATTCAGGTTTCTGGTGTTTTGAGTATGATCTACTTCTCAAGTTAAGACCTATCACGGCTGAAGGAAAACTGAAGCAGCAGTGAGGGGGTTTTCATATGCGAATTCTTCCCTGACAGAAAGAACTTTCCAAATTCTGCATGTTTGTTGAACAAGTACCGGTACTCATTCAGCTGCATCAAAATATGAAGGACCCACTTGCTTCCGTGTATTTAGAAAGCAACACGGAAGATTTCTACAATGTGTTTTAAATTATAATGGCTCCATCTGTACAGTGGGACCTTGGTTCTTGAACTTAATCCGTTCCGGGAGTCTGTTCGACACCTGAAACCATTCGAAAACCAAGGCATGGCTTCTGATTGGCTGCAGGATGTTCGGCTTCCGAAAAAGTTTGCAAACCGGAACACTTACTTCTTGGGTTTTCGGCATTCAGGAACCAAGCCATTCGAGTACCAAGGTACCATTGTACTGGGGAATCGTCCCCCCTCACTGACAATATTCAATTGGAAACTCTTCAAGAGCTTGACCTCCTGCTCACTTCAATGAGGCTTAAGAAGGATTTCCATGGAGATTTTGTTCAACACAGCCTATTCAGTATGTTAATGCACGCTGCAGAGAAAGCAGGTAATGGGAAGTTTTTTCTTTCTCTCTCACAATACTAGAACTCAGGGCCATCTAATGGGCAACCTCACATATAAATCATTGCAGTGTTGGAAGTGGGAGGTTATTAGAGCAAGGATCATAGAACTGTAGAATTGGAAGGGATCCTGAGCATCATCTGGTCCAACCCCCTGCAATGCAGGAACATGCAGCTGTCTCATATGGGGTTTGAACCTGCAACCTTGCCATTATCAGCACCACACACTAACCAGCTGAGCTATAATGGTAGCAAGGCTCTTTGTGTCCAGATAGGGCTGCAGGTCGTAGATCAGCCAAAACTAATAAAAGACATTTCATGCCTCTAAAAACGACTTCATATTCAGTGGTGGGTCCAAAATTGCTTAACTGAACTTTTTTGAGGAGGGGGTGCAGGCCCCTCACCCCAGGAGAATGCTACTCAATTTATTCACACTGTATAAACTGGTGTGCAACCTTTCTCTGTAATCTGGGTTGTCTTGAGCAAAACAAACAAATCCAGAAACGAGCACAGATCAAATGAGACGCACGTGGAACAATGAACATGTAAAATCCTGCATCTAGACTGTGAAAAAAGCAAGGTGCAACTAAAACAGAGAGAACAAACCGGCGCCAAGGATTATAGTTATTAGTAGGTTGAAATGTGATTGTTTCAGAGGGTTGTGCAGGAATACTACTTACAGTAAATGTCAATTTGCACCCTCTTTTGTTTCCTGACCTCCCCGCATCTAGTGTTGCAGAGATATTCGTGCTCGTTTTCAAAGCCAACCTTCATCGTTAAGACTGAGCTGCTTCCTCCCCATTTGCTCACATTTGCACCTAACGGGAAGTCAAGTTGGGTCCTCCAGGAAAAAGTGGGGCGATCACAGCCAGTTGTGTTGCACCATAGCTTCAGGTCTTCACCGATCTGTGCGGCAACTTGGTGGCCGGGCACAATGTCCTCCACCTCAAAAGCTTTAGCTGAAAAAAGAGGGAAAGAAACAGGGTCAATCTCTTTAATTCAGTTAGGCTTTATATTTTCCTCTAATGGCATCCCCCACCATATAGGCAATATCTAAATCCGTCAGATTGTCTGTTCTCAACAAGTCATCTCCAGTCCACACCCCATTGAATTCAATGGCACATTCTGCCAAGCAAGGACACACAACTGTCTAAGCAAATACTGTACTGAGTTTCAGATGTCTGGGGCTAAATCTACAGTTGTGACAGTTTATAAACCTATACAAGTTTATGCTTGCTGGCGACCTAAGATCCATCTGCCACCAACTGAACTGAACAGCCGACAGCAGGTGAATTATTGCCCCAAAGGCCTTGTTTAATTCATTTCACTTGACCTGTTTAATACACAGATTGATTTTGCATACAACTGTAACAGCATTTCTAAAATTGCATGATCTGTTCATAAGTACTTGGGCAGGAATTCCAATGTAAAATTACCTGGCTGGGAATATGCCCCATTGAACTCAGCAATATTTAGGCTACAATCCTAACCCCACTTTCAATAGGACTTACTACTGAGTAGACATTCTTAATTCAATTCAATAGGACTTACTTCTGAGTAGACATTTTTAACAGACATGGCTACCTACTTCAAGTAAGTCTTACTGAATTCAGGGGAAAGAATTTATGCTATTTATGAGTAAACACAGGCAGGATCAGACTGTCAGCACAATCTTATGCATGAAGTCACTAATTCTCAGGAGCAGGGATGGAGGAGAAATTTTGTTTCGTTCACATTTAAAGCTGAAGCAAATTCACGCTTTCCAAAACAAAAATGCATGCAGCTCTCCTTCAAAATTCACACTTACTTGAATTTTGCAATACAGTTCACCGAACAAAAAAATGAATATTTTGTGGGAAAGTGTGCATAATAATTAATATATTGGTGAAAAGAACTTAATTGCTTGCAACAATGCATATGTTAGTTAAAACAGAAATTCACACTAAAATGCAAAATGTGGATAACTGGAAAAATGATAAACAGGGATAACCAAAATGGACTGATCCATCCCTACTCAGAAATAAGTTCCACTGCAGATTGTACTCCCAAATAAGGATTAGGACTACCCCCTTATTAAGGGGCTTCTTCTGCACCTAAATAATTTAGATTTATCATTGAAATTTCTTCTTTGCACAGGTGATGCTATTTTCCTGAAACCATTCATTTATAAGGTAACAGTTTAAGTGTCTCATACTACTAGACTGAGCATGCAATTTTTAAAAACATGCCTCACATCAAACAAACTACAACTGTATGTTTATTTTCTGAAGTGAAGGGCACGGTGGGTAGGCAAAGCCGAAACTTAACAGATAGCAATGTTAGTATATCTCTAAAAGCACAGAATTCCCGCCTCCTGAAAAATACCAAAGCAAAGCACACAACTCACAAGTTAGGACAGTCATAAGTAAAAGCGCCGTCAACGCTGACGAAGTTCCTCTTGACATTTGGCTGCCTTTCGTCTTAAACTGATATCGAGAGGGAAAAGGAAACCAGTCTCAAAACCTTGATGCTGCTCCTTCTGAAGTGAAAGCCGAGGCTTTTGGAAGTATTGGCTCCGAGAAGGAAAGCAGTGTGAGGAAACTCTATCTCTTTCTTTTTATATACAGTGAAGGAGGGGTTGGCTGTGGGGAAGGGGTGAGGTGGGCAAGACAAAGTTGGAATTTCCATGCCGGGAAACCCCATAAAGCAAGAGTGAAAAGTGAAACCCCCCTCAGTGAGGAGTGGACTTGGAGTCACTCCCTGGGCTTGGCTCCCTCTATTGCTTCCTGAGCTATATTTCATTTCTCACAAAAAAAAAACCCCTAGCAACAGCATGAAAGAAAAACAAGAGGTTCTCTGTCAAGAAGGGAGTTGGGGGGGAGGAAGAGAGAGAGAAAGGAAGAGCAAATAAATTTAAGTGCAGGAGAAAAATGAAAATCTAACAGGAAGGAATTTTAGGGCTCGTACTACTGGGGGGAAATGGTGAAGAAAAAGCGTTAGGTAAAGGTAAAGGGACCCCTGACCATTAGGTCCAGTCGTGACCGACTCTGGGGTTGTGGCGCTCATCTCGCTTTATTAGCTGAGGGAGCCGGCGTACAGCTTCCGGGTCATGTGGCCAGCATGACTAAGCTGCTTCTGGTGAACCAGAGCAGCGCACGGAAACGCCGTTTACCTTCCTGCCGGAGTGGTACCTATTTATCTACTTGCACTTTGAGGTGCTTTTGAACTGCTAGGTTGGCAGGAGCTGGGACCGAGCAACGGGCGCTCACCCCGTCGTGGGGATTCGAACCGCCGACCTTCTGATTGGCAAGTCCTAGGCTCTGTGGTTTAACCCACAGCACCACCCGCGTCCCGCTGTGTGAAAAAGTGTTAAATGACCCTAAATGACTTCAAGCGCAACATATACAGGACTTTAAGTGAGCCTCTTTCTTTCTCACTCGGTTCTAGTAGCCCCCCAAACCCCTTGCAAAGAGGGAATGAGAACACTGGCCAACCTTACAGGGCTGTTGTAACAATTCCTATATTAAGGTTCCCATTTTTATTTGCTTTACTGGCTCACGGTCCTTTGATCTGTCAGGCTGAAGGCCTGATCTGTACTTGTTAGCAAAGGGGTGGACAATCTTTGTCAGGCTGAGGGCCACAGTCCTTTCTGGGCAACCTCCCAGGGGCCACATCTCAGAGCTGGGCAGGGCCAGAGGCAGAGCACCAAATTTTACTTGTGTTACATTTGCCTAGCTTCTGCGCCGACTTCTTTCATCCATCCAGTCATGCAAGACTTCAAGGGCACATTGCAGCCAGGCAAAAACACCAAAGGACAATGCAAAGTAGGAACAGTCAGGTGTGTGGCCTGAGGAATCGAGGTGGGGCTTGAGAGATTTCCAAGGGCCAGATAGAGGGTCACATTTGGCCCCTGGGCCTGAGGTCCTCCACCCTTGTGTTCCTCCCCTAGTCACTCCTTTATTTAATTACTTTTAGGATTTAGCCCTGATGAGGCATCTTACATGACAAAATATAAAATACCATTTTTAAAAAACCAATTTTAAAACTGAAGCTTAAAAACATTCCATGAATGTGGCCATGAATAATTTCAATAAATATCCCCTTAAAAATATCCCACAATGTACTTGCTGAGTCCTTGCTTGCACTTGTTTGTGATCTTCTTTCCCCCAATAATATTTTATTAAGTTTCAACATTTTCAACATATACAATCCAATACACAATTATGTTTTTTCTCTTATTTTCGTCAACTTCCCATCCTGTTTTCCAGGGAGTTGTTGTTTCTCCCTTCTATCTATTAAATCATAACCCACAGTGCTATAATCTAATTACTTCTGTCACTCATAGCTCAAATCCTGCTCACGAGTTCATCATACTATTATATTTCTTTATGTAGTATGAAAAAAGGCACCTGTTCTTTCATAAAACGCTCATCATTAGATTATCTTAATTTTGCTGTTAATTTTGCCAGTTCTGCATGGTCCATTATCTTGCTTAGTTCCCCACCCTCGTATGAGCAGGTGATAGCAGGACTGGCCCCTCCATGAGGCAGACTGAGGCAACTGGCTCAGGCGGCAGAATCCAAAAGGCGCCACTACAGGCAAACCACCCATCCTGTTGTCACTGGAGAAGTGAGGAGAAGTGGTTGTGGTGGCTTCCGGGTTCGAGCGAGATCTTGCAGGAGCCCTCGTAAGTGAGGGGTTTGGCAGGGGCGGACAGCACCTTCCTGTTTTGCCTCCGGCGGCGAAACAGGATAGGCAGGTGACAGTTTTCCTTATGTGAAAAAAAAGCTATTTCTTTTGCAAACTCAGGCAGCAGGAAAACAAGGCAGATCCTTTTGTTTTCTGGTTCGTTGCAACTAGAGATGCGTGCGATGCACTTTGAGCTTCACAGAAGCTCTGTATAATTCCTAAGCACTATCAATGTGTCATGCACTTGCAAGGGAATTTGACAAGCCGTTTCGCTCCGAAACTTTGTTCACCATTGAAGCATTTGAGAAAGGAGCCAATGTGTTATGTACTGAAGTTCTCACCCTGGGCCAGCAGGGGGATACTGTAGATAGTTTTCACTCAGGTCCACATATGCAAATAAGGGATGGAAAGTGACGTTCAGTGATCGGATAGTTACAGAAAGTGGTTACTGTTGCATTCTAGTGGAGCTCTATATAAGCAGGCTGGCTGAACCCTTCAGTTCTGTTCTGTTCTGGCTGTGAATAAACAAGAGCTGTTTGAAGAATCACTGTGTCATCTGATATGTTCACTCACAACTTAACACAATGTGGTGCAAAGGCTAGCGGGCTGGATTAGACCAGGGTTTGAATCCCTATTTAGCCATGAAGTACACTGGCTTCGTGGGTGTTTTCTCTCTGCATCTTTTGGGTGCTGTACACCACCGAGCCTCTTGAGCTTGCAGATTGTAAGGTCAGCAGTTCGAATCCACGTGACAAGATGAGCTCCTGTCTCTTTGTCCCAGCTGCTGCCAATCTAGCCACCTGAAAGCATACCAGCATGAATAGATAAATAAGTACCACTGTGGTGGGAAGGTAAACAGTGTTTCAGTGCACTCTGGCACTTGTTACGGTGTCCCGTTGCACCAGAAGCAGTTTAGTCATGCAGGCCACATGACCCAGAAAGCTGTCTGTGGACAAACACCGGCTCCCTCGGCCTGCAAAGCTAGATGAACGCCACACCCCATTGTTGAAGTCCACTGGACTTAACCATCCAGGGGTCCTTTACCTTTTACTTTTACTTATACAGACACCATCCCCATGTCATCCCTGTCCCACACTTTTTGTCAGTGTGACGCTGGAATGGTTATAATCCATTTTGTGCCAAAGGGGCACCTCTCAAGCACTTCCTGAGCACATGTGTGCACAGAGTTCGGTTTCCCCTTCTTGGGGCAGACCTATTGACTTTGCATAGCTGTGCTCCTCTTCCTCACTATGTAAATAACCTATGTATGACTAAAAATAGTCAAAACAGGAAGCTGTACAGTGACGAAGATGCCTTCGTATGTGGACATGCAGTATATCTTTTCTGTATATCAGTAGATCACTGCCCCGGTTTCTTTCAAAGGACAGGGAATTAAAATAAATGAATAAATGCACATTGAAGGGGCAGTAATAGAGAACACCATTGCACACTAGTTTGAAAGGGCCCTGGCAATATTCTAGATGTTCTCACCAACCCACCTGGGTTAAGCCCTCTCTCTCAGCCCACACAATGGGGCAGAAGAACAGGTTATGCTTGCTGACCTGAGTTTCTGATGTAAAGGATGGAATAGAATTGTAAGGAATAAATATAGAAAAATGCCACACCAAAACTGTCATTCCCCAGTACCCCTGCTCCCCACCCCCAGTCCATAATAGTTGTAGAAATTGGCCACAGGTTATATTTTAAAGAGATAAACTAGAGATATCATAAAGGGTAGAAACACAAGAGATCGACTTTAATTACCTTAGAAAAGCTGGTAACTAAAGCTCTTTCACTCTTTTACCAAAGTAATCTGTGATTTTATTTCTCTATCCTCTAGTGGCCTAGCAGGGATTGCCATAGCCAAATAATTGAAAGGGATTTTTGTTATTGTTGTTGCTCCTAATTCCAGGAAGGGACTTTAAAAGAAAATTACTTTAATCTAGACTTGGGTGGCCCTCCGAGTGGAAACAATGGGGTGACTTCAAAATTCAGAAACAGAATGGAACCAGGAAATGAAGCTGTCTGAAGGAAACCGAAACTAAATGAGAGTTTTCCACCTCGGTAGACAGAGCAGAAATCTGAATCATTTAACTTTACTCTGCATTTTGCGTGCTGAGGTCCCCCAAAACATCCCTACCCCAATAACTCACACATTACACATAATTTTTGTTTAAGGTTTTTGGCATAATTCTGGCCACAACTTTATTAAACATACAAGATGTGACTGGTTGCTTAGGCATTGGTTATGACTATCTGTCCCCCCCCCCCCGCCTTGGGGACAGAACTGACTCCCGGATTCCAGCGAAAGCCAGTGTGGGGAAACAAGATCGGGGATAACTGGAGCTGCGACACAGACCCTCAGCTTCTCCCCGCATGCTCCCAGGGGCTTACGCAGCCCAAACCCGATTCCAGGGGTTTGGACGAAAGGATGGTAAGCCCCTGAATTCCTTTAACGGAATTCCCTTGGAGCAGCAGCATTAGAGGGGCTGGCCCAGCCAATCCATACCCCTCCTCCAACCAATTTAAACCAATGCCTAACCGCCAACCTTACAAGTTGTGACGATTTGCTACGCAGTAGGCAAAAAACCAAATGGCACCCACTAATCAGCCAGATGGCAAAATTCCTACCGGGCCCCTGCCCCAAAGCAGACGACCCCATGACAGGCATAACAAGGTCAAAGCACAAGCCCAAAACAAGGGAGGGCGGGCGGGTGATCCGGTGCCCACAGTGAAAGAGAAAGCAGATTGCTGTGAGCACTGTTTAAATAATCTCTGCTCCCACCCCCAAATTGGCAACATCAATTTCACCCCAGCAACACAAACAACCAATCCTTGCCTGGCCCCTCTATCTTATCCTGCCTGGCAACTACTGGGTGTCTTGCTTGGCCCCATCCGCAACACGCGCTCTCTTTTAATGAGAACACGCTTTCTCTCCATACCCTGGTTTCCAATATTCATCCCTAGTTTGTAGGTGAGCTGACCAGGAAAGCAACACATTGGTCTGCTCAT